TGAAATATTAGTGTTATGGCGAGATAATTGCAACAAGAAATATATTGTAGATCGAATGACAAGCGATTTGCTCTACTGATAAAAGCAAGAGAAAAGTGGAATGTTTATTCCTTCATTATTTGAAACAAATGCTATACCAATGTAGATTTTTCACTATTTAAACAAAACTCAGGTCTTTTCACATCAAATTATTTCATAGGGCAATTGTGTTAAATAATGTTCTATATGGATTCAATTTAGTAGCTTCAAATCTACGTGACTTGTGTAATGTACAAGTTGAGAATGTCAATCAAGATTTTATGAATGTAATTATTCATCAATATTCTGAAGGCAATTGAACCAGTGGGTGTATTTAAAAAGTTAATTTATTTTGTCTTCACCAAGATTGAATGTTTAATAAGATACTGTCAGAATTTTTTTGACATGATATGTAATTGTGTTTTGCTTGCTGGCCGATTCGAACTATACGCATGTAAAATTAGTAAAAAAATACCAAAGTTTAATAGTTTTTTAAAAAAAATTGACTTTATAAAAAGAATGAAAGAATGTTGATACTAAAGGACGGAAAAATACACAAACATAGAAAAAATGGAGAAATATTGGTATTTCGAATATATGATAACTGGGGTATTGAGTAACAAGTAATTGTTATTATGTTGCATTCTCTATTACGTTTGTTTTGTAGTAATACTGCCATCGATAATGCAACATACGGCCTGCGGAATCTAATCACGTGGACCGAAGATACTTGGTATACCATTATTATAATAGGCTTTTTCGTATTGAACACGAAATGGATCAATGAGAGAGAGGAAGAGATTTTTTTGTCGTCAACCAAAATAAAATAACAGTCGTCGTAATAAAAAAGAATACCAAGTAATAAATTAGTTTGGTATAGACAAGAGGGAGGGATACGACCACGCCGTCATCAAATTCAATTCCTCCACTTTCCCCCTTCGCGCTATTATGTTCGAGATTCACAATTTCAGATGACTAAATATTGAGGTAAAAAATTCTAGATTTTACAATTATATTCACAAAGTGGAAAAATAAAATTGGGGAGGGGAATGCTAATGTAAATTTTTATTTGTGTATGTGAAGTGGGGTTCCAAAATTAATCCAAAAGAGTTTCCACATTCAGACAGGGATTTCACAGATAATTACACGGAACGAATTCAAATAATTTATACCGCATATGTGATTAATTAGCAGAAATGTTTTATTTCATGACTCAGATAAACATTGCAGATATAAATAACTTAAATTTACTTTAATTTGCATTGTCATCAAATTTCCCAAGAGTTAACAAGGACTTCTAACAAGCCTTATTTCAGCATAATTTTTTTATAATTAAAATGATAGATTCTTGTTTGCAGACTGCAAAGGAATGTTACAGTAAGATAAAGGACAAGTGAATAACAAATAAAAAATATAATAATATGAATCATTCATTTATGTTATGTTGTTGTTGATCTTGGTAGTACTTTTCTCTCTTGTGCTGTTGTGAAAACTACTGGAACAATTGCTTTGAAATTTTCAGTGGTTGAGGATTGTATTTTTCGCTAAAAGGCTATTACTTTTATCTATTTCGAGAATTTCTGTGGGCTTTATGGTATTCGTTTTACGTGTGCGATGGAAAAAATGGAATCGTGCATAATCATAATGTGTTATTCGACATTTTATACGTTCGAGTTAATCAATGTGCTATGGTCGTAGGCAGATCCGGGCATTTTAGCGATTGGTCAGAGATTACTGTTTCTTGGTAGTGAGTACAACTGCGCTTGACCTTTGCTTTAGGCAGGAATTTTTATAAAAAAAAATTCACGGTTACCGCAAATACACGAAGAAAACTCTTGTAAAAAGACCATTGACTTATTTGATTTATACCTAATTTAAAAAAAAAAGAACAATAACAGACGAAGCCACGAAAACGCGTCAACGTTGCTATGGGTGAAAAAGTCCTTGGGCGATTCCTCGATTTCTTTTCTTGTTTATTTCCGTGACAATAACCAATCAGCAATAATTCAACGAATACGTAACAATTGGAATTTGTGGAGCCGCTGAGGCACCTTTTCGATGAAACAGAAACCGGTATATATATATATAAATTATCTATCAGTTGTGTTTTGAGCAATTGAACCAGTTTGCAAGCGATAACCCGCAGAAACACTTCCAAAATAGGCATCAAAAATTTTGCAATTGTAAAGTATATGACAAATACTTCTGTGGTCAGAGGTCGGAGAAACATCCATCGTTTCATCACTGTTGTGTTGTAGATGATTGGCCATTGTTACGGAAATAAACATTAAATTCTATATCCGGATAATTCGTTCAATCCTTATTCGGTGTTTGATTACGCTATGACTTGTTCTGTCTAAAAAACGACTATGATTTAACGAAAGCTTACTAATATACTTGCTTTTTCGCGGGATGAGTTTATGCTATTTTTATTCATTTATTGTCACAATATATACCATCTCGTTCAAGTATCCTTGTGGCAACTGAAACATGCGAATAAGAAGTAGAAAGTAAACAAGAAGAAAGGACGTGCAGTTCAGTACACAATACCCTAGCACAGGTGTTTTCAAACTTTTGGTGTTACGGGGCGGGGCCCGTGAAAAGGTTGGCTATTATTTACGGAGCCCCACAATAATATAATAAAAACACATTGTTACTTACCTGCCTTACTAAATGTTACTGAGTAAATTAAAATTACTTTATGTAATGAATCCGATGTATTTGCTGCTTTATATTTAACGGATATTCAGTATTTTAATAAGTAAACGAATAGCTTGCGGAACCCCTATATAGGTTGCTCTCACGGAGCCCTGGGGCTCCGTATGGAGCACTTTGAGAACATATGCCCTAGTACACCCTCCGTTTTAGAAGGGTTAAATGTTTAAATGTGCTCGAATAAGCGAATTTGTCTAAATTTGAGAAACTCTACCCCTTTAACCTTGAAAAAAGCAAAATATGCTAATATAGATTAATTGAGATTAGTGGAGATCGAAACAGTTTTTAACATAATAATGATTTTGAGTGAAATAATTTTTTTTTCACAAACCGCCTCTATTTCAAAAATTGGAATGCTGACTTTACTTACCAGTAATTGGGACATGCCCCCGCCTTTCACGACTAGTAATGGTTGTATCATGACTACGGTGTGACACGACGTTTTATTACATCTTCGAGTTTAGTGTAAGATTATTTCCTTCATTCGATAAACAGTATCAGAATTATTGATTTTCAGAATACGATTATTCCAATGAGAACTTTCGTGTATTTTCGAGCGACGATGGCACCAAAACGTAATGAACTTATCGTCACGCTAATAACCGAATTGCATAAGTCATTTTTAGCAGTTTTGAGAAAAACGTAAAAAACTTCCTAATGATATTGTTATGCCATTGAGAGTCAATAATTTGCTATGGTTCAATTTTTTGATCGTAGCCGGATTTAAGTTAATTTGTATGACGCAGATATGTGATGACATAATGGGAAACTGTGACTTAGTCAGAAATGTGTCTATGACTTGGGGACATACGCAAGTTTGCAACTTGACTATATGCACCAGTCCTGAAAACCAAACATTGCAAAAACGAATGTAATTCTCAGTATCTACAATGTCTTATTCATAAAATAGCTAATCTGTTCCAATTACATTATTTTATATGTCTAAAAATATAGATTTCCTCAATATAACACTCTCTGCATACCCACCGAAATAGGACTATAAAAGCCAACCAGGGTGAATTGGACTCGAACAGTGAATATCACAAGTGCACACCTTCCTATACTGTAGTATAAATTCAAATTTATGAGCGCTAAGCTATACTCTGAGATACAAAAACTCGAAAATACTTCGCCGAGGTTATTTTGGCTTTGTGACGTCCTGTCCTGCGGTAACAATTATAATTCATTATGACGAAACAATTGCACATATGTGCTTGTCATACAAAATCTCCATTTTTATGGAATTTTGGAATTCTTAAAATAAAATCTGAATTAACAGACAGGTGCGCAGCATTACACAAATACCTATTTTATAAAAAACTCAAAATCGCCAAAAATGACTTACGCAATTCGGTTATTAGCCTGACGTTATGATAAGGATAAATCTGGTATATCGGCATTGTATCTGGTGAAATTTCATTTGCACAGTACGCATATCAGTGTCAATGTAAGTTGAATAAAATGGACTTCACAATTCTCCAAGTAGCAAAAGCTATTAAAACTGAACTTCGTCGCTCCCGTCTTGGGCATGAGATTTCATCATAATAGGACGCAAGGAATTTTAACTGCATCAAATACACTCTTCCCCGGATAAATAAACAGTTAAATAAACCTTTGCCGTATTTTTTCTTTTTATTTCACCTTTTTTAAGTAATATGATGAACATCCAGTGGTGGGACTCAAATTTTTTGTCAGCCGGTTCCATCACGAAAGTCATATTTTTCAGCCGGTTCTATTACAATCAGAACATTGACAGTAACCAGTAAAGCTAACCGGTTCGCTAAGCTCATAAAATTCCGTGAGGCGGTTCTATAGAACCGGTGCGAACCGGCTGAATCCCACCACTGTGGACATCTAAGAAAGCAAGAAGGACACTGGGATCGATGAATAAGGTCCAAAGTTCTTGAACGGTAATTTCCAAGTGGTCAAGTATATTGTACCTCAAAATAAATATAGATTAAGCCATCAGTTAAAATAAGAAAACATGAAGCGGAAACCGGGGGTTGACAGAGTGAAATATCCTCAAATAAACCACATAACTGTTATTTAGTTTAAGAGCAAATCGCTCCTGACCATGCATGGTATGAAGATTTCGACATTGACTTCGGGTTGCTCAATTCTGACATTTTATATGATAAAGCGTGCCTTTTTAGCTCACGCTTCTATCTATCTGAAATCATTCTAATTTATACGCCTCTGATGACTGGCAAACATATTCAATAATCTATTATCGCTTTTACGGAGTTCATATGTTGTGGCGTCGCTCTTGCGAACTTCGTCACCTATATTCTTCATGCACGCAAGCGTAGGCCTAAATGTGTGCATGAATGACGTCGGTGCGTGTGTGCTGATACCGTGACAGGCGAGATCGATGAACGTCCGCGTGATGTAACCAGACTGAGGTAGTTTGTTATTAGCGTTCGAGCAGACAGTTTCACAGTTGCGAGCAGAAAGATCCGGAAATAATCGAGCGACTTATTCAATAGAATTTAGAGTTCGATGTGATGTTTGGTAGGCATTTCACAAAATTTTTGATATTTGCTATTGTATGCAACGTTTTTCTGCTCGCGGTATTCTCAACGCTAAATTCGATATCCGTATTTAAACGAACTACATCAATCTTGAAGCCTGGAGTATCGGGAAAGATTTTAGTTGTCGAACTGAATCGCACAGAACCCTATATTGTACCGAAATTACACCAAAATCCGCAGGCTGCCTTACTGGAAACAGAGCCTGCTATCGAATTCAAGCGAATAAAATGGCCTGGCCCATTTGAATTCAAAGGAGAGGAAATAATTTCACGAAGCTTAAAACTGGCCACCCAGAATAATTCAACCAACGTAACGGAGTATGTAATAGGCATTACAACGATAACCAGGCCGGGGGTGAGTTATCTTCACAACACGTTACGGTCCTTAATTAATGGACTCGACGACTTTAGGAATGTCACTATTGCTGTTTACATTGGCGAAGAAGAGCCAGAAGACGTCAAACTTATAGAATCTGGTCTTCAAGGGGATTTCGCAAGTGAAATATCCTCTGGTCTAATAAAGGTATGTTTGAGTTTCAAATTGAAAAGTCCGAGTCTGCGTTACCATCCATTTTTTTAAGTTCTAGTGTATTTGAGTATGACTGCGTCAAATTGGTAAAACCGGTGTCAACAGGTAATAAACGTAGATATTGATTACTGTGTAAAATTACGAACCGCCTGGTATTTGATTACGACAAATACCCCTTTCCATGGGCAATTTAGCACGGTTCCCATAATCTTTATAGGCTCAAACTTTTAAGCTGGACATGTGCTACGCATACGCGAATCGCATTTGCAACAAACAGTATTCCTTTTGATACTTGTAAAATATTTACCATGGCATCATGTATGTGTATTTTGAGACCATGTTCCAAAACTAAATGTCTTTCCAGATCCGAACTTGATTTTTATACACGCGTTGTCCTTCCCCTATCCCAGAAGTCATAGCGTATAGGTTTATATAGAAATATCCGTTTGGCTCTTTGTAATTACCATAAAACGTTGATAATACGAATCGTAGCTATGTTTGCAACTAATCCCGTGTTTCACGCAAGAGAAGTATTTAAAACACTTCTGAATCTCCAATTGCCTAAATATCTTTTTTTTTTGAAAATTTACGCTCTAATTTGGTCTCAGACAGTGAATTGCGAGGGCGTTTGTTTCCACGAGACCGATGCGCAGCGAAGCATCATATTATGCTAGCTTATTCTTACAGCTTTTGAGTAACCAACCATATATTTATCTAATGAAGGTTATATCACCGCCGGAAAATTTTTATCCCGACTGGAATGAAGAGTTGCGGCAAAGTTTTGGTGACTCCTTCCAGCGTGTCAAATGGAGATCAAAACAGAACTTAGACCAAATATTTCTCATGACTTATACCTACTACCTCAATCCAAAGTATTATATAATGCTCGAAGACGACGTTTTGGCCTCAAATGATTATCTTTCAAAAATTAATGCGGTGAGTTGATGTGAAGTAATTGTTAAAATTTGTACAATTTGAATTTTATAAACATTTTACAATATTACTGTTTCATTGTTGAAATATTTACCCATTTATTTCTTTCTGACCAATCTAAAAATAAACTATGGCCGGAAACATAATGTTTCTGTGACACAGAGGAAGTGAGTGTGACAAGTTGAACTTTAATGAAAGTGGTACAAAAACGATACGCTATATTTATAGGACGAATAGTTGAAACCCTATCATATTTAGCTTATCGGTTGAAAATTTTGTCTAGAGTTCGTGAATAACCTGTTGACCAAATCACGTATTTTCGATCTACAAGAAACTTTTGTTCAATTAAACGACTGCGTTCAATTTATGTACACTCTGCGACTTTAGTTTAAACTTTCACTTGATTATATCGGTATTCTATATGGTCCCAATTGTCATTTGGGTAGCCCCAACATTATATCAACATGACATGTACTGCCTACACTGCTGTAATGAATTATGGATTATTCTGAATCCCGTACAGTCGCGTTTCCTAACAAAATTCACCGCAAAATTTCGTCACTGATGTCGTAAATTGCTTTAGATTGATAGGTAAAACTGCACCTACTCTCATTTTTAGATTTAGTATCTCTAATTCGCTTTACAAAACATATGTAGACATATTTGGTGAATTACATATTTTCATTGAAATTCCCATGACTAATATATAATTAAAGGATGTCCGCCTGAACAAAGTTTTCAAAGCTTTACCATTCAATGTGTATGAGTTAATTATAAACGGAAAAGATTTTCACAGCATTTTGTCATCACATTTTCAAACAATGACTTTCTATTTTAAGAGATTTTTCTTGATAATATTGTAATACTCAACTCATTTCCAGCTTTAATATAAGGCACATAGCTGCTGTAATTACCAAATTCCTAACTTTGCAACCCATCTATGGGCTGTACCTCGAAGACACTTTTCACCGATGGCCCATGCAAGGAAGCAAATAAGGATCAACTGTATATTGACTATTTTGGTTTTATTTTTTCTGTGCTCATTCGTTTCTGTTCATCATAATCGTGTGGTGGCCGACCATTGTTTTATCAAGCACTCTTATCCCACAAGTACGTAACCTCGACATGGTATTGAGCAATAAAAATATTCAACAAAGTTTCAGCAATGGCCGGATGTATAAATTAAGTTTGTAGAACGGATATGACTAAATAGCTGAATAATGTTGTTCCGTGTTATGCAGAAGAAATATTTTGCGAAGGCACGATCGTGATATATTTGTTAGTATCTTGTCTGGCCACCATCTTTTTACACTAATGGAAACGCGTTTCATAGCAAAAAGAAGGAATAAATATTACCTTACGAGCGATATATGCCCGACTACATATGTGATGATACTAAGAGAAAGATGTAATTTTGACACTTGTGATCATTTTAGTTACTAAAAAGGAATTGGATTTGGGCGCCTGCTACGACGGCTACATTACATCACCCCAAGTTAAAATATAAACGAGCTACGATTCCGTTCTTTGTTTGCATTGCGAATGAAATAATATTCGTCTAAGGTCCAAAGCGATTTTCTAACAGGCTATACGGTATAGGTCCTCAATTTGTGCAAAGTAAACAATCCTTGGTTGTTTGCTTGCTCACATTTTAAATATCGCGGACTTTTGAATTGGAATTTGTCAATGTCTTCATGCCATGTATTTATAGTGAAACTATAGTCAACTACTTGACTGAGCAATGAAGAAATTTCGATTTTTTTATTCCACCGTAAAGCAAACTGATTTTACGAACAGTAAGCCACGACATAATTGACTAATTCATAGATTTAATAACAAATTGATCTTACCTCCAAGCAAACTGATTGACGAACGGTAACCCGTAACACAATTAATGTGCAAACATGATGGATATACAGTAATTAATATTAAACTAATCTAAATTTATTCACTTTATGGATTACTAGCAAATCTATTTTCTATTAGCTTTTGCCTTCAACAAGAGAAATTGTGAACCAATAGCGTGCACCTTTAGTACGATATATAAGACTGTATGTACAGTAATATAATATGTTGGCGAGTATTTTTCATATTAACCGTAGATTGGGATTCGTATTTACAGGATGCAGAAGCGAGAGCGGACGAAAATTACGTTATGATTTCATATTGCCAACTTGGTGCCATTGGAAAGTTACTAAGAAGAGAAATTTTACCTTCAATGAGCACATATTTTCGCCTTTTCTGGGCGGATAAGCCTCTCGATTGGCTCATGTTGGACTACATGAAGTCACGAGTCTGCAATGACAGCAAAGGTGACAAAGATTGTGCCGAGAAACTAAAAGAAATTGAAATTGTGTACAAGCCGAGTTTGTTTCAACATGTTGGATTGTAAGTATAATATAACAATTATAAACCATAATTAAAAAGAAATACGTTTTTTAAACTCGTTTAGCGCATATTCAGTGGGTTAATTTTTTGCGTAGCTAGAACAAAATGATGCGATGTTTTTAATTTGTGTTTTATGAAGTTTTGGAAATAAAAGTACTCCCTGTAATCTGACACCAAAATAAACGTAACTGTAAATTTCTTGTTCGTTCTGTAGGTGCCTTGCGTTGCTTTCTGAAGCACTTGACTATAGGAATAAAATAATGTTTTCCGCGAAACTTATCGCAAAGCCTGGGTTTCGTGGGACGACATTATTTATTACTGTCTCGTTCAAGTGTACTTGCGGCGACGGACATAAACGGATTCAAAATAGGAAGTAAACAAGGGGCAAATGTCTACAGATCGATACACAATAACCTAGTACCCTCTACCTTACTATAAGATATTTGGTTTCTGTAATTTGAATTCAATTCATTTGTTTCTGATGTTAAATTCAATTGACTATCTGTGATACTCAGGAGTATTTGGAGTCAAAAATACGCCTTGTTTTTCAAGTTCCAGGCGTGTATTTGCGACGGTATGGTGCTTTAATAACAATATGTCGACGGCGCGTTGGTTGGTTTTGATAGTAAGGTTATGATAATCATCATTGCTGACATTTATAAGATATCGGAAGTCAATTGCGCGGATGATAATATTGAAGCATCGCGCGGGACAAATCATGTACTAAGTTTCTAAGAGTACGATGAATGAATCGCGCTTCTTTTCACATATAATTTAAATAGTTCATACCTAACGATTGCCGCATTTATAACGCTGAACTCGCCTGTCCCTAAAAAATGATATGGTTTCGCTCAAAACGATAAGCATTCTGTAATTTCGTTGGTTTCCTTGTTATTGTTAACGCATATATGTGGCTTAAATTTCATTGTAGGGTTGGCAAATAGAGCACTATTGTCATGTTGTCTGTCCTTCATTCTCAACCGTCATTTTCCCGTGGTCATTTCAGCTTCGAAAGAAATCTTATAAGCCCATAAAACGTTGGATAAAAATTTCGAGTATCATAAAAATGCAAAAGTGCCAATGATTTGTTCATCCTTGTGTCTATTTATAAGCTTGTCAAGTTAAACTTCCACACCTTGGTTCAACCTCATATCATATTTGGGTAACTAATAAAATTTGGTCCTATTTCTGTGTTAGATCGGATTTCGTGTTGTGCCGCATTTGATGTCCAAATACTTCCAGAACTCAAATCCTATGGTCTAGAATTGTATGACCCATTGAGGTCGCTACCGTTAAAATCAAAACTGCTGCCAAATGAAAGCCCGGTATGACCTTTATGGGGAGGCCATCATATAGCGATTGAGATCGTATTACCATCCCTTCACCTCAGTTAATATTGAGGTAAAATTGTTTTTAATTTCTAACAACCTTTACCATATGCCTATCTTTCGATAGAACGTCATCACTGGAAGGAAAAATCCAAAAACTGAAAGACAAAAATTTTAAACCGTGAAGTTAGATGATAAGAGACCGGGACATAAAATAAAGATAGAAGGGAAGAGTCGCTGCGATGCAATCTGAAATTGCCCGATGGTGGTGATGATAATACATGAAGTAGTTGCTAGACTATATTGACGAAAAATGAAGATTACGAAACAGGCTATGTGGGAATTTCATACCTCGTATATATAATCTGAGGTTTTACTGCCTAAGCTGATTGAAACCTCCTTTATGATAATATTTTCACGCTACCGAGAAATTTGAAATACATTTTTGTCGACGCTTGTTAACGCATTTCTAAAGAGTGCTCCCTCAAAGGGTTAAAATTGACATTCCAGGACGATTGTAAGAAAATGTCATAGACCAGTAAGTATCGTAAACCCATACACCTAAATAATTCAGGTGGATATATGAATCTATTAGCCTTTTTAACGGTAAACCTATTTGTCTCTAAATTCACATTACGAGAAAAATAAATGCTGTGAACACGACTCTTTAACAAGATCCCGTTGTCATTGTATAACCATTAACTTTCTATATGACGCGAAATCCAATAACTTTTGTTTGGCGTAGTTAAGTGAATGTGTTACGCGGTTTTGATCGAATAATGGGGAAAATAAATTATTTCGGACCGTCGCATTTTCTCAATGAAAAGCGTAGTTATGATGTCTTCATTGTTAAAATGCTTTTGTTATCTCTTCAGAGATTGGTGCTTTGGGTTACCGCCTAACCCGAAATCATTTGCCTGGCGCAAGCCCTTATGTGGTGCTTCTTTATTGGCATATTTAGCCATTTCCTCTTCCGCGTGCTCAGTATGAACCGTTATATTAAATGAAATATTATACTTCGATATCCCATTTCATGCTTGGGCCATATTATGTTCTGTATAATGTATGTCAAGTTATTATTGTAAATGTTTGTCTATGCATAACTGTCACCGCTGTATCAAATAGTATGTTAGCTCTGTACAGTATGATAATGCTCTGTTTTAATATTTGTTAACATATATGCGCATGAATGTCTGTCTTTTTACTTCGAATAAAGTGTAGAAAATAAGTTCCCTAAGTGAAATCTATTAATGATCGTCTGATAAAATACCAGATCAAGTCGTTTTACATTATGAATTCTGCAAATTTGCGCACATTGATCAGTGTTATTGTACCAGATTCAACGTAAAGTATCTCACAACAATGCATATTCGTATGTGGAACGAAGAGTCGATTCTAACATTCTGTGCCCTGTACCTCCATATTCACTCGTAGATTTCAGTCTGTCAACTCCAAACTATCATTTCTTCACTGTTGGTATGTCTTGATAATAATGCCGGAAATTGCAATAATAATGCAATAAAATTTACCATGTTTTAGTTCGTTTTTCTAGCTGTTTTATCAATCATTATAGACATCATTTTATGGAATAATTCGTTGCAAACTGAGAATTTCATTTTGTATAAAACCACGAAGGGTATTTATTTTATGTTTAATGACTTTATATCATCATCACGAAATCATTATTTTTATTAACCGTTACACAAACGGACATAGTGTTTTGCGAAATTGACCTTATGGAAATTCTAGATTATCAAACTATTTCGATATGGACACCTTGAACTAGCACGTGGGTTTTATATCTACCTGAACTAAAGTTTATTGATTTTAACGAAATTGTAAAACAGTTCTATGCTTCAAATCATATTTTCATTATATGTCGCATGATGCTACTATTCTACATTTCCCTATATGACTCATTTGTATCTATCTTCATATATATATATATATATATATCCACCAGTTTTGAATACATCTCGTATTACTGTGCATTTATGGGAACTATTCTGAACATTTTTCGTTAAAATGACACACATTGATTGCAAACATTGCACATAGCAACTCGAACGTAAATATAAAACAAATAATGAAAATTGGTATAAAACAGTGTTTGTTCAACGTTTTGTTGGGTTTAGGTCAGTCCGTGTACAAAACCAATAAAGGGCATGTCCATATGTTTACGCTTTATTTTATTTTAACGATCGAATTCAGGTTACAGCACCAATCATTAACTGAGATGGATAAAAACAAGAGAGCAATGCACCTAGACATAGCACCTCTGTCAAATAGCTACATCGAAGAGGAGCTTAACTTTTATGGCGAAATTACCCAATTTTCAACAACGTACTCACAGACCTGATCGCTTCGCAAAAAAATTTTGTGCTCGTTGTCAAGTGGTTATATGGATCTTTTTTTTTATCATTCCATCATCTTGTTGTTCTTGTTTCATATATCCGAATATCGGGGCAATCGTAAGTGACCTCTAAAGTGGGAGGTTTTTTTTATCGCGAACTGTGTACTGCGGTACCTGATCTGGTAACACGAAATGACTCGGATCAGCGCCTATTTCAATTCACGTTGAAACTGAATCATGGAGAATGGATCATCGTCACAGGATCTGGAAAAGCTATGACAGTCCCTGTACCGTTACCCTGGTACAGTTACCGCATATGATTTTTGGGGAATTGGTGATAAAATATTTAGTTCTACATTCAGTGTTCACGTATTTGAGCATAGCTCCCTTGTTATCAAATCGAAGATTATACAATTTTTTTTAATGCAAATACACACTCTGCCTTTGTTATGTATCAGTTGCTATAAATATGAAACTATTAAGGAAGCTGCTACACCAACCAGAGAATCTGAACTTACCGAGGATTTGATCTTTACAGATTGTTGTACGTCAACTACAGCTGATGATGGAATTGGTCCTCTCTCTCTCTCCAATGTCTGAAAGTTTTACAGATGAAAACATGTTTTTAACTCAAACTTTAAAACTTAACTCACATGAATTCAGAAACAAATGGAAGTCTTCCGACCATAGCGTCACAAGTCAGGAATTTGTGCCAGTTCCATTGACATTGACAACTATTATAAATTTGATGGATTAGGATATTTTAGCAGTCTGCCAAATAGTCTTAAAACATTAAAAATAAATATGAGGGATTTATTGCATCATTTATGCTTCTATGCACAGATATAGATGACGCAGACTGAACTAGTCATATATATCGTTGCAAACGATTAATTCACTAAATTACAATTGAAATATGTTTTATATATATTTTGAATATAGAAACACTGGGGTTTGATAGATGTGATATGCTGTAGTTCAATACTTTATACTTATATAAACAAACAGTTAATTTTTATTATGTTCTGTGCTTACTACATTTCATGCAATGTTTTCAAAAAAGTTCACTTACAACTTGGAAATCTAAGTTAATTGTCGAGAATATTAAAAATCAACAAATATGAATAAGTGTTCTATTTTAATTATATCTTCATACATTCCAGATTTTATGTGAATATTTAGTTTTCCAATGCCAAATTTTGAGTAAAGTAATTCCGTAAAGTCCATTGCTATTACAAGTGAGGAATGGACAATTATTCATACATGCAGACACACAATTTTTTTTAAAAGATATTCATGGTGTCATTGTTTACTTTGGTATTAAGACTCGAACCTCCTCCTCCCTTTTGATATTTTCCCAAGTTGTGATGATATATATTATTATAAGATAATTAATTAAAGTATATTCAATCAATTTTTATTGTACTAAAATAAATTTTACTCCATGAGATTTTATAGAAGACTTAGGGATTTTTCTAACGGTTTTATTTTTAAAATAATCTGAGTATAATAATATTTATCAAAACTAGATATATATAACTGGGCAGTTTACCACACATTTTCATGTCCGCGGATTGCCGTGGTATTTTAGAGTAATCATACTTCCATTTTGTCGACGCAATCGCAGGTTAAATTGAAGGCAATGTCCCTGTCGGTTATGGATTGATTACTTTGCACAACAGAAAAATCATAATTATCCGTCGAAAAAGTCGTTCCGCGGGGATTTCGAGGCGATGAATATGTATTTTTGATATACTGATATACTTTATATGTATTTAATTGTACTCTATGGGATTTTCTCACAGATCTTGAGATTTTTTTAACCGCGATAAAGAATTCGCAAAAATAAGTATCAAAACTAAATACAATAATAATCCGCGTAATCGCGGAGAATGTTTCAAAAGGGAATGGGAATTTCCTTTTTTTTAATCCTTCCAGGACAATTAAAGTAAGGCAATATCAGATTGAATTGGTCATTATCAGCTTAAGTGTTTTAAAAGTATAACAGCCCGAAAGTTCAATACATTTGTGTATTTTTCTTACCCAAGCCTGGTTTAATTAACCAGGTTTGTGTTTATAAAGGTTTTGCCCATTCTGCAGAATTCTCCATTTTTTTATTATTAAATCAAACTCTTTTATTTATTCAACGTTGTCGGTAATCACCAAGGCCGAGCACATAGTAAACTAAACAGGCAATGGACACTACGCAACAGAAAGTAAGCGACAAGGAAAGAAAATAAATTTATTGATTCATATACACAGGAATTAAGAAATGGCGATTTTTCTCGTAAACATACAAACAAGATTAAGGATGGGAATTTAGCAAAACAGTGTGTGTGTGTGTCGGCAGCATAAATGTATGGTAATTTATGGGTAACAATTCAAAACTTTTCGATTACCGAACAAAAGCAGGTTAGGGACACGCTTGCCACCGCACTGATTACCCCGCGTGGTTCGCATGTTCGAATATCGTGTGGGACAATGCTGACTCTCTGTGGTGAAAGAGCCGCTGGATTCCTCGCCGTCACATAAACGCTTGTCGGTTACAGCATTCTTCACCATCGGTTCCATGCATCTGAAAAAAACATAGTCGGCTATCTAACTAATCCCATTCACGACGTGGAATGGTAACCGGATGAGAGATTTTGACGTTAATATTGTCAACTCGTGACTCCATACACTCCTTCGTACCAGAAAATGTTGGGGAATCACCTGTATTTGTCAAAGTCCGCTTCCTCAATAAGCCAATGAACGAAATAGTGTCAGAACAAACCATTAATTCAAAATATTCGTTTGATGTTGCATATATACTGTCATTATGGCATCATTTTGTACAAATTCCACCAATTAGCTGTAATTTTAATTCACTATATTATGATATACTGTGTAGGCGTATTTATCATGCTGTAGCTTTCAAATTGTCCTAAAGGCTAATTTTGCATTTCGAGCAAGATTGATTCTATAGTCATAGTGTACTTTCAGCGATTCCTTTGGGACTTTTCCATCAGTGCTTTAGATCTGTATTGCTGTTGGTGAACTTTGAAAGTTTGCCATTTCCTGATTTCTGTATTTACATATTTAAGTGTGTAATTTCTGTTGCACATTCTATTTTACATTGCTTATTGAACACTCATACATGGAATTAAATTACAATGTTGCCTAGGGTTTCTTATTCTGGTACTGTTTTCAAAATTGAAAAATAATATTGTTAAGAATCTGAACATCATGTTTTTAATGATGTGCTGTATGCAGTGCATATACAAATGTGTTTTTTAATTGACAAGTAAGCCTACATTCTGCAATGGTGAATAATTCTTTGTGTTTATGATTCAGTGATTACTTGATTAGTAATATACTGAATATAAGTTACTCAACTCTGTCCCACCAAATGTTTACTTAATACTCTTCTGTTCAAAATCATGGATGAAAGTTGGTGTGATTCATGTTTAATATGTGGCCAGAGATATTTCTCTGAAGATGAAATGACAAAGCACATTGAATTGGATCATGCAACTTGCAATAAGGAAAATGATATTGACAAATCAAAATGTCCATTTTGTACATATGTGGTTTCCAATGAAGATGAAAACAAGATGGAAACCCATGTAATGGATGTTCACAAGGAGGAAATGCGTACACCAAAGAAAGGTATCCACTTTAATTTATTAAAGCAAAATCTGAAGGTGCGAAAGGTCTGGTCATTAGTTTGATTCATTTATTAACATACTCTTTGAATATCAAATGTAAATTTTGGTTAAGTTACCTAAACAGAGTATAGAGTTTCTCAAACTGGGTTCTAAGCCTCCCCTAGTGTTCCATGAATTGGTTTTCTGGAGGCCATGACCAAAGGTACTATTAGCAGTGACTACATTTATTCACAGTAAATTGACAGAGATTTGCCTAAATTGTTGATTGTAATAGGATTTTTCTTACTTCAGTTGGCCTTTCATTATTGAATGTGTTGCATAAACTAACTGACAGAAACGCATAAGAAGCAAAAATGTGTCTTTTTTGAATAGATCAGGGGGCCACAGATCATGAAAGTTCGAAAAACACTGGCATAATCATTCATAGGTCTATCAATAATTACTGAGAGCCCCTTATTCAGGATATTAGATAATTAAAGCTTAAATATAGTATAGTGTTACAAGTTCCTATCTGTTGCAGATGAGTGTGGAGCATCATCAGGGAGTGAGGTTAATGGAGAATGTAGTAGCAATGTTGATTCATCTCAATCAAAAGTATTAAGTTGTCCAGTTTGTCAATTAACTGGATTTGACAATGTTGACACACTAACTTTTCATACAGAGTCTCATTTTATTGACAATGAACAGGGACATATGTCATTAAAATCTGATTACACACAAGATGAGCTGTTGGCTATAAGTATGATTTGTATATTAAGTTACTATATTGCAAAGAATTCAATGTATCAAAGTTATCTCGCCTATTTGAAAAGTTGTTTATGTAGTAACTAATAAGTAAATTTTTAAGATGCGTCTACAGATGGAATTCTCTGCAGTAATTTTTTTCTGGCTCACAAAGTCCCTTATATGTATCTTTACTTCTTATTACTGCTTGGTTTGCTAGTCTGGGTCCTGGGCCAACCTAGGTTCAGATGCAATGATTGCGGTATTAGATGTTAAATTTATGAAGTATGTTTTTTCTAATCTAATGAATTCTTATGTTCATGTCTTTTCTTCTCTGGTGTGAAGCATCTCATAAAAATTATTTAGTCCCGAATCACACAAACTTTAACAAAAACACATTTAAATAAGATCAATAGTATAGCGACTGTCATCACTCTTGCTCAAATGGGCTTACTCCAAATGAGTTTACTCCGATCTACATTTTTGTTTTGTGCTATCAAAATAAACCTCATTGTAACACCACTTCTACACTTTGATACTCTAATAATATATCCACATTCTAGAGTTACAAGAGCAAGAAAGATTCGAACTACAAGCCAGTCGAGACGTTGCGGAAAACTTATATTTTGAAGAATTAAGGAGTAAATATGGAATGGGCAAAGAACACCAAAGGACTGGTTTCCGGAATCAAGCGTTTAAAAATATGGACAAACAAGTTGGAAGAGCATCATCATCATGTTTTGATTATTACAGGTAGATATGGTAATCATGAGTGTATATGTTTACTGTTTGATTAAAACTATAAACTTCTGTCAAATATAATTTTGCTTTAAAAGTAAATGATTTAGCTCGCTCAAAATCGTATGATGAGGGTAAATACCAATATTCAGGAGTATTGCTTTCATTAATTCAAATGTTGTTGTAATGTGTTAGGATTTCTGGTATTGAGTGCTTCTTTCATTTCCTTGTGAGATAGGAATCTAGCCAAAACATCTCTTAGTTTTAATATTAATAAGGCCCTGTGTTGTTTCTAACAATAGTTTCATTTGAGATGTATTCTTTAATGTATTCAAGTTAAGTTAAGATTTCAATTGTTATTCTTTATTAAAGAACAGAGATTCTCATATTTTATACATAATAAAAAGGGATGACATTGAGAAATTTGGTTCATCTAAACATTTCAGGGAAAAGTTGAAAGGACTCATTTTATATTGAAGCTATTGTTGCTCTGTACAATTTTGAATTCTTTGTTTTGCACCAAAGCAAGAGTTACTCATTGATTTTAATTTTTAGCCTACCACCATAATATACATGATCATTTGAGTTCTTGCTAAGGTTTGATTTAGTGAATTGTTTTATTGGTGTGAAGTGTTTTAAAATGAATATCTTTTCAATATTTTTACCTATAGTGACAAATTTAACATGCTTGAAAAATTGGAAATGGGAATTGATGATGGTATGACAATTCGCTCTGATGTTCATGGGCTATTAAAAACACATTTAGAAAAAACTGTGAAACCTGGTACAAGAACCTGGCTGGCATCATCTACTCATTTTATTGGTGATTCATATACTAATATGTATCTTCATATCAACTGATTTTATGGTACAATTGTAGGAAACTAAACTGAATTGTGTACGTCATATTTATACCAACATAATGTCTTGCAACCACTTTATGGGCAAATTGCAGAGTAATCAATTACTTCCCCAGGGTATAATCACATATGTTTATTTGTATATATGTACATTTTCCAAGTATAAGGCTTATACAGACTGCTTTAAGATGTAAAATTTGCGAATACAAATTCCACAATGTCTAGGCTTTTGAAAAGAATTGTTGTCTCATATATTTTCTCAAAATTTTAACTTTACATCAGGATTATTACATATTAATCACACATATTTTCAGGTCGAGGGCCTGGTGATTCTGGTTGGGGTTGTGGTTACAGAAACATTCAAATGATAATTTCAAATTTAAATGAAAACTGCAACTACAAAGATTTGATGAAGAAAAAATTTGATGGTAAAGTTGATGTTAGATGATTCTGACCATTATAAAGGAAAAGCCAAATAACCTCTTCCATACACTTAAATAACCGGTGAATAGTCACTATTTAAAACTATTTATTGTAAATAGGAAACATACCTTCAATTCCAAAACTCCAAGAATTGATTGAATCAGCCTGGTCAGAAGGTTTTGATGCAAGAGGTCGAGAACAACTTGAATCTAAAGTGGTTGGAACAAGAAAATGGATCGGAGCAACAGAAGCATTTGCATTTCTTTCCAGCATCGGTCTACATTGCAGAATAATTGATTTTCCAAGGTTTCTTTCGTTCTGCTTAAGACACTTGTGATGTTTTCTAATAATGTAATTAATATAATCTGTATAACAGATATCCAGTTTGTATATATACAATTTCTTCCTTAAAAAAGTCACAGTAATTGCTTGAGAAAGAAAAAACACACAATGACAAGTATCGCTTATAGTATTTTCATTTCTGAGTCATTTATTTTCAATTTTCTCATTATGTAAAAAATTAATAAATCTATATTCATCCATATGTACTTCTTTTATTTTATTAATTTTGCACTTCCATCACCTATTACGTCAGGCCATCTTATTACGTTCAGACCATCAGGACCAAAACAGAGTCATCCCTTATTGTTGAACTGGATCATCCAATACTTTGACTGTGAAAATATCAGCGACAGCGATCGCAGTAAGTAGGCTAAAGTGTCAAACTTGCCATATGGCTGGAGCATTATATTTATTAAAAATGAATACATATGCCTTATTGTGAAGCAAATGTTGTCATGGCAAACTCACTCATTCATAAGTTTTATACCCACTTTACGCCTTCTCAAATAGTCAGGAAGCATTTTTCCAAGGGTATCTACTTTTCCACTCTTTAGCATCACATATAATCTGCACATCATGAATAAAATATCGCTTTTACGTTTGATTGTATCAACTTCCACTGTACATTTCTTAATTTCTTTCTTGCAACATATCATGAACATACAACATCTCATTTTACTCTGTTTGAAGTATACAAGTTAGATGATAGACTAAATTTGCGTCATGCTATGGATGGATGCTTTTTGATGTGACCTCTTCTATACATTTACATAAGTTTTCCTTGGTGTCAATTCTTTTTTTAAATCTTTTTATTACGATATACTAAACATAGATAATATGAACAATATTTATTTAGCAGTTATTGTGACTTCAAAACCACCATTATATCTTCAACATGAAGGCCATAGCAGATCAATTATTGGTATTCAATGCGAGGATTCTTCAAATAAAAACTCCAAATTGATTCCAATGAAAATTTTAATATTTGATCCAGGAGATTCAAAATTTCAGTTAAAGAATAAGGTAGGCTGAAAATAATTTTATCCTCACAATACGGATTATCTTTTAGAAAAAGAGAGAAAAGTCTGAATTGTGAAGATCTTATGAAAAGGACTTCTCTGGGTTTTGTGGTCTGTGGTTCACACAATCACGGAACTCAGCATCTGAAACGAGTTAAGTAATCCTGTAGTGTACCCAACAATTACTGGTGTCCGAACAACTGGCCGTCGTACATAATATGTTTAAGTCGTCTAATCGACTTTCCTTTTCGTTCTGATATAATATAGTATTTCATCATGAATCTGAAGACAAGCTAAGATAACCACAAACTCTTTAAGTATTAAGTTAATTCACTAAATATATTTGAAGTCTCCATCGTTTGAATACAGCTTTGATTTAATCGCCCATAGCAATAGCAAAGTCACTATCAGTTGGTACTTACTATATTTTTCAGGGCAAGAAACTGAAAAAATCTTCACAAGGATCAATAAATCTCAACAGAGTCATCAAACCAATTTCCTGTCTAAACAAAGACCAATATCAAATAGTTTGTGTGGAAGGAATTGCAACGCAACAAAGGCTTCAACAACAAAAGAATCCTGATTCTGTTTGTGAAAAAGTTCAATGAAAATGCTTGTAATTTAGGGGAAAAGTTTTTTTTTACTTATATTGCACATAGTAATTATGAATTACTGTGTTATTAAGCTGAATAGAGGGATTGAAACATTTTTTTGCTTTACCATACATGACTCATACATTGTGAATTCTTTTTTTTTTCCTTTTATTAGATAACTAGGATATCTCTAATTTCCAATATATTCATATTTTTTTGGAGTCGTTTGAACTGCTTGTATGTTGCCCATTAACAGCAGTTGGCTATGTAAGAGTGATCTTGGATTATTGTGCAAGTGAGCAGGTGGAGGAATTTGTTTGTTAAATAGAATCTGGACATAAAAAAGGTAAACCACTATGCAGGGACGAAACAAGGTAATAGTTACAGGTGTGGGTTCAATATGGGGTGACGGAGAAGTGCCGGTATTCTAGTTATATTAGGCTCGGCGATGTGGCGCATCGTGCTAAGCGTTCGAAATACGCTCGTCATGGCATTAGAGATGTACCGATAGCACTTTTGTCGCCGATACCAACTAAAATCGCCGATACCAATAACCCGATATTTCGATACTATGTAAATATTACCTCACGTGCGCAGGGCAGACGGGTTAAAACACTAGTCTTTGAGCTTTACTCGGGCTACACATTATTTCAGATTGAAAAAGGATATAATACATCATAGAAATTGATGTTTGGGATTCAGATGCGTTAATTAATTTCGATGCATTGTGTACTGAAGCTAGTAATCGGTGTTCAATTCGAAAACTCATAGCCAGGGATGTCCAATTCGAATTTTTAATATTAATAACGCGACATTCGAATATCGCCCACACATCATAGAGCCGCCGTCCACGTTTCACTTGAAAACATTTCACATATATATATTTCGTTTTATCGTAATCGTGCGTCGCGACAATAAATTACATCCGACATGAGAGGATTCCAATCAGCGCTGGTTAGAAATACCTATAACACGTCGAGGATGTTTCTGATTTTAATATTTCATAATATATCGCAAATATTATCGTATATTTCGAGATAGTCTGGGCGGCCACGGCAATAAATATATATATAACATTCAGTGGCGGCGCGTCAACAGGGCCAACCGGGGCAATGCCCCGGTTGTTTTTCGGTATAATAAAAAATATTCGAAAAATACCTCAATATCGGTTGCACAGACTGTCTACACTAGCCATATTCTCCCGACATGGTTCATTTTTCGCTCGCAAAGCCTTCGCCGAACGTCGACGGGCGACGCCGATTTTGCCCCGGTTGCTCATTGTATATCGTATTCTCTCTTTTATCTTCCACTCGCCGCGTTTTCTCGTCTGTTTTCTGTTTCTTTTACTAAATCATCGGGGCTAGCCCCGAAATTATGACGACACAATGCCGACGTTTCTTACAACAACGTGTTGACATATTCACGCATTCCTTCTCGTTCGTTGGTTGCTTGAAGAGTTGATAGTTTCCTCGCCTTCGTTTTTGTCGCTTGTTTCGCTATTTGAATCAGTTAGAGACCTTTAGTCCATTTGCTTTCGATTTTCCACATTCCTTTTGAGCTCCTCACTTCTTTCCGGCTTCGCATTTCTTAGCCTTAGACCTCATAATGAATAAGGTTGATGCACTACTTCGCACTCCGTTTTCGCAGCTACCGCTGGAACAAAAATTAGAGGTACAACGTCTTGGGCCTTATCAACCAAAAAATTGTTCCCTGGAACAATCTCATGACGGAGGAAAGCGTCGGCGTACATTCTGCGCAGAAACTTGGTATAAAAAACACGAATGGTTGTGTTACAGCGAGGACAAAAATGCACTTTTTTGTTTTTATTGCCTACTTTTTGCTACCGCCCGTGACTCACGTTGGTGTAAATTTGGTTTTAGAGATCTTAAACATCTTTCCGAGCGTGCCAGGGATCATCAATCTTCTAAGGAGCATCTGGACAATGCAGTAAAATACCGAACATTTGGAAATGTTAATATTGCAGCACAGTTGGATGAAGGACGCGCGGTTTCTATTCGTCGGCACAACCAAAACGTCGAGAAAAACCGCCATGTTCTCGGTCGATTGATAGATGTTTTGAAGTTCATTGGTTGTCACGAGCTGTCCCTCCGTGGGCACGATGAACGGACTGGCTCTTCTAATAGAGGGGTATTTTTGGATATGGTGGAATACACCTCATCCCTAGATACAGTATTGAGAGATCATCTTGATGCCGCAACTGTTTCGAAAGGGACATCTAAGGATATCCAAAATGACTTGCTCGACTCAATGTATAAAATTTATTTACAACATTTGGCTCTGGAAATTGAGAATTGCCAGTTCCTTTCGATTCAGTCTGACGAGACAACTGACATTACGTGCGTTTCCCAACTGGCTGTGATTTTTCGGTTTGTGAAAGATGGTTAACCTACCGAGAGATTTCACAGCTTTGTACCAATCGTTGATCGCACGGCTTGCGGGATATCGGCTGTACTGAAAGAAGTGTTACAGCCTTACAACGCGAAGTCAAAATTGATAGCTCAAACTTATGACGGCGCGGCAGTCATGAGTGGGTCGAAACATGGTGTTCAAGTTTATATAAAAAAAGATTTTCCTCATGCGCATTTTTTACATTGTTATGCACACCAATTTAACCTCGTTATTAAAAATATGTGTCTTGATACCCCTCTCGTCCGTATATTTTTTGCAAATGTTTCGGGGTTTTCTTCATTTTTCTCCGTTTCGCCGAAGCGCTCTGACCTCCTTCGCCAGATATGTAGCCGCCGTCTCCCAGCTTGTGCACCAACACGTTGGAACTTCCAATCACGCGTGGTGCAGGGCGTCTCCGAAATTAGGTCTGAGCTCATTTAGTGTTTCAATGGCATTCAGAGCTCTCCGGTTTGGGACGAACGCTCTGTGAAGGAGGCGGCAGGTCTAATAAAGCGTCTGCTAGAAGATGGTGAGTTTTCATTTTTTCTCCACAATATTCTATCACGTGGATGTATTATACGGCGCATTGCAGTCAAGGCTAATGGATGGAGCGTCTGTGCAGTCGTGTATTTCAGACTTCTGCGATGCTGTATCTCGTATCCGGGAAACAATAAAATACGACGACACATGGAGTGCTTCTTTACGCCGCGGGCAAACAACGCAGCGTTTGATTTTGTCTGCAAAGGAATGCTGTGACATTCTGGTGAATCAAATAGGCGATCGTCTGCGCACTGAACACCGTGCCGCGTTCCCTTTGATGAACCCCAAAAATTTGCACGTCAATTTCCCATCCATTTGTTGGCTACTGTCTCCAAATTTTACCCCATGATAAACGTGGGTAAATTGGATAATGAATTGCGATGTATATACACCAATCAAACTTTTTTGAACATCACATCAACTTGCGCGCTCTATGGGTTCCTCATAGATAACACTCTAGTAACTACCTTTGCGGCGTCTGCAAAATTTCTGGACATCATTTTGACGACGCCTATTTCTTCCGCCGACGCAGAGCGAACATTCAACACGCTGAACCGTATTAAAACGTATCTCAGAAACACAATGAAGCAAGATAGATTAAATTCCTTGGCTTTTTTATCCATTCACAGAGACGTTATTTCTGGGATGCATGACTTTAATCAACGCGTTATTGAGCATTTTGCTTCCAAGAAACCGCGGCGTGTTGCATATATGTTCAAGCAGTAGAAGTCCAGCAGCATATATATATATGAGTGAGCGACGCATGTCCTTATCTTTGCATTACCTTTCCTTTCTTCATAGTAACGTTTTAAACCTTATTTTAGGTTTTGTCTGCTTTCCCGAAGTTTCTGTTAATATGTCATTGTATTTATCTGGGTAAATATTGCCTTTCCTTTTGAAAGAGGTTTCAAAATAAACTATGTCTATATTTATTAATCCCTTGACTTGGACCGGTTTTAAAGACACTTTCTTATCGTTAAAAATTGTCGCTTTTGACGATTGGTTGTTACCGATGGAATGGTTTTTATACTCATAAAATGATGGGAGAACTTACAGCGCTCATCCTGTCCCCGCAGATGGGGGTGACTTGGTCCCGCAGTAGCTTGCCCCGGTTGTCAAAATGACCACGTGCCGCCACTGATAACATTATCAAAGCCCAATTTATATGTCCCTGGATTTTAGGGAAGTGGATTGTATTTATGAGGGGGATTTTACAATTTATCCGGAAATTCAGTATCAAAAGTATTTATAGAATGTATTCGAAATAGTTGATGGGTATGGTCATGTCAGCTCATAATTAAGGTTTTGCTACCAGAGTGGTGAAATAAATAAATGTTCAGCCTACTTATCTTATCAAATTGATACATTGAGTTACATGCGCAAGATTTTGTTCCAATATGACGACATATTTTGTATTTTACACATTAGAAAATTCACTAATATTCGATTGATATATTTATTCATAATTACTATGTAATATTGAAAACATCAATATAAAATCTTGGCAGTGAGAATAGCCAAATTAGTTGAGCGTTTGGCTGATAAATAACTAAGAACAGGTCAGAATCCCATTCTCGTTTCTATTCGCGGGGATGGGGACGTGTATGGCTCATAGTTTCCCCAAGCAAAAAATAATTTAAACATCAGTATTCCAACTTATTTTTTAAAACATTCTGAATCATATCAACAAGGTAAACATATCGGAAATATCGGTCTTCATTTAGCCCATACCGATACCGAAAAATTGGCCGATATTACCGATACATCGGTACATCTCTACATGGCATCTCTGATTACCTTGCGGTACGCAGGTTCGAACTTCGAGTCCCATGCGGGGTCCCATCCATAATAATGTGCGAGAGGATTGCTGGACTCGCCGCCGCAGGGTGGTTCACCTAACCTCTGGTCGGTTAGGGCATCCTCAACCTAGAGCCATTATATACGGGCTCTGCACAACCATCAAGTCTATGCATCTAAAAACAAATAACTACTCGCATGCACGACATGGACTGGTAACCGGACGAGATGCCGGGATTCGCTAAATGATTAGGCCGTATTTTAGGCTTTCATCGCTCACAGAAGTATGCAAATCCTATTCTCAGTCTACAACAGGTTTGTTATTCGTCGATCCGCTTGATTTCACAGTAGATACCTTATACAGATGTCCAGTGGTGAGAATCAAAACTTCAGTTCTTTTTTCTGCATTAAAATAACACTCTTTATACAAATCTGCGGAACATGGACATATGGTTTCTCTAACATTTGCAAACGCAAAATTATTTATAAGCAGTAGTTCAATTTAATAGATCGCCTTTACGAAATTACGCTAGAATTAGATCATTACCAATGACATTAAACTTGTCCATTGTTTAATGTCATTGATCATTACGAAGCACTTGTGGTTTTAATTTTTGCTGAACATGAATACTTTTTTTAGGCTACACTCCAGTCTTTATAGTTTTATGCTATTTCCCCTTATCTAAACATTTTTATTATATTTTCTTGCAATAATATGTAGGATAGGATTTACATATTTATCCCGGGGGAGAGGAAATCTGCTCAATCATATGACGAACCACGGCCTCTCGTCCGATTACCAGTCCAGGTCGGGTATGGGATTAGTTAGCCAGTTATTTGTTTTCGGAAGCATCGACTTGATGGCGGAGGAAGCCGAAACCGACCAGCGGTTACGCGAACCACCTTACGGTAGCGAGGAGTCCAGCAATCCTTTCGCACATGATCATCCCCGCGTGGGATTCGAACCTGCGATCCCACGAAAAGTAATCAGAGATGCGGTGGCGAGCAGACTCCTAACGCTTAGCACGATGCGCCACTCCGCCGAGCATGTTTTCCAATATTACGGTACATATTATATGTAGTAGTATATATTCAGGATTTCTTATATATACTTTTCATTGGCGCGGGGGTGTGGCTCAACGGGCTAAGCGTTAGGAATACGCTCGCCACCGCACCTCCAATTACTCTGCGTGGGTTCGCAGGTTCGAATCCCATGCAGGGATGGTTATGTGCGAGAGGATTGCTGGACTCCTCGCCGTCGTTGGGTGGTTCACGTAACCGCTGGTCGGTTACGGCTTCCTCCACCACCAAGTCCATGCTTCCGAAAACAAACAATATAACTAATCCCATACCCGACTTGGAATGGTAACCGGACGAGAGGACGTGGTCCGCCATATGGATAAGCCGTCTTATTGGTTTTCCTCTCCCCCGGGATAAATATGTAAATCCTATCCTATTCTATATATATAAGTTGAACTTTAATATATATGCTTCTTTTAAAATTTACTGTGAAATTGTGGACTCCAACTACCTCCAACGTGTTTTGATTGACGAATTCCAGTAAACAAATAACGCGTAGTAGTTATTTTGTTTGGTTATCTCGAGGTACGGTAAGTGGCCTACGTTAGTATAGATCTGCTGTTTTAAGTAAGCTTTGATAACCATGAATTGTTAAACGTTATAGAATATTAGAGTATTTTATGAACCGTGAACGTCACGTGTATAGTTTAAAGAAAAACTGACGATATTTGGAATTGCAAATTGCTTAACTTTGGCGTTTAGCATTTTTTTCTGAATTTAGCACGTTGAACTTTAATATCTGCCAGTCCACTTCTTACTCACTTTAGCTCCAGTTATCGTATTTTAAAACTCTGTTATGTTTTATTATTGTTCCAATTTCACAATCTGGATTTCAATTCCAACACTGGTTTAATATATTTTCCTCTCATACAGATGTATGGAAAATTCAATCTGTAATCAACCATGCAATAAAACTTTCTTTTTTATCTAATTTAGGTCAATGTATAACTTATCAATGTCTAAATGTCTCAATGTAAAAGCAGAAGATACAACACCTATTAACAAATCGTGAACTGGAATGATCAATGATTGAAGTATATTTGTACACGTTTTGTAGCAATATTGGGTCTAGTATAGTTTAGTACCACAGGTACTTCCAGTGGGCGTAGCATAACGAATTTTGCATATGTTATTCCTAACCCCCACCTGACTATGTCATCCAAAAATTACGTCACTACGACGTCGCCATCACGTCATAGGTCTTGCCAAAGTATAATTACGATCGCCCGAAATGACATCTGCGCCGCCGATAACGAACTCGCTAAAGCAGGCGATCTCTCTCCTATCGTGATCGTTGTGACGAGAAAACGAGAGAGAGATAGCTTGCTCGATTTCGAGTGCTCGTGTGCGCGTTTTGGACGACCATTCGCATACTTTGGTGGGCATTATTACGCCACTGTGACGTCGAAATGATGTCATTTTTGGGTGACGTAGTCAGGTTAGGGTTAGGATTGACATATGCAAAAATTGTTGAGCCAGGCCAACTAGAAGTGCGTGTGGTACTAAACTATACCAGACCCGCAATATTTTCTATAATAAATTACTAATATCATACTTTATTTCATAAATGGTAATTTTTTTTGTGGCAATCCAGCTATACCTGACATCTGGGACATGTTGAACTTGTCATTATTAACTGACTATTGTACATACAATGTGTATTGCAGTAATGCTTTTTCTACTTGTCTATTTGCTTTATTGTGTGTATTGTCTTATTATTACATAGCAGTCTTAAACTGCTGTTATATTTGTGAAGGGTGCATGTCGAACAATTTTGTATTAGGCCAGTAACGCCTTGTACATACAGACATATATATATATGTATAGACCAGTGGTCCCCAAACTAGGGTCCGCGGACCATTTGGGATCCGTGAAGCACTTTCGGAGGGTCCGCGAAACAAATCTGTAATATGGCTGATAGCTTGATAATACAAAAATGAAATCTATAAATTTGTAAATTACATTTGTCACCTTTTGCCAACCCTTTTGCTGCTTTACAATCACCGCTAAACTAATTCTTCACTTTCTGTTTCGGTCACGCTGCCCCATTGTGATGTCACATAGCTGTGGGATCACAGAGAGAGTTCAATTCATGTCACCACAAGTTTACTAACTGCAGAGCTATAGCTAAGGCTGCCCTTTTGCACGTTTACCAAATATCGAAACAGGCTGGATGTCATTTGGTGTCGCGCTTCATATTCTTTCACTTTCCGGCGGATTGATTTTTTGTTGTGATCTTTTAATGTTTTGTTTTAATGCACGAGGCCGGGAATCATTGAAATAAATGCTAGGGGTCCGTCATAGAATTTTTTTCAAAAAGTTTGGGAACCACTGGTATAGACTATTATGCAGATACCAGATACTATTACATTTTGAGACAAATAAGCATGCATACAGGCTTGCATTAAGATTTAGAAAATAATTTAAATAACAGCCATACTTCACACGTTTATCATTTCATGACATCTCAGGATGCAAATCGAATTATTTTGAATATTGGAAATACAATTAATTTTAGAAATTGAAATTTCAAAATATTTAGACAATATTGGGTTATTCTCAAGTCCATATTCCTAATTATGTACTTTATATTATTAACAGTTACAGGTTAAAGAACAGAAATAACAACAATTCAATGTGGAGCAACATAGGCTATTCAGTCAAATATTTCGAAACAGTCAATATTACTCGGAGATGGTGACCGTCATGAATAACCAAGGCATGATGATGGGGCCTATGAAAGGTCATCTGGCACCCAATAGTAGCCGTAAGCATCTATTTTTCATCTCGTTTTCAATCTGAAAAGATTCTAGGCTATCATGTATGTCAGGGCTACTCAAATGGCGAACCACGGTTCTAATCTGGACCTTTCGACCCTTTAATTTAGACCACGTCTGTTTGTTTATTTTGGCAGCATAAGCATCGTTTTATAGTTTTAGAAGATTTTGGTACAATTTAAATACACAGCCTTACAGTTTGTCCTACTGGTACCGATGTGCGATATTTGTGGCCATATTTGCGACCCATTCATTGCTCTTGTATTTAATATAATATTGCATTTGAAGTTTCGTTTATTTAAGGAAATAAAATTTCTGTAATTGCCGGACCCCAGTAATTTTGAAGTTCCATAAACGGACTACTGGTGAAAATAGTTGAGTAGCCCTGATGTATGTCATACTTTGGTATATTACCAAATGAGCACCGATGGTAGTAGAAGACATATTACAATAAAATTTTATTATCTAGATCAGTGGTTATCAAACTTTTCAAATATATTCCCCCCTTTTTCTATATACACTCATCATTCCTCCTCACTTGCATAACAACTCTTATTTCCGTGTTCAATTATTGATGGATAATTAGCTAGTCATACATGCAACTCGCACTCTTGGCTTTTGTACATTTTGAAAAGTTCATGAATGTGTACAAAAATAACTAAATAAGTGAAGGAACAAAGCAAATACAAAATTAAATTTTCTCCCTCAAACCATTCAAATCCCATTTGGAGAGGAATTCATTCCCGGTTGGGAAGAGCTGCTTCTAATTATTTTCAAACAAACTTTCAATTATCATTATTCAACTTTATTTTGACTATTATTTGAACAAAATTTATTGATAATCCATTAATAATTTTGTCACTCTATTTGAAAGCTTCATGGATGGAATAACATATAATTCATGTTTTGCAGCATTCAAACCAACGATCAACAAGTTATCATCTCAGTATATGATCCAAGACCATATGTCAAGTCATTACATAAAATTGGGAACTGCAAAATGTAAGTTTTTTCATTTGCTTATCTTACTACAGGGTGCTCCGAAAAAACAGAACCCACGTCATTTGGAGCATATTCTAGGGCAAATGTAAAATCTGTGCCCTGGATTGAGTGTCCTGGATAGCTGAAACTTTTGGGTACAATCATACACAAACAGAAGTTCAAGTGTTGAAAAATATTCTTTATTTTCATAGAATTAATTAGGAAATTTATGGGGTTTTGTTGCGCAACCCTATAGTTCTGAACTGATTGTTGCAAAATATATTCCTCCAACAGTTACTTAATAATGGAATAAAATTATTTACCAATACAATTTATGCGAAAGTATTTAAACCATTTTCTATCAATGGATGCCAATGTGGTAAGTGATCTATACATAACTGCAGAAACTTGTATCTAGGCCAGTTGTGATTTACAATCAAAATAATTAAAGTGGCAAGTTAATTATCGAACCAATCAAGAAACCAAGTAAAAGTGTGAAGGCTAAAAGTAATATTTTGTTGATATCTTGTTTTAGTTTGGTGGTGACCAGATAAGGGTATTATTGGATAAACATAATCAGATAATGGTATTATGAACAAAACATGATTAGATATTTTGCTTGTTCACGCTATTCGCTCTAAACAAGGCTTTTACACATGCATCTGATGATGAAGAACAAGAATTCAAAAATTTCTCGCATTATGTTTTAGCTGCTATTGACAACAAACCACCTAAATCTATGACTACAAGTGTGAAGAAACGAGATCAGATGCGAAGAGAAGCAATGGCAAAACAAATGAAACTTTTCGATTTTGAAAAGGAAATGAAACACAGCGGTTCATTGTCTAATCAGGTTTTATATTTGAGTTGTACTATTCAATTTTCTAATACAAAGGATATTTGTGCAAGTTAGATACAGAAATCCTTAGTCTCTTATATCAACAAGTCATATAGAATGTAAATATGGAATTTTGTAGGATTTTGAATTGTGTAGATTACAATTCATTTAAATTATTATATGACTCACTTATAAAAATTATTTTAAATTTATAAATTTCGCTTCTAGATATGTCTTTTGCGCTAAACAAGGCGCCGCACAAGTAGCCACTGCTAAGCAAGGAGCTACTATAGTTTGAAAGGACCATAATCTTCCATATTCGGCATTGCATACCCAATATTTTACCTCCTTGGTTAGTTGGGGAACATTGAAAATGGGGAGATTTGAAACCTATATTTTAACATATAGTGCCATCATAGATAGGTCCAACGCTTTAACCACCAGGCCATCATGCTCAGGTGATACCCCTGGAATTTGTTGGAAAAAATATGTTTTGAGACAACATCTATATTTTATATCAGCTCATTTTTATGCTGCTTTTAGATGAGAGACTCTGATGTGTACGGATCACCTCGTTTACTTTCAGTAACTGTGACTAAGACGGGATACGATGAAATGCGACCACGTTCATCATCGTCATTTCATTCTCAACATCGATCAAAATCTGGTTACAGTCCTCGTTCATCAACAACTTCCAATCCAAATTCTCCTCGAAATAAGTCACAAAAATCGGACATTTTAAATCAAACATATAGCGGAGATTACTTGGACAGACACGAAGAACGTTTCAAAAACACAGACACTCCTTTTACACCACGTTTAAAAAAACGATCGGGGAAATCATATCTGTCAAATTCAAAGCATTATGCTCCACCTCTTGTCATAAAGAAAGAGAATAAAAGAAAAATTGCAACTAAGTCGCATGAATCTAAAGAAGATAATGTTTCCCCAGTAGCATCTTATTCAGATTTGAGATCAGCTCAGGATAAGACACCCAACAGGTCAGTATAATAGGTCGATATCTACTATGTCTGCAAGAAATTCAATCAGACCTAAATTTGTAATTTTTTTTTTTAAATATTTTTATTATACACCTTTAGCTCTGAATGAGGCTCTGCAAAAACGGGTTCTTCTAGTAGTAAAGAGCTTCAATATTACCGGAATCTTTTCCGCATTGCGTTCCCAATTTATTACACCCTGAGTGAAGTGGTATTGGTAGGTGTCGGCTTTAATCCCAAGATTTTAACCTGCAATCTCATCATAGTTATCATCATTTAAATGGTGTATTGGGCTGCCATTTAGACAGCAGGTTTGTACAACATCTGCTCAATGCATGACTATTAATAATATGTTAAAATTAGGTATGTAATGTGTTATTGCTCCTGCAGTTAGTGTGTGTCAATCCATCTCTAATGCATGATAATAACAAGTGAGTACTTGTTATTCACAGATCAATATTGCACCTGTTTGACCTTCTTATCATTGTTGAATGTTATTGTTATTGATTGAGGTGTAGGTAGTATTTTAATTATTGTGATGTCACAATATGGTACAGTTAGTGCAGAAATGATCTATAATTAATTAAATATTAATCAGTTGTGAAAGCTTTTGCTTGAGTTGGAATGTGAGTTCAGATGTTGAGGAAAATATGAGCAAAGGACAAAAACCTAGGTGTATTGTCAAGGCAGGTCAATGTTTGCTTCCAAAGCAAGAAAATCAGGAGCTCCTTGCACGAAACCATTTGCGTTATTTGCGCAAAATTTTTACAAGAAAATCGCAGCTTGTTATGTATTTGGGACTGGTGGATATGCATATTTTAGATAAAAGTGTCCCACCTGGTTTGCGGATTGATGTAAAACCACCTGGCTACAAGAACGTCATAAATGAGAGAGATATGGGTGAATGGTTTACTACTCTTCAGCAGTGCTCTGCAAGCCTACTCACTCTTCTGCGAAAAATGTACATCAAAGATATCGAAAAATGTGAGTCGATCATCAAATACTCGGTAACACAGCTCACGACAATAATCACCTCTCTTCGTGGAGTAGAAAGAAAAGTTGTGAGAAACGATGTTCTTGGACTTTTGGATAAGATTAGTCAAGAATGCAACAAAGATTTAGTTTCAAAATTTGATGTCGCAGAGGAACGTATTATATTCGATAAAGCAATGAGAGAGGACAGAAATAAAATATTAGAAACTTTTTTGAATCATGACAGAAAAGTTAGTTTTGCTGATAGAAATAATAACTTAGAAGAACTGGAAGAAAGTAGAACAAAAAGTGTGAAACTGCAATCAACCTGTGATATGGATGTTGAAAATAATGCTCATGAAGGGTAATGAATATTGCTAAACTATTGAGAAACTTTTGTATTGATTAGTATCAAAATATCACTGAAGGATGTATTAGTTTTCAGTTGTGGAATTCATGATGCCCAGAATATATTATAGTTGAATTGCCAATTTTTATTTCAGAAAAGTAGGCCTACCGTGAATGATTTTGGAGCAGACTTAAATTTGAAGGCGCTCTTATGCATAACACAACACATGTCTCTATTAGTGTGCTGTATTTAACTATATCTATCAGCATCATAAATTGAAAATCAAATGTTTAAAACCTATGCCTATTACCATGGCACACTCAGAATTTTTCCATAGTTATTGACACATTTTTTCATTTAGGCCAGAGACATTTGAGCATGTGAAAAAACTAGGGTTTACACAAGCATTGCACTTAATTGGCAGTACACATCTTAAATGTAGATACCTTTACAATCAAACCTGCTGTCCTTATGGCAGCCTAATGACAGCCCCTCATAAAAAGAGTAACACAGACCCAAGTGTTGATTCTTCTGAATGTAGTAGAATATATTTTTGATTAAGGCGCTGTATAAAGTATAATCTATTATATTTTCAGGGAACACGAAAGAAGATGGGTTGAAGAACAGACCGATCTTATGCAAAGACTTACTCTTGATGAATCAAAACGTACTTATGATAATATATATCCCAGTCAAGCCAGGTATACATTATACTTAATTTTACATTCTTGTGCCTGCATATCATAGGAATATGCAAATTCTATTTGTCAAATAGAAAGCAGAGAGTCCAGGTCAATTACGAAACATTACATATTAGATCGAGTTAGGAGCAAATGAATTCAATTCGACATTGATGTATACGAAAATATCAAGACAAAAATGGATTAAAAGAATTTAGCCTATTTTTTAAAGTTTTAATTTTTGAATATGAAATATCAAATATATTCTATGAATTGGGAGATTGTTGTATTGTGTACTGCTATCACAAAGCCTACTTTTCTTCCGATCGTCAGATTTTAATTGCTTGGAACAACCAACATATTTTATAATTAAAATATTCTAAATTTTTTCTAAAATTAAAAATTTAATATACCGAATAAAACATTTTGTATGTATTCAAATATTCGATTCCTTCTTGACGTCCCTGTTTTACTTTTTGGCAACCAAAACAAACTTGAGCACTGCATGTTTTTGCCAATCTTTTTCAATTCTGATTTAATAAAATTGATTTTATCAAATTTATATTCAGTTGAATTTAAAGTCTATTTAACATCTCTTATATTTTATGCCAACAAAAAAAATTGACCTCTCTTAATTTTCAAATTGTTGTAATGTATGTATCACAGTAATGTAGATTGTACACACTGTAGTGTAGATTTGTTCTGTGTTATTGTTTAGTACAACGAATGACTATGGTTTTCGGCAAACTGGAACGGGAAGCACAAATTTTCTTGGAACATCCAGTTTAGGAAGAAGTTTTATAAGGTTATTTGCAATTTATTATGCAATGATGATTTGTGCAACTGAATCTCGCAGTGTAGTTATTCTTTATTTATTCTGGTTATATTATATTGAATTACCTTAATTTCCATGAGGAGCAAAAGCACAATCATTATTATTACTTTTATAAAATTCGACCACATAAGTTACCGTATTTAAATAATTACTTTATTTAATTATCGCTTTGAGTCTAGTCCAGCGTTTTCCAACCTTTTTTGGTCGCGGACTATTTTTTCACTGGCGAAAACCTTTGCGGACTCAACGTGAGTTTTTTGCAACCGTACTCTGTGTGAAGAAGTAGTAAAACCAAACAACAGAATTTTTCCGAATTTCAAAATCGGAAATGCTACGCAATTACGCCTTCGTTAAAAGGGCCGACTTCTTAGTGTATAAATGGCATTTTCTGTCGCACAATATTCAATCCTTGACAACGGCAAGAATTTAAAATGTTTTCCTATTTTAGTTTAATTGTGTTCATGGTCACTCGCGGTTGCGTTGACTTATGACAAGATGAAAGCATTACTTCTTTTAAATGCCACGGCAATCTGCGAACATAATAATATGAGAATATACTGCCCGATTATATTTAGTTTTGATTTAAATTATTTGCGATTTTGCGAATTTGTTATCGCTGTTAGAAAAATCCTACTATCTGCTATAAATTTCTAGAAAGTACAACTTGATTTAGTACTTATTAAAAATATAATTAGTATATTAGTGAATAAAAATAAAAAATATTCATAGCCTTGCTTTAATATTAATTTAATTGTGATCATTTTACTCTGCGATTCGTATTTTTGTGAATTGGACAAATATGAGCTGTTCGTACAACAGTAAAGCCAGGAGTCGGCAACATTTTGTCGCTCGCAGGCCAAAATTAAAGGTTGCAAGTCATTGGTGTAATCGTAAAAACAGCTGTTTTGTCACTATAATTAAGAGAATCGTCGCGGGCCTGATTATATTGCTCCGCTGGCCGTAGGTTGCGGACCCTGCAGTAAAGCAAAGAATTCTGAGGGAAATGCTCTGATACGAATACTACGGTAGCACCCGAAAGTTTGCAATTTGCAACATGTCTAAAAAAGCGTTTTTAAAAAACTTTATTTCAGTTTTATTTCCAGTATTTTGTATTGCCGCTTTTCTATTTAGAAAATTTAGGTTGCCACCATTGACACCTACCAGAAAAATTATTCCTCGTACAACAACGACTAAATCCAATCGTTTGATTAAACGACGCGCAAGTGGCCTGTCGCGTCACTTGTTATCAAATTTTCGAAAAATAAATTGCTATTCTAATAATTGAATATTCGAATATATGCCAAGCCCTACTCATTCAGTATCCAGAAATTATTGACTCGATTAATGTTATATGAATAAACTTACTTTTTATGTTTTATGTAAATTCTAAGGTAAATTGTGGCTGATGGTTAAGTTTCGCAAAAACAATTACGGCTCGCAGTGAATTTATGGCTCGTTGCGGACTCATTCAAACGCCCCGCGGACTCAGGTTGGGAAACACTGGTCTAGTCGTTTGATTACTTCGGCCGAATATTAGTTGTTTATGTATTATGTACACAGGGTTCCAGTTGTTGCATGATTTTTGTTTAGTTTGCATGTCGGTAATAAGTTTTACTTTCATACATACTTCTTTTTTACATATTTATTTGAATGTACAAAGCAATTTTTGCTAAAATGCATGTTTGGAATAAATCATAATAATATTGTGATTTAGATAATCTTTCGAGTCAAGGCTGTGGAGTTTTGAGTTTGGCATGTTTTCACTGGAGTCCTATTTTCGAACTCCATGGATTTGGAAGTCAAAATTCTGAATTTCTCGAAATTGATCTCAAAACTTTGTGAACTTTCAGTAGTGATAAAAAAATGAAATTCCCACAGAATCTCAAAAAGCATCAATAATAATGAGTTTCCCAACAGGAAGAATTGCATAAGCTGCAGATTTTGCTATTAAAATTTGATTTTTTCGGAGCTAGAGTCAATTTCTTTTATCGCTGAGTAGGAGTCAAAATTCGAGTCAATGGTGAATTTCCCTCAACTGCACAGCCTCTTGCTTCTAAGATAGTACATTTTCAATTTCCTGAATAGCATGAAACATTTATTTTAGTGGACTTTTTTTTACCCTCAATGCATTCTAACTTTTATTACTCACACCTACCTAGATCTGATACGTTTGCAAAGAATGAAACAAAGAATCGAATTCAAGCTGAAGAAGAAGAAATGAAATATTTGGAATTTATCAACGGAGTGACGAATGATATACTGACAAGAGGAATTTATTCAGACAGGTATGATACAGAAATATTCGAAAACAGTGGTTCTTGAATTGATGCTCAAGATAAATACTGCATGCTGCTTGTGTAAGATCTGCTAGGACCAAGCTTGCAAAATTTTTGTAACATTTCTCATTGTCAACAAAGAACAATCTCGTTCAACATTTGTAACCTAAGCCTGTGGTCTGGTTTCCATCAAAAATGTCACAGTTGCATATTTGTGTTAGTGTTCAGAAAATACCGGAAGCTTTCTAATTCAGCATTGCCTAACTAGTTTGTTAAACCCTGATTGAGGTGGTAGGCATGAGATTCAAACTCTAAATGCATAACCTGTTATGCCAATACAGTTAAGTCAACTGCTTGAAAATCCAGTGTTACGAAAATGCTGATAAATTTTATTAGCGTTGGTGGTATCACCGTTCGAAAATTTTAGAAATATAAATCAATCAAGCATCAATTGCTTCAAGTTTCATATTTATTCTTTACATTTGGTGAATGCAAAAACTTGATCATAAAATATTAGCATTCACAAATAAATTTCTTTTCTAAGGGTATCACTGTTCGAAAATTTTGGAAATATACATCAATCAAGCATCAATTGCTTCAAGTTTCATATTTATTCTTTACCTTTGGTGAATACAAAAACTTGACCATAAAATATTAGCATTCACAAACAAATTTACTTTCAAAGGGTATTGACGCAAGTCATGCAGAGGCACCTTGACCAAAATTGTAGCAGATTAAATGAATCAAGAATGAGACATATGTTGATGAAATTACAAGAAGATTTAGGAGTTTCCGCTGATATATCATCTCGTGGATTTCGCAGCACATCAGCATACTCTTCGGGTTATGAAGGGTCATCTTGTAAGTTGCAGAATATAGTGATCTTAAAGTTATTTTGTTTAATACTTGTGTTTATATTTCGAGAATTGTAGTTCATGTAATTGGTATTAGTTTATATGTGTCATTATTTATCTAAACTAACCGGTCCATTCAAGCCACTCATATCTAGTGAGAAACTCATGGCTTTCTTGTATTGATCAGTGTCATGCTTAAATACATACAGCATGTAGAATTGGGTCAATGGGAACTTCGATTTTGCTATATTTCTAGATTACTTATTCACTCTAAACATGGCTACTAGGTAAGGAGCTACTGTCGTTTGAAAGGAAGGGTATCTTTCGCGCTTGTCATCGCCTACCCAATTTATTGCACCCTGGGCTCAAATTGGAAGGGTCAAATTGCAATGGTCCTTAGATTGAGAATCCTAGATAGAATTTCAGGTTTCCAATGTGATCCCATCCTCAGGGCATGGGATTTGAACCCGAGATTTGATAATCTGAAATGCAATCATAGTTAAGTGTGACACTGCAGTAACCACCACCCCCGCCTCATACTGATAATATTTTTATGTTTAGACAATCGTTCCCCTAGTCCCGAATCCAAAGCAAACCAAGGAAGTTTGAGAAGTGCTTCTTGGAAAAGTGATGCGTCATCTCGTTCTGGTAGGCTGAGTTTCTCTGAGACAAAACAATCTTCAAAGCCACCTGTCAGTGCATCGTCAGGATCACCATCTATCCGCAGTAGCGTTAAACGACAGAAAGGAATTTTGAAAACACCAGGAACGTCATCTGGATCTGATTTGGAAGCAAAATCGACGGCTTTTTCATCTGGTGACGAGGATGATAAAAGAGTGAAGAAAAAGGTCAGTGTCGAGCGTCTTCCGAGTACAAGTCTCGAAGAAAATCCAGACAAACCAAAGGAAAATCATAATAAATCAATACACAGTGATATTGAAACAAATGAAGCATCCCGTCCAGTACCTGCAAAGCGAAGCTCTATTGTTAGTACCAGCGGTTCACATATTGCAGAATCCGTAGATGCCGAAAAAAATAAGAAAATAGTTACAGAAGACAATGCCGTCACGAATGAAAAGGGATCTGTAGAAAACATTACAGCAGTGACTCGACAAGAGGACGGTCTGGGTCTGGCAGACAGTGATCTAGACGATTTCTAATAATTACCTCTATATTATAATCATGCACCAAGGTTACAGTGTACTTTGTCACTGTATGCTTGCTTTCCTATATGTATATACAACATAGAGTTGTCCTTTTGTGTTTTTTTATTTGTTTTAGTAAACTTTTGTAGTTTTTTCTTGAAGTCCCCAAATTTCTGCAATGTCTAATTATTTCTAAAATTATTAGTTCCCTGTATCAGAGGAGAGGCACTTTCGCAATTGCAAATTTTTCGATAACTTTCAAATGTTCAACCTAGATATTCCAGTCCCAGACTGCTTGTTTAGTGACAATAACGAGTCAAGTTTTAATGACACTGATATATTAATTCAGTTTCTTGATTTTTGAAGTGCATATGCACTTGAATCTTGCTCATAATCACCACATTGACAGCATATCTAATACAGTCTGCTTGGTACTCCTGAAGTATGCGCACTAAGATGTAGCATAACCTAAATCCTAACCTGCAGGTTGTGCGTCATCTTGGTGCGCATACTTCAGGAGGTCTGTCTGCTTTTTAAAATTTTATGGCCTACCGGTACTATTGCATAGTTATTAATCTGTACTATCTAGATTCGAATAATATTAATCGTAGACACCTAAATAGAATCACATATTGCAGCTTAAACAAATTTTTACATTGTGCTGAGTTTAACTGCATTTGAATTCATAACCGAATCTTTCAGCACGTTTTCCCATTAGTCATCAACGGTAATATCTATTTTCGACCAATATTAGATTTTAACAAGCGCATCACATTCTTTATAGAGGGCTGCAAGGGAGTGATTCAAAAAATAAGTGAATGATAGTTATTTCTCATCTATCACTGATATGTACATATTAAATTCAAATTTTCAAGCAAGTAGGTAAGTTTTTTTATATTGGAAACACTAGAGGTTAATTTGGAGATCATGATTTGGGTGTATGTAATAGTATAAAAATATATATTTGGATCTTTCAATGTCAGAGATCAGTTTTATCATTCTCCCCAATATATTGAAAGTTATTTTTATAATTTGAATTTGTACTTTTTACACTCGACTGTGAGAACAAGTTATCAAAATATATTTTTATAATAGACTCATTTAGAACTAGATTTCATATATAAAACTTTATAATTAATTTGCATGTTATTGTTTTAGTTCATTGTGCACAGTCTTGTTGCTGTTTTTCGTAATGAATTAATGAAAGCGAGTAAAAACTTCAATGAGTGATGATGTTTTACTATAACAGATTTTCACAAATATTTTTCTAGGTCGTCAGCCATCTAACATTGTTTCGAATTCCTCACCCGCCTTACAATGCAGTGATAACAAACAGCTTTGTTTGGTCATTATCCAAATCTGACGACGCCACAGCCTTTCTCCTATTTATGTATTATGATATAAACAAACAAACTTGGTCATTTCAAAATTTTTACACATTCCTGCCCAACCCCCTTTGAGGAGTCCGGGATATATTATGCTGCTATTGCTCAAACATATGTAGGTTCCTGTGGATTGTGAGATAGGTCGCGGCAACAAAAGATATTTAGTCTAAATCAGTGGTCGGCAACCTTTTTCGAGTGACGGACCGGTAAAGCCTGACCAAAATTTTGGCGGACCACCTTTATACAAACCAACTATCCCTGTGCAATAAATTATACACATTAGGAAATTACTGTTGTCAATATACTAGAAACGACGGTGATGCTATTTTAGGCGATATTTCAATTTGTTTGTTGGCCGTTAACTGTTCCCACATTGGACTTGGAGATATGGTCGACATTGACACACGTTACGTGTTTCTTGAATCCAGCCTACTACGATATTTCGTTTTTGTAGTTATCAATATGGAAAACCAGGCCTTACATTAATAAGATTTATGGGAAGGTAACAATCAATGCCTGTTAACCTTTCTGACCTTAGTCTGGGTATTGATGTGATGTTTTGCCAAAACTAATTATTTTACTCGATGTGCCAACTTTATGATTATCTTGATTCTGAAGTATAGAATTAGCACTGACTAGGTATGACCGGTTAGCTACGAGCCAGTAGTGGTGTAGTCACGTTTAGAGATGTATCGGCAATATCGGTCAATTTTTCGGTATCGGCTGAGTGTATACCGATATATTTTGCTTTTTAATATGATCCAAAATATTTTAAAAAATAAATTAGAATCTTGAAATTATTTTATGCTTGGATTGATCGTGAACTATGAGCCATTCACATGTCGGGAATAGGATTCACCTGTTTTTAACTATTTATCAGCCAAACTGGCTCAACTAATTTGGCTATTTTAGCTGCTAAATTTTCAATATTACATGGTAATTATGAAGAAATATATCAATCGAATATTAGTGGATGTTCCGATGTGTAAAATACGACGTTATATTGACATTGAACAATTGAATTGAACATTGAGATTACTAGCGTTAGTACTCAACGCATCTGAACCAATTAACACTTTTGATCCAAAAAATCAATTGCTTATTATGTGATATATCTCGTTTTCAATCTGAAATATTGTGCGCTATCAATATTTCTCAAAGACTATTGTTTTAACCCGTCTGTCCTGCACATTGGAGGTAATAATTATAGTATCCGAATATCGGCATCACCGTTTTAAGCTAATATCGGATCGGTATCAGTGACAACAGTGGTATTGATGCATCTCTAGTCACGTTCTCAGTGAGAATCATCCGGCAATATCGGCATCGCCGTTCTAGTCACGTTCTCAGCGAAAATCATTTTGTTGGAGATGCCGTATTCGGATTGATGAGGGACATTCTTATACGGGCGTAGAGGAAACAATTGACCTAGCATGACATGGCAAAGTCAGACATGCTGCTCAAAAGTGTTGTGCCTGTCTAGTTTTGGTTTGCTGTTGGGTGCTGTTTTTCGTCGTAAGGTTAGTGGTTATATTGTAGGGGTTTTATTACGGCCTTGTCCAGTTTTGTGTCCCCTCTCTGCGGACCGGCAGTAATCTTTCCGCGGACCGGCGATGGGCCGCGGCCCGGTGGTTGCCGACCACTGGTCTAAATCATACAAATGAGCACTTTATAGCTGGCCCAGGGATTAATTGCTAAGGCTTAGCCACCTGCGCCTGTTCCGCTCAATGTTTTCTGATCCATCTCCTACACAGTGATGTTGATCTCCATCTAACTGGTCACAAGTCTTGTACAACAACATGAACTTTGACAAGATATGGATGTATATTGAACTTTGACAAGATATGGATGTATATTGCACATATATTAGTAAGTAAAAGTTGAATTGAGAAAATAGTAACACTAAATCACAACCAGGGCTGCGGAGTTCTTGGGATTCAGAGTTCAAACCATGAAGTGGACTAGAAACTTATAAATGTAGGCTTGCTTTCTCCAAATTGTTGTTTATGATAGTCATAAATAACATGTATACAATTCCACAGAAGTGATCACATCAATCCTACTGTTTCACAGTAAAGCAATAGTAGTGATCAACTTCCCAGTGAAATGGTGGAAAAAGTTATGAAAACAACACTTACAATGACTCTGTGAAAGCAAAATAGTTAATGTAATAGTAACATAATGTTGCATAAATTATAGAGCACCTTCCCCATAGGTTGTATACACATAAAGATTATAAACAGTAAAAAAATGCTATTTTTTGAACTGCCATAAAAATTCTAGCAAAAAAGTCTGAACTGAACTAATGGTAACTTTGGCATAATGTAGTTGTAATATATCGTGGCTTACAGTTGTACATAATAATGTAAATATAGCATGGATAATCAATTGGTTATATGCATTAAAGTTGCACAGACAGTTGGTTACAGTTATTAAATGATTTAATTGTAGTAAAACAGAAATCACATGTACAATATTAAGGCATTTTATGATTAATATATACTATGTAATTACGATTTATTCATGGGCAATTAATTGCTCACAATGTAAATTTTCCTTCTTTTAAAAGCTTTTGCCAAACTGCACCAGTTGGATATTCATAATCTGAGATTGATTCTGTTTTCATTTCAGAGCTGAATCCTGGGTCCTAGAAAAAGGGAAGTCAAATTATTTGACTGTTACTTTACACCAGGGGTTGGCAACCTACAGCCTGCAGGCCCACATCCGCTGCACTTCACTGATTTTGTCGATTATATTCTTCACGCAAAAGAATTTACGTGTAGACTAAATTGTTTTATAACGTAACAAGTATATAATTCACAATTACTCGTATAATGAGCCTATAATTTAATTATAATTTAGACAAATGGCAACGAAACGCAGAAAAGTTGATGCAAAGTGCAAATGGTTTAATGGCGCAAAAAAATACTCAAATGGTCGGTCTTCGCGCGCTGCCCAAAATTTAACTTCTGATTTGTGTGATAAAATGTGATTCATCTGTCATCTATTCGATTTTTAACTTTCTAAAAATATGTATGGCCCACCAATGACTTGCAACCTTTAATTTTGGCCCACGAGCGACAAAAGGTTGCTGAACCCTGCTTTACACTGTATTATCTTGATTAAAATAAGGTAACTTTGCCTAAGATCAGAGACGCGGCAATCTTTGCCATTGATTGGCTCACATTATCGCTGGTTAGTATATTGTCATCCTTCATTACAGTTTTTGCATATGGAACAATTAACCAACTTCTGGTAATCAGACAGGATGCCATGGTCAGGATATTTATCACGCTAGTAAGGGTTTATTAATTAAGCATACTTCCATCTCCCCACAGATAAATACACATCCTATCCGGCGATTTAAATAATTGGCGGCGGTGTGGCGCATCGCGCTAAGCGTTAGGAATACGCTCGCCACCGCATCTCTGATTACCCCTCGTGGGATCGCAGGTTCGTCTCCCATGCGGGGATGATCATGTGCGAGAGGATTGCTGGACTCCTCGCCGCCGTAGGGTGGTTCACGTAACCGCTGATCGGTTACGGCTTCCTCCACCATCAAGTCCATGCTTCCGAAAACAAATAACTGGCTAACTAATCCCATACCTGACCTGGACTGGTGACCGGACAAGAGGCCGTGTTTCGCCATATGATTAAGCCGTCTTATCGTCTTTTCTCTCCCCCGGTATAAACATGTAAATCCTATCCTATCCTAACAACCTTGACATAGACATAATTTATTATGCACATAATCACAGCTAATAACAGTTACCTTGGGTGCAGTATACGCAGCATTCTTTATTACAACAGGATCAACAAAATGTTCATGAAGATGATCAACATATTCACATACCCTGTAAAATGATATGTTGCATAGTAACCCTTCATTGCATACACTGAGTGATTAAAATACATTAATCTGAGTTACATAAGAAAAAAAAACAATACCTGTCCTCTGTTGTGCCAGAAACACAAAGATAGTCAAACATAATTATATGTTGAACTAATTCACACAAACCAACACCTCCTGCATGTGGACAAACTGAAACTGAAAAAAAAATATGGGAGAATTTGTCAGACAATGAATAGTGTACAATCTGAATTCTGAACATAGTTAAATAAAAGATCATTTTTATGAAAAATATTTTTCTGTGATTTGAATGTTATAGTTGTAACTTGTCTGACAATGAATTTACTAGCTAACAAGGCTGTGGAGTCGGAGTTGAAACAAATTTTGGCTCCTACACTGGGTAAGAATAACCTTGCCCCGACTGTGATCCCCGAATCTGGTTTGTAAAAAGTTTAACTCCGACACCCAGTTCAGAATTCTGAGAAAATCATGTTGAGATGTTAAAAATGTTTAGTAAAGTTAATGCTTTTTAAGATTCTGCAGAAGATTTAGACTTCTTCTATCACTATTGAATGTCTGAAATTCGAACTGTGGGAAATTCAGAATGCAGGCTCCGGACTCAGGGTAGTTTGATCATACAACTCAAGTAAAACATGCCAAACTCAACTCCACAAACCTGGTAGCTGCCGAATATATACCGGTACATCAGAATTCTCGATCGCTATCAAATTTTACATTTTAATCCTAGGGTGATGAATTGATCATTTCAATTAGGCCACAACTGACCAGCACTCACATAAGGTTAAAGATATATCTGGTTCAAACCCTGTGCCCACCACATTCTCGTATAATAACTTGAGTGAGTAACAACAACGCAATTATTGTCCGCACATAATAAAACATTTACTAAGCACTGAGAGACCAACCTCCATATTTTTTAGCCATTAGCAATACAGCAATGTTTTCATTTATAGATCCAAGTCTACAACTATCAATCTGACAATATTTAATCTTTCCATCTCTGATGAATTGTTTAAACATGACACGATTTTGACAGCATTCCCCGGTTGCTACACCTATGCCGTATGGTTCCATCGCCTGTAAAAAATTCCGCAATAGCAAATAATCTAACAAGATATGGCAAGAGAGATATGTTATGAAATTATGATACATTAGTTTTTTTACACAAAGTTTCATTATTGCTACAGTAAATGAAAGTAGAATTCATCGACTGGCGCATCGTGCGAAGTATATAAACACACATGCCATCGCACCACCCATTACCCTGCTATATGATTCACAGGTCAAATCTTGCAGGGATAATTACGGTATCTGCACGAGTGCGACAGGCAGGGATGGCCAAAACCGAATAGTTCACTATTTCGAATACATTCGAAATTATTATTTTCGAATATGAAATTTCTAATACTTCGAAAATAAAATCCATTAATTGAAGCTTATCTAAATGTATGTAGGAATTTCCATACAATAAGCAATGGAATAACTGCTATCCACAAGTTACAACCTAGCTATATTACCAGGCATTTCATATTTGCAGATTATTGCAGTATATATTTTATATACCATGGGTCATGTTAACAGAATCAAATTAATACGGCAATAGTGGTATCGATGATGAATTTGAATATTTGCGCAACACAAAATCATCCTAGTAAAACGCCCATACTTTTAAATACCAACCATCATCCGAATTACTTGCCAAAAAGGGGGATAAAGTATGAGTTATTTTTCCGACTTGTGACAATTTTTTCGTGAGTACAAAAATACGAATCAAAAATTAATTATATTCGGGAACTTTACCACACATTTTAAGTCCGAAGATCGCCGTTGTATGTTTGAGTAATATTACTTTTATTATTTTATAAATATTAAAATAGGAATCAAAAACTATTTATAAGCGGGTAGTTTACCACACATTCTAAGTCCACAGATCGCCGTTGTATTTTGTAAATACGAGAATAGGAATCAAAAATTAATATTAATCGCGAGTTTGCTACACAATTTATGTCCACAGATTGCCGTGATATTGTGCCGAATATAATTAGTTTTTGATTCTCATGTTCGTACACACGAAAAATTGACAAAAGTCGGAAAAAGAATATATATTTTATCCCGCTCTTGGGAACTAATTTGGATAATGGTTGCCATTGGTTTGTATTTAAAAGTATGGACTTTTTACTAGGATGATTTTGGATGCCCAAAATATTCGAATCCGTGACCGATACCACTATTTAAAATGCCTTACCGTGTTAATTTAATTCTATTATCATAACTCAAATGTTGGTGAATCGGGCAGTTGACCACACATTTTAAGGTCACAGATCGCCGTTGCATTTTAGAATTATAATAGTTTAATTATTTTGTAAATACGAATCCGAAAATATAATTGGGCAGTTTACCACGTATTTCATGTCCACAAATACCCGTGGTATTTGGTATTAATACTTTCATTATTTTATCAATATAAAAATAGGAATCAATATTTAATAAAATCGGTCAGTTTACCACACATGTTATGTCCACAGATTGTCGATACAGCCATGAGTTACGTTGAACAGAATTAAATTAATACGACATGACATTTTGAATGCTGGTACCAGTCATGGATTGGATTATTTTGCGCAACAAAAAATCATCCTGGTAAAGGATCGATACTTTTAACTATCGTTATCAGAATTATTTGCCACAAATTATTTTCTAATAAATCGACTTGTTTTTCCAACTTGTGACGATTTATTGGATATCGTAACAATGACTGCTATAAATATCGTATTTCCCGGCTAATAAGTCTATTTTTAGCACTCCAAAAAGGGCTTTTTCCATATAGGCCTCCAATAAGACGGGTAGAAAAATTGTGTCCCTGTTGTTCAGTTATACTGATATGCGCTAATAATTTTAAATGTTTAGAACCAGATCATGTTAGTTTGGTAGAATCATACTCACAGAATTAACTATTTTTAAAATTGAGGGGTAAATTTAAGTTGTAAAGCGGCAATCATTTTGGACAACCTATTAACCAGAATGTTGAAATAATTTTGAAATGTGATAAGTAATACACTGTACGTCCACGGGTTATTACACAGCTGTGTTTTCCTGTCGTGTTCTGCTGAATCGGCAAAATGAAAGGGTCACAAATCACTTTATCTCGTGGCCTATGAAAGGGAATTATAAGCCGGGAAATACAGTAATTGTCAATTTTTCAACGTAATGGAAATGAATTTGTAAATTAGAAGCCTTGTAGACGAATGTCGGCAATGTCCACCCACGCAAACGTGCAAATGCGTCGCAACACTATGCGACGTACGGTCGCACAGAATATAAACAATCAAAGTGCCGATTCTAATTCATCGTCATTACAATACGCGAGACAGCGTGAAAATCCGTTTGAAGATTCCCGTAAAACGAAACACCACGTTTACAGCGAAAAGTGGCTACTATTCGGAATTATTCGAAAATCAGCCAAAAAGGTATTCAAATACTTTGATACTCGAATACATTCGAATATTCGATTCGTTTTGGACAACCCTGGCGACAGGACCCCTCACTGTTGCAGGGTAGTTCATTTAATCACCATTTGGGCAAATTAGGAATTCATCCACCACCATGTTACACTATTTCCGTTCCCTGGAAATTCACCTGGACTAGTTATCGTCGTGGGAAAGAGGCAGAGGTTTGCAATATTAAAAACTCCAAAAAGCTTTTCTTTCCTTGAGATGAATATGTGAATCCTATCATCTCAAATTATAAAGTGTCAAAATGAAGATTTTTCAAATTTAAATATTCTATTCGTTTTGGATATGACTGTGGAGACAAACAAAAAATTGATAAGCCTAATTTGACCAAATGCCCGACAGTCCGACACCATACTTAACTGAACCTGCAATCAAAATTTTTTCCACCAAATAAACAGGAAAGAAGAATTTGTCTAAATCCTAATTAATCTCTGAGAAATCACCAACAAATACCCCTTACCTCTGCAATAACTCTGTGTCCTTGAACATCATCAGGACTTGTTGGTTCTTCAATCCACTTAAGTTTAAACTGAGTCAAGTTTTTCATCCATTCAATTGCATCTTTGACATCCCATCTCTGGTTGGCATCAACCATCTACAAGATTGTATAATGTTAAGAAACTAACAGTGAAATACCAGTATAGCTAATTCTAACTTTTAATAGCGATTTAGCATACCTTAATTTTGTATTTTAAATTCATGAAATTAAATTGAATAACAAACCTACCCAGGGTTGACTAATCGGGTAATAGAACTGAACATAACAAACGAGATAAAGCTACAAAATGCTCAAACAGGCTCTGTAATCCACACATCATGCTAAGCGTTAAGAATCAGTTTGCCATCGGCCATCACACCTTTGATTACCCTGCACTGGTTTGCAGGTTCATATATCCTGGGATATGTTTATGTGCAAGAGGATTGCTGGACTTCTGGCAACATCCTCTGCCATCAAGTCCATGCAACTAAAACAAATAAATGTTACCTATTCTCATATTTGACATGGATTTATAAATTGACAAGAGGTTGGAGGTTATAATTGGAGAGGTCTCCATATGATCGAGCCTTCCTTCTCCCCGAAGATAAATACCTAAATCCCATCCTAAAATACTAAGAATTGAAATACACTGGAATTTGGATAACAGGTACATATTTCAATTTAACCTTGAATGAATTTGATTTGAGTTAAGCACTTATTAATAATATTATGTCAGATAAATTATTTGATTAAATTGATCGACAATTTATGTATATCAGACTACAAATCCGTTATTATTTCACCATTTCCATATCTGGTCCAATTTTTTCTCGAATGATGCGGCATCGTCGTATATCATCTTCCAAACTAGCACCAACTTTGACTTTAAATCTATAAAAACAATTAACTGGATTGTTTTTATGACTTTGGCCATAGACCTACTGAAAAACATACTCAAGTATGCGATCTGTGATAACAGAAAGAAGGCAAATGCTATGATATGTAAGCTTAAGACAGACAAAATGGAATAAACAAAGATAATCTATACAACCAATGAAAACAAAAAATCAAGTGTCCTTTACCAGTTCATATTTCAAAGAAAAGTCAGTTTTTTAAATGAGTAACTTTTATGCAAAATTCATTGGAATGTCCAATAACTATTAGCTACTTAAAAATTTCTGCCAAACATTTTCAGTCTTAGGCTAAGCAGTATGCATATCTGTAAAAAAGTTTGGTGGAATTTGTTTATTCAACCATAAATCAGACAGGCCATTGTTTCTCTCACATTGAAAATTTATTTAAGAGAAATTACAGTACCAATTAGATTCTCACATACTTGGTCCAACCCTCTTCCAATGCCTCTTTACAAAGCTGAAAGAAAAAACAGTTTATAAAATTTTTACAGAAAATTATGTCAAAACAAAATGATATTCAAGATTGAACTGGACAAAACTGGTTATTGCATCGACTGTAGTTGAAAATCACCAGACTGAAAAAAATACCCGTCTTAATCATTGGTCCTAATTTTTTGAAGCCAAAAATGTACCTTTGTTAGATATTCATCAGAATACCCGAGCCAAGCAACTGAAGTTGTGTAAGCTGGATAGCCTTTCTCTAGCAGAATCTTTTCTGTAAAGCAAGAAAGAACGTAATAATATTAAATTAAAAACTCTTCCCCCAGGAACTCCAGATATGAATAACTTGTTATTACGTAGCTGTATTCTTGTTCGTATGGACTTGAACTGCTTTTAGTCTTGCATAATTCCAATGGTTTTTGATCTTTTAGTGGTCATGTTTTACTACACTAGAGATAAGTCTCTATTACTTCTGTGTGAGGACGTGTACCCTTGCTTTGAGCAAATTATCTTGAAAAAAAAATAAATTGATATCGAAATCAGGGGTGTGCGACCTTTAAGACAGGAAAGCCAGATAGAAATAACTGGGTGAAACCGCTGGCCGCACCTTTATTTAACATAGGCTATCTAGTAGTTTAAGGTACAAAAATTTTGGTTATTGATGACATGCGTTGCTTGCACAAGCTAGCTGATGAGGCATTGTAAAGTCATAGGCATAGATTGGACTCAAGTATAAGCTTTGCAATGCGAAAGGAATGGAATTACTCACACTAACCAAATTAAATTAATTAAAAACTTGTCTCACGATCACATCATTTAAAATTGGCACTTCTCCATGGCCACATAATTTTTCGTTGAGGGCCACATTTGGTCCGCGGCCCGCATGTTGCACACCCCTGATCTAAATGAAGAACGATTTTTACATACCTCTTTCTTGCTTGGTTGCTTCGTTTTTCTTCAATATTTCCAATGCTTCTTCTTTAGAAATAGCATCAGTTCTGAGTTAAGTAAAACAAATATGTTAAAAAATTGCACAATGAAAAAGAGATATGATTTTTATTGTAGAGAATGTAACTTACATGTAACTGAAATCTACCAATGATAGGATCTGTTCTGGGGACATGTCAGCGAGAAGTTTCCAGACTGGCTAAAAAAATAACGTAAATAAGTTAAATTCCTATTCACATTGGGTACACAGAGAAGTCTAAGCATTATAGATATGCAAAATATCAATTACGCATCTGCGTTCAAATCATGTGTTACTGATTCATGCAATTTCTTATAAAAATATTGGATCGTCATAAGGATAAAAACAAGAATAAATATAACTGTTAGAATTTCATCTTTTGCCCAGAGTCAGTTCTCATTATATCTTAACCAGGTTTGTGTTATTTCAATTTTAAAATTTTTTACAAATTCATAGTTTTCTTACATCATTTGATACACATTTATATGTCACCATTAGTTGCATGAAGCACTTCAATTTTTTTTTACCTAATTTAGTACATGACTACATGAACACCCTGTATAACCTCTTGCTTCTGAGAAAGGCTTTTATTAATCAGCCACATAGGCCAGTAATTTCCAACCTTTTTGGTGGAATGGGAAACCCAATAAAACATTCCAAAAGATCGAGAAACCCATGTGTAATAGTTTGTCCTAATAATATATACCCAGTGGTGGGATCTAGCCTGTTCGCACCGGTTATATAGAACCGTCCCGCCGAATTTTATGAGATCAGCGAACCGGTTAGAATTACTGGTTACTGTCAATGACTTTTTGTAACAGAACCAACTGAAAAATATGACGTTGTAATGGAACCGGCTGACAAAAAATTTGAATCCCACCACTGTATATACCTATATATACAGTAAATCAAACCCAATAGTGTTGAAACAAAATGATCTTTTAAGTGTAGCAACTAGCAAGTTTAATATTAGTTGTAAACCTCATTTGGTATTTGATATATCCAAACAATATAATGTTTAGACTCTCAGATTTAAAAGGGAACTTGCAAAACCCCTAGACAATCTTGTTCTGGTAACCAGCAGCGTTAATGCTAACGCTTGACAAACAATGTGCAGAGTTGGCTTAGATCCAGTCGCCGTTCTTTAAGTCAACAAATTATGTAAATGTTTGAATACCACTTTCTACACAAGATAAAATAAATAAAATTACCTTATTTTCTTTCTTTGCCCACAGATCCCATAATGCATTGAAAACTGCTGAAGCTGCAATGTGAACAACACCTTTCTCCGGTCCGAGCTAAATTGTTTTGCAAATAACAAATTAATTAAATTATAACTGGCAGCATTGAAGACATTTGTATTCTCAATATCGCAATTATTTATTTATCTGACTTATTCATATGCCTTTATCTCTGAACAAGGCCCCGCAAAGCAACTACTGCTAGGCAAGAAGCTACATCAAATTGAAAGATCAAAATATTTGTTGTTCAACCTTTCCTACGCAATTTATTACACCCTGGGTGGGGTGGTGGGAATGGGATTTGAACCTATGATGCAATCACTAGGCCACCACAATCTGAATTCTATAGCCAACAAAACACAGGTCAAAAAGTAGACAGTGGTCTAACTGTTGACTCAGCATGTCCTACAAAACGATGACTGGCAAAAAGTTTCAGAAACAGGGTATAAATTAGTTGAGCAATGTCAACAATAATATTCATTGATCGTAAACAAACTCATGCCTGTTAGTACGACAGAACATGTATTTCTCACCCATCTAAGCTGTCCATCACGAACGATTTCTTGCCAAAATTTTCCAAAACCCTGAAATACATCTTTTATATTTCTGCCAAGGATTCTGGGTCTTATGACTTCAATTGCCTTCACAACTAAAAATAATGTCATTATTAAGTCTCAATGCAAAAATTACATTTATACCATAAGTAATATGAAATAAGTTTTGAATATGGGTTCATAACACGATACATAGCGCAATTTTAACTCTTCATCAAAAAATTTGAATTCTGGACAATACCAGCAGACTTTTAGCGTTGAATTGAAGCCTTGAAAGATTGCACCACGACAGGTTGTTTGAATAAATGGAAATAATAAGACTAGTAATTCCCAAAATGTGCGTCATGAATTATCAATCCATTTACTAAAACTAAAAGATCTTTTCTCATATACCCATGTTTAGAACTTGACTTAAATGATGTTCATTGTCTGTTAAAATAAAGGTTGAAAGAAAAGTACAGCTATATCAGTACCGGTATATCGGGACTATGTCAGATACTCAGTTGGGTTACGATTCTTTATTAAAAATATAAAAAACAAGCTCCAGTGTTGAATTAATTTAATGTAGATATCCTGCAAAATTTTGACTTCATAAAGTTGTCAAAGTCTCTTTCCAGACCATCATGGTGTGCAATACAGAAAGTTAAAAAGTCATTAATATTCCTTGAAACTACCACATTCAGTATCAAGAACCAATATTACCAATGTCAGTTCCTTTTCCAAGTGTAAAAGTTAGGCCATGCCCAATAATGCCATCTGATGAATCAGTCTTCAAAGTAACATATGCAGCAGAATAGTCCACTTCCCCATGCTGTTAAATATAGTTGAAATATCATAATAAAGTAATGGAAAGTAGAGAACATTTCTGCATTAATTAGGTATATTTGTTATATTGCAGTTTTACTTTTCAAACAGGGCTACTTTTGCTTTTTCTACTTTACTGCCCTGAGTCAATCACTGAATCAAGAGTTAAAACTCACCATAGCATCTGATCCATGATGTCCCATTGAAGTGGGAAATCGGATATCCCATACTTTTAATTCGATGACTACACAGTCAAACTTATCCATTTTTATTCTAGTCTTAAACTGGCACTGGTAGGATATATCACTAAGTAATTATATAACCCCTAAACTGTCTGCCGAAATCAGGAGGTTCTATATGTAGATCAGAATCTGAGAACTGGAAAACTCTCGGCGGGTGCAAATTGATGTGGTTCAAATCAATTGTTGGTGGTGCATATTTGCATGGCAGCATGGCCAAAACATCCGCGAGTCGAGTGTGGATGTCAATGGGTGCAGTGCAGGAATGCCAATGCACAAGGGTACAAAGACGATGGAACCTTACAGTAAGATAAGATTTACATATTTATTCCGGTGAAGAGGAAAGCTGATAAGACAGCTTAAACATAGGGCGAACTACGGCCTCTCGTCAGGTTACCAGTTTATGTTGAGTACAGTACCGTATGGCGGGGTTAGTTAGCTAGTTACCGGTATTTGTTCCAGATACATGGACTTGATGGTGGAGGAAAGTATCAAAGGTATAGGCTCTAAGTTGGTTCAGTGGTTCCCAAACTTTTCAATATCGTTACCGGTAACTTACCTATTATAAATCGAATTACCACATGCCATAAACTCAATTACCCCTTTTATGAAAATAAAAACTATGTCTGTATGTACCGTTAGGCCACAGAATACCGGTAGGGTTTCAGAGGAGCGGAATCCTCGCCAGACCAAAGAAAATTCTAAATGCAGAAATGTAGGATAGGACTGGGGCCATTCACTAAGCTGCCAAGACACGTCCATCCACCTTTGCCTCATTTTCTCGCCCTGCTTATACTTTCAACCTAACTTTATAAAGCGAGTGCGCTCTTTTATTACATAAAAATCACATTTATTTTGCGTATTTTGTGATTTGATAGTAGTAGTTCTCTCCGGCATTTTATGGATGACTAAATATAGACAAAAGAGTGTGAATACAAGTTGTTATTATTTGCTCTGGGGGATGTCAGCCGCTACTTAACAAAACATATCAAAATCAGTAATGAGCATATGCAATATTTATGCTACTTTATTATCCGGTTAACCTTCAAAATAATATCCGGATAGCAAATAGCAAAATGTCTCTGGGTTACCGGATAACCAGTCATTCGGATAATCCCAAAGTGACTATAGTCACTTTGAATAAACCAACCCGTCGAACGACATTGAGTCAAAAATGAAGATTCGGTGTTATGTCTCTCCTCACCGCGTGATCGACTACATTAAGACGTAAAAAATTCTCATATACTAGAACCAGAAGCACACTCAGCTTTTCCGCAGACCAGCAAAAAGGTGGGGATTACATGAGAAATGTCCAAGACAGTGAACGTCCGAATTACTGGATTTTACTCCCCAGTTTGAGAACTACTCACTTGTAGATGGCCAATATTTTTTAAACTGTAATTTTTTCTGTTGTGCAATGCTCAGAAAAGATTTACTGTTTGTGAGCTATGAATAAAAAAATGGCATTGATACTTGCTTCAACTGTAATCACATGAACTGAACGCAATAAATTTTCAATATATATATATGTGCCTACAATTCTTCACTGAAATTACTTTTTTCAAAGCCATTTTTGCATCTTGAGTCAGTATTTGTACAAGTATTATTGACTTTTGAAATCCGTAAGAAAGAAAATAAGACTATTAAAGTTGAGAACCACTCTTTTATAGAATTGCTGCATCTTTCGCCGTCGTGCTTTTGTTAGATTGTAGCTCTAAGGCAGGGTCGTGCAACCCGTGGCCCGCCGAAAGTTTCAGCGTGGCCCGCGCGGTATTAATAGAAGCCCGATGTTATTTACAAATCTGAGCCACTATTGAAACCTCTAATAAAAATATTCCTCGTCGTTCAAACGCGCGAGAAGCACCACCGAGCTATCGAAAGCTTTTTTGAGTCTCTTTGAATCCCATGCAGGGATGGTTATGTGCGAGAGGATTGCTGGACTGTAAGAAATGTTTGCATGCATTTTATGGAACCTTGAGTCCTTCACTGTAAGCACCTCAAGTTAGTCACACTTTATGAGTTTACATTGCCCATCTTTACTGTGACGTAATAGTCCAGGGGTCACCAACCTTTTCTAGGCCGAGGGCTACTTTCTGGGTACAGATCAAGCTGCGGGCTACCAGTTCAATGTACACTTCTAAAAGTCTGTTTGCTCGATTAAGCTTCAAATATTGGTAATTACTGGCATTTAGTCAAGTAGAGACACTGATAAACTTTAGGATTCTCCAGGAAATCAAACGATTATAACAAGTATCAAATAAATTTCTATCAATACCACTTCCATTTCAAAACTGAATGTTTCCAAATTGATTTATAAGTGATCACTACTATAATATCCTAGGAAACCACAATGCACCTGGATTATTTACAAGCACTCTGCACAAGTCTAAGATAAAAATGGACCCAACAGTTGTACTATCAAATGTTGCAGAGTGTTGTACTCCAACGTGTAACTTCAGAACTTGACACTGCAGATTTTTATCAGTGTGTAATAACTTGTATTCTTGTTGGAGGCGTGTTACTTGTTTGTTCCTGTTGGAGTGAGTCGCGGCGGGGTGGACCATCGTGCTAAGCGTTAAGAACGTTAGGTTCGCAGGTTAGAATTCCACGCGGGGATAGTTATGTGCAAGAGGTATGTATGCTGGACTCCTCGCCGCCGTTGGGTGGTAACCGCTGGTTAAGGATCCCTTCGCCATGAAGTCCATGCTTCCGAAAACTAATAACTGGCTAATCCTAAACCCGACATGAAATGGTAACCGGACGAGAATGCGTGCGTTCTGCGTGGGGAAGCCTTATTATCGACTATCTTCTCCCTCGGGATAAATATGTAAATCCCATCCTATTCTGAGTTTATGTCAAAAATGTTGATTCACAAAGATAGGTGGAACCAGACAATGTTCTCGTAAAGTAGGATTGCTGTATGATTTGAATCGCGAACTTTTTCTGCCTGTACTGCGCTGACCAGTGAGTGAGTGGGTAGTTAGCGCAGTAGATTGCGTGACAAGATGTAAAATATCTAATTGCTTTGCCGTCGCTACAATCGCCCCACTAATGAGACACACGCAGGCTGTTTTCATGGTGGTAATATATATATATATATGATAACGGACTAGAAAAAGCGCTGTTTCGTGGAAATTGATATCAGCGTGATGTCATAATTCGAAGATTGTTAATTAGCCCGTCACATTACCGAGGTCAACTAAAAATCAGGTTGATGGGTATAATAACTAATATAGTGTCATTCCCAGTTCCCATATAAGTGTGATTTACACCAAGAATAGCAGGACAAAATTTAATTGATGTAGCTTACTTATAAGCGCCGTTATTAAGCTTAGTTAGGAACAGACCTGCGGGCGACTCGTATGGTCTTTGCGGGCGACTTGGTTCCCGCGGGCAACGCGTTGGTGACCCCTGTAATAGTCACTTATTCCCCCGCGCTTTACGGCCTTCTAGAACTTTCCTTGCCACGAGGTAGACGCTTGTTGCGCTTTGCGTATTAGGGAGGATTCTGTGCGATTATATATTTTATTAATAATAGGTTTTCCTAATTTTTTTGTGTGGTTAGCCTTATGCTATACGTTAGTTACATAATGGTTATCAGGTGGGAATTTTTTATACTTATAATATTTTTTTTTGGCATATTCATACATTAGCCGCATTTTGATGTACTGTTATACTGATCATTGTTATATTTTTTGTATCTTAGCATACTTATGGCTGTTCTTCGAGTCCTTGTCAAAAACAGTCAATTTATCACTAACACTAACGCCGACACTAACCCTAACACTGTTATCACTGCCGTCAACATTAGATGTGTTTAAACAAGATAATAAAGTTTCTTTCAACACAAGTCTACGGAATTGTTGGTGTACAGGTTGCAGTGTGTGTTGGTCAGTTGGTGCATAGATTGAAGACATTATTTGGGGACCCAAGGGACAGGACGCGTCTCCAGTTACCCTGTATCTTTGAGTCGCAGTGGGACACATTAGGTACCGTACCCTACGCGTACTTATCCCATACAGGACTCCTCGCCGTCGTTGGGTGGTTCACGTCCATGCTTCCGAAAAAAACAAACAATACAGTAAAAAACTAATCCCATACCAGACTTGGAATGGTAACCGGACGAGAGGCCGTGGTTCGCCATATGGATAAGCCGTCTTATCGGCTTCCTTCTCCCCCGGGATAAATATGTAAATCCTAACCTTTGCGGGCGTTATTGCTGGAGAGAGATATTTGAATTTATTATCGTCTGCCATGTATTTCAATCTGTTTTTATGCCTTTTTTCTGTGAAGCTAGAAGAGGCAATTTTCATGACGTCGATGTATATACTGTACTTTGACAAGACTTACTTGTACGAGCAAGTTTTTTCACGGATGAACCATGTCATATCTCCCGTGAGATCACTGATTTCTGACAGTCATATGAAAATTCGGTCCGCATTGCTATATTGTCCATCGCACCAAATATTGACAAACTTGTTGGATGAAAGCAGTGTCATACTTCCCATTGAAATATATATGTGTGATAAAAACTTTTGACTTTACTGTATTTCGTTATTTTCATTGTTCTTATAATTTTGATGTGAGGGTTTTGTTTGTTTTTTTCATTAACCTGTAGTCGGTGTAGTGAAAAATAGAACATAACGACCATGTCAAGTGGCCCACGCAATCATTCGTAATCTACATATGGCCCTTCGGCCATAAAGGTTGGACAACCCTGCTCTAATAAAGAATATCAGTAGGAAGTAATTATTAAGAGAGTCAGTCAAATGACGAAAATCAGTCGCAAGTCGAATGCCACAATTTTTCCGGTTTCGATGAATATCTCCAGACAGATGGTGCTACAGGCAAGAAACACGCCCGCCTGAGCTGATTACTCTCGTGGTTTGGTAGGCACAATTTCTTTGGTGAATAGCTAGCCAAATACAAGAGGGTGGCTAGGCTCCTCGTCGTTTCATGGTGGTCCACGGTACGAGCAGTCAACTATTCCATGAATCGGCGACGACGAGGAAGGCCAATTTAAAAGCCATATATGAATGAGCCCTTTCTTCGCCACTGGGATAAGTATAAACTTTATTAACTTGGCGATTACTCGTTACTGATGATGGCATTTTTTTTTTTCAGTTTACGAATCGAAGTTAATTAAAATCATACGAAATTATAAAACTTAGAACACTACTGCCGAATTATTTTCGTAGATAATATCAACGAGGACATCGATCGATGTTGCTGTCGCAGGACTGTAATTTCAAGATATATTTTTATTCGTTGAAAATTACAGTGATTATGAAAGGGCAATGAAATGCCTAGGGCTTGAAAAATTTGAGTCGCCCAGAACCATATATTTTTGGTAATGAACCCCCAAAATTACAACGTGTCATTGCAATTTTACCTTAGCTAATAATGCGAGTTTTGGAAATGGCATTTCAATTTCACTTTGAATATACCCAGTGATGAGCTGGAAAAATCGTAACAAGCGGAACGCACCTAATTCGCAAAAAAATGTAATATATTTACAAAACGACGCGGACGTTTACAGAAAGTTTTGTCTGTCTTAAGATAGAGCAGAAGAACTGCAATGGAATATGAATGAATTATCAGAAATATTTTCTTGTGAAATTACAAGAATAGTCATAGCAATTCAATACAAATGTTATTATTAGAAAGGTGTGGGGTAAACTTCCATGGGGTCAAAGGTCGGAAAGCATCTATTACACGTCACTGATGTGCTAATTATTTGCGTGATGTATAATGTAAAAATAATTACCAATTATGGGGCAACAAAAAATAAATTAATAACTAGGATTACCAGAGAAACTAGACTTTTTGAACCATAATTTTATATTAACAACAGGAACGCAAATGCAATAAAATGTCTAACACCGGAACGCCGTTCCGATGCGTTCCGGCTACAGCTCACCACTGATTATACCCACCACTGCCAGGGCTGTAATTAATTTGGTATACTGTGCTGAAGTCGCGAAATTTTGTTCTTCGGATGTCCCTGTTAACCTGCTGACTAATCGATCTGATTCTTTTTGGTGAAGGAAGCGGGGAATTGCAGGTTTGAAACAAAAACCAATATGGAACAATAACATCTAAGGCCGATGAAGAGATTTACTTTGCGATATATTTACACAATTTACGATTGCTAGTCAATATATTTTATCGACGACAACTTCCTCTGACGTGTATATATCTTCTGCATAAACGCCTTCTATGACCAGCACAGTCCAAATTTCAAAACGATTATGATTTAAATTCAGCAACATGCACCAGCTGTTGGATTTATAACATCCGTTTTGCAGGCGCGAGCTTGCATTGTGCAGTCGACTGAAATCACGCTCAGATTAGAACGCGGAAGGCTGTCTGGCATAACAGTAGTAATTTGATACGTCTGGTATTTCAGATTCAGTTTTACTCAAAATCTTTTTACTGCTGAGACAAGATGTATTCGAATAAGCAAATATTTCATCAACAAGCTATTTAATACCCTGGAAGACAACGCAGTTTTAGAAAGGTATCCAAAAATTCAAGATTAAATAGAGATTGGTGAAAAAGTAGCCAAATACATTTGATGAAAAGCCTTTTTTAAATAAATATTTCACATCAGGTTCATATAAATATAGTTTGAAAAAATATGGGACCTCCAGAAGTATGTGCACCAATATGACGCACAACCTGAATCATAACCCGGTACACATACTATGTTCAGGTTGTGCGCCATCTTGGTGCACATACTTCGGGAGCGCCAAAATATGAGGGTTGTGATAGACCCCCAGACCGCACTCAAGAGGTATGATGCAAGAAGATATGAACAAACGGATAAATTTATTCACGATCTAAATGTCTGTTGTTAAATTCATTCACAAGAACTTATTTTCAGCACAAGTCGAATTTTTTGTTCTCGCTCAATGCTTTTCAGAGAGAAACCGATTGAGATCTTTATTTCACATGAACAGAACAAATTCTAATGAGTAAACGAACCTCTTACAGAACCTCAGATACAAATGGTTTACTGACTATGACTATAACATTTGGGTCCGACTTTAATCGAATATATTAATAGAGTATTTGATTCAAGACAACGAACAGGAAATTATTATTGATAGCAATGTTGTCCTATTTTGTGCTTGTATATTCGTATTGAAGATTGACAGCACTGAAAATATTCTGCACCATAAGCTATATATCGATGGGCAACATCGTATGTTGGATTGATATGATTATGATCATGGTTTTCCTAAGCACAAGCTAGTTTGGAATATGATATTTAAATGATTTTCGCTTCAATGTATTTTAGGAACATAAGTATGACGTAATTAAATCCCTGGTTTGACTAAGTTCATATGATGAATTGTTGCAAGTTGTCCTTGGCTCTTGTTTGCATTATCACCACGCTTGTAGGAATACTTATACTTGCTTTGCAAATTGTTTCGGCTTCTACAACAGCATGGGTGCACTTGAAAAATCGACGAACGTCGTTCTCATTTGGATTATATCGACTTGAAGATCACATTGGCTTAGTAACAATAAAGCGTAAGTCAAAAATAAATGCTTACAGTCAAAACTACTCACATTCACATGCAAACAATATAATTTTTGCCAACGCTTGGAATTAATGAAATGAATACATAGTTCGTCATTGTATACTGTCATTTTTTCGATTTCTTGTTGTCAGCATAAAATATAATACATTGTAATATAGGCACGACTGTACCTTTGCGTATTATTGGTTGTTAATTCCTTCGCTACCCTTGAGGTTTCGCGTTGTGTTATTCACAATAGCTAATTGTGGGTATGAGTGCAATTTGTTTTGGGTAATAAATTACATCAATACTATCATGTTTCAAATATTCACACTTTTTACTGGATTTCTTGGCCCGTGACACCTTGTTAAACTATATTTAATTATTTTCAGTTGTTCAATCCACTCCCGTTGTTGTCATGCAAGCAATGGCTATCTTCTCCATATCAGCTGGATTATTTGGAATAATTACCACCGTTTTGGGCGCAACTCAAAGAAATATTTGTGGCAGAACTACCAAGTTTTTCATCATTCTCGCACAAGTATTCATTTCCCTTTCAGGTAAGCACATAGTGACATAGCATCATTTCCTGACTCAGTAGGAAAATTTGGCCTGCAATCGATCTTCAATGTGCTTCCGTTGCATTTCATATATCTAAGTAGGCCTAGTACTTTTTTGCTTATGATACGTGATCACGTGATGATATATAGCTTTATTGCGAGGTATCGTATCGGTGCTCCCGAAGTATGCGAACCAAGATGGCGGACATCGGAACGTAACATGGGTAACAGGTTAGGGTTAGGCGATAATTTTTTTCCGATTTTCCTTATTTTAGTCCTATCATCAGTTCAAAGACTAGCCAAGAGCCTCCCGTAGTATTTATACCTAAAATTATGGCCTAACCCTATCCTAGTACACATATTACATTCCGATGTCCGCCATCTTGGTTCGCATACTTCGTTCGCATACTCGTAACTGAGGGGAAATACGGACACCAAATAAAACATTGTTTATTTTTGTTAAAATTTCCTAACAAGTTTTAATTTTAAATTTGATAATAAAACATCAATGGGCTTCGATAATGGCTTGCTAAATGAAGGCGCATATGACAAGTGAATTTTAACACCAAGTTCTAAAGCTTCTCAGCACTTTTTTTGCTTTGAGCGTTCGAGTCTAGACTAGACTAATATTAAAATTTTTACAACATTTGTTCTTACATTCTGAAATATGGCGCGTTTTTTGTAAATCGCTTATTCTGATTCTTGTTTATTTTATTTATTTTACTTACTAAACTCTTTTTTGTTTTGAATTCTAGCAATTTTGTACCTTATCGGAGTTGCCACATTTACTCATTTCTGGCTGAAAAGCCCATCGAAATTTTTTCAAACACTGCCGACTGGTTCGAATGAATTTATATATGGATACGCTTATTGGATATCTTGGTTGGCGCTATTGTGCCAACTAGCTCTGATGCTCTTTCTGATCATATCAGTCAATTGTGTGATACGTTCGAATGACGAACGATTGGCTGGATATGAAGATTTGGAAAAGATTCGCAGTAAAGGCGACGAAAAACGGTTAGTCGGTAACGATAAGTTGGGGTCGAAAAAGAAGCTAACGATATCTGAAAGAAAAGGTACAGTGGGATACAGCGTGAAAAAAAGCGAAAAGAGAGACAAGGAAGCACACAAGGAGGCCCTGGGAACAGCGGCAGCGTCTGTCGTGGAAAGAGCAATTGTGGAAGGAGTCAATAAGTTGGAAACAGCTGCTCCGAGCACAAGCACATCGCACTAACAGATTATATAGACTATAGGATGTATTTCCAAAATATAATTGCAATTTAAATAAAATCTATTGAGTTCGTGAGAATATGGAAGTTGCTTACAATTCAGCCATAGAAATGGCCTAGTTTGATACCTTACTCCAGGGAAACCTGACGGAAGGAAATTGAATATGGTGGTATCCAGTGGTGGGATTCAATTTTTTTGTCAGCCGGTTTCATCAAAAAAGTCATATTTTTCACCCGGTTCTGTTACAAAAAGTCCTTAATTAATAGTGACCAGTAGGCCTAATGCAACCCGGTTCGCTGATCTCATAAAATTCCGTAAGACGGTTCTATAGAACCGATGCGAAACGGCTGAATCCCACCACTGGTTACCCTACAACGAGGTTAATGCCAATTAGCAATGACGTGAAATAATACGTCGTGTTGTATTATTATTATTACTCATATCAAATATAAAATTATTGAAATTTTCTCATAGAATATATATATATATGGCCATCAAATTTTATTGTTTATAGAATATTACATGTACTATATAATTACAGAATTTTGGAACCTAGTTGAAATAACATGTTTTAAATTTATCTAAGTATGAATCCAAATTTATTTATCTCACTTCAACCTTATTCATTAATATTATATAAATAGTAAATACTGTATATATATATTCGTCTTCGTTTGATTTTTTACAAAATTCGTCAATTATATATTAAGGTTGTAAAATTTTAAATGACACGCTCTATACATTGCCAAAAGTGAGGAAATATTATAGACTTCTTGTTTAAGATTCATCGAAAACTAGTAAATCAGATGTAAATTGAAAAAGTGTAAATTTAAATTCACGATTGTCTATTTTGCGCCAAATCGGTCTGTTTCATTACGTTTTTTTTTTCAATAATTAAAGTGCACAATAAGTCTACATTGTGACACATGATTGGTAGGCTAATTCGTTGTTGCGAACTTTCTTGAATTGTTTTCATTGATTGCTCAAGAACTGTGTTTATGAAAAACAAAATTCTATGTTGCCCAAAAATTTAAAAATTATATTGCATTATGGGGTATCTGATGTGTAATAATGAGTTCAGTAACCACAGCCTCTTTCTTAATAGACTGGATACAACCATAGATACATGTTGTAGAGTCATTTAACAGAGATAAACAAGTAACTAACTAATCCCATACCCGACATGGAATGGTAACCGGACGAGAGGCCGTGGTTCGCCATATGAATAAGCCGTCTTATCGACTTTTCTCTCCCACGGGATAAATATGTAAATCCTATCCTATCCTTGTTGCGAACATTATTAATCTTTCTATATGCCATTTACGCAAGTTCATCGAACATGCTTCGGTATTTGAAACGATAAATAATAAACAGAATAATGCCCTTATTGTACGTTGTATGTATTTGTTGGAGCTTTGTTATATATTATTTTTATGCCAATTATGTATTTATTTTGTCTATACATGCGAAGGAAAGAAAATTTGACCGTCTTCCGCGTCTTCTTTTGGATTGCGCCCTGACTAGCGGCGGTTGGTTGAAATGTAATAAATAACTCGAAAAATTGCCTGTTGGTTATGTAAATGATAGTATAAATTCAGAGTCAGTCTCCCACCAGCGCCATATATAATTCTACTAATTCAAGGACTTCTAGCGAGTGCACATTAGGTTAAAAGAATTCGACCACATCATCATTTTCGGGAAATGGTGCCGTACACTTTGAATTTACAACAGCTGAAATAAATCGGTCAATTTATTTCTTGATCAACGGTCACAATGTTTGAGTGTAATTGACAGTCTAAATTTTCGGCACGCCAACACGCTGCGGAAAGCGGCCTCTTCAAACTAGATCATACGAAGAACCACCATCATTAAAGCGACAGATTTCTACAAGAGCTTTTTGTGGGGTTCGGGGGTCTTAAGAGTTTAGATTAGACGATCGCAGCAAATGGGGCAATTCTAAACCTCTGGCTGTTCTACTTTTTAAAAGTAACCTTAATGCGCGCTAAAACCAGGCGAAACCAAGAACTTCATCGCACAGGGCAGCAGAAATTCTTAACCCAATCCACTTCTCAAATTCTTATTTACTCATGATATTGTGCAGAGAAATTTTTATATTTGGTGATAACAAAGAAACGAAAAACAATCCAGTAAATTGACAATTCAGGATTCTTATGTACAAGAGTTTGTCCAATTAAGGAATTAAATATCCAAAGCCAATCCACGAAGAACAGTGATGTACTTTAAACAAAAATGGGTGAAAATTTTGAAATGGATCAGAATCGGCTTCCAGCCAAATCCATTGGTTGTTATAATGAGTAACTTGACGATGCAACAGGTAAGCTGCAAATGAATTCATGGTTCAGCACTTGAAGAACACTTTGCCTATGGATGCTTGAATGAGCCAATGATTTAGCATATTTGGAACAAAGTTTGAGCAAGTCACATACAATAACTCATGATCAAGGAAACAGTGGGAAAGTAAATAGGCAAGAACATGCGTTTACAATGAAAAAGAATAACTCAAAACTTTATATACAAACAATGGAACAATTGTCATGGTGAGTTTAATAGGCACATGATGAATCACAATTATTTGGGAGACAGTCTCACATTTAGCACGATTCTTAAGGTAACAAGTGTTGAATATTGAACCGTTTTTTTTTACGATTGTAGAATACGGCATCATTTAGTGGTGCAAAATTTTTAGAGGTAGGTTGTGTCCAGTTATACCTTTAGGTTTTCGAGTTGCATTGTCATGATGGGGACAAATTATACAATGTTTCTGTACATCGTACAGTGTGAATGAAACGAAAACAGTTCAATGTTTTTAGTCAATTTCAGTAGATTCATATGCTTCCACCAAAATTTGTGGAATTTTTTCCAAATCAATGTAAATATCTTTCGATTTTCTTCTTTTCTTTCCACCGGAAAATTTATCACCAAGAGAATTATTATCTTCTATTTGAGCTATGATAAGAGCTCCAGCTAGAACTTTCGTTTTTATATCGTGAGCAACTTTATGAACTTCTTCATCTGTGGGAGATTTTTCTTCTTCAGTTTTTTCAGGAGTAATTTCCAAGGAATCTCCAGCTTCATTTTGATCAGGATAAGGATCATCCATGCTTGATAGATCAACGTTACTGCTATGTAACTGGTCAGTGCTACTGAAATCCGGATTCAAAAGGGTTTCCCAAGCTGAATCTGTCATCGTGGACCATTCTAAAAAATAGAAATGATTTGCACCAATTATATGTCAAAACAAGAGAGCGATGCACAAATATATGGATACAAAGGCCAGAACAAAGTATAGTGGCAAGGCGAACAGGTATGCAATCTGTCACAGTAGACTACCGGTTCGGCAGTCTTCATGATCAATGCAGAGAGAGCGGAACTGACACAAGGTGTGCACATTTTTTGATAACGTCATCACACACAATAAATGAATCTCATGACAAAAAAGCGGATACATACCATCATCACCTTTCTTTTCTTCATCTTTCTGCAACTTTTGAGCCAAGTTTGCATCGATCAAAGCTTTAGCAACATCGATTTCCACACTATTATCATCCAAGACAAAGAGTTGAATTGTATAACATTCTTCTGTCGTGCTTTCGTTTACTTGTAATACCTCAGCTAGAAAAAGTAAATTTTCTATCAAGTCTCAATTATATCTTCTGTATTTGTAATTAATATGCTTCATTTTCAGCAAAATCCTAAAATACGACAAAGACGCAGTGTAAATAATGATTTTGCTGCTTGAAGACATAACGGACATGGTATGTAACTATTGACTGCTCTGATATTCAATGTGTGAATGATGGAAAATATAAAGGTTGTGTGACAAGTAATCAAAAATAGCATATGGATGATTAATCTTTGTACAATTGGAGATTCAATAATTCAAAATTGAATCCTCCGTAGTGCCGCGGCAGTTAATATGCCCAGTGGTGTTGTTTTATAAAATAAAATGAAAGCAATGCTCAGATATATGCATGGGTTATATAAAAGTGTCCCAATGTATAAACATGAGAGAGAGAGAGAGAGCAAAATTTGGGGTAAAATATAATACAATAGCCTATAATCACAACTCATGAGATACTTGAAAAAGAAAATATCCATTGGATAAAGAACGAGAGACAAAATGTTGGCCCATATAAAAAGTATGAAATTTTATACCACTCAAATTACCTTTTAAAGTATTGCAAAATAAAAGATCATTCAAATATTGATTAACATCTGAACTCCAAGATTCAACTTCAGATTTTTCTTCTCTCTGTTGATCAAAAATGCCACACATAGTTTAGGATATGATTATATCAACAAATTTAATAACACAGTATTGAAAATTGTTCTGAATATTCTAACAAGATGACTCAACCTCTAGCCATCACAAATTTTGTGGTTCGCAATTAAAAGTGTTTAATTTTTGCTTGTAAGTCCACATAACTGCCAGTCTGTTATATAATTCTGCAGCATCTAATCCCATGCATCTCGAACTAATGGGCAAATATCCCAATATCCCCAATCTAGATAGTTCACGAGATCCCCATAATTATCCAGGGGGAGGGGAAAGCTAGATGAGACGGCTTACCATATGGGGAACCAAGGCCTATCGTACAAGGTGCAAAGAAAAGCGTATCCCCAACGATTCCGAGTTCATGGTACTCTCAGAGCCATCACAAAATGACTTTCAAAAAAGCGAAAAAAGCATGAGAATCAAAAAAATCTGCACACACCATAGTGATTCCTCCCAGACTACATTGAACAGTTTGTCTTGGATAAAGACACAAACTTTCCGGTATTTCTCGAAGTTGATCAATTGTTGCCGTCATTACATCGGCATAATCAACCAATTCAACAATATACTTCTCATCATTTTCTGTTGATACAATTCGACCTCGATCCCACGATCCATCGGAAGGACATTGTACAAGACACATCTGAGATAAAAGCAAAACAATAACTCGAAAACAACGCAACAGAATCGCATTGATATGACATATACTAAGTCATTATTAGCAAATGATCTAGGCAGGGATGTACAAAACTGAACATTTTATTATTCCTAATACATTCTGAAAAAATATTTTTCCAATTAGGCTGTGTTCTAAATGAGGTTAGGTTCAACTGAAAACATGTATGTATATTCAGTGAGTTGATTTTGGAAGTGCATGACAGTTAAGACAATCAGTGACTTGATTGGTTTTATATTTTCACAGTTTTCAGGAACTGTGGGGACTTTTTGATAATACTATAATTACCGTAACCTTCAATTGGTCCAAGTGATATTTTTATTAAATGAAACTATTCTACATTCTTCCTAAATCGAGAATTAAAATATTGAATATTCGTTTTGAACATCCCTGTGTCTAGGTTTCTCAAACGATTGCTCTGAAACAGGGGTTCTCGACCTGGGGTTCGCGAACCCCCAGGGGTTCACGAGAAGATTTTCAGGGGTACTTGGATGACAGTCGAGTTTTCGTGTGTTGCTTTTTTTTAATATCCTTCAACAAAGACAGTAACTACAAGAGGAAAATAAGTACGGTATCAATTGAAACTCAGCGTACATTTTCCCTAATCTTATGTTGTTGCAATTATGACGCAACAATGTGAAATGCATGGCTTGGCAGTCGTTGCAGCAAATTGTTAGTCAATATATCCCAATTTAGTTTGGTGTCTGATTACTGGGGGTTCGCGTTGATTGTTTCGTGACTCTAGGGGGGTTGGGGTTTAACTCAATTCAAAATTACAAATATTCCAGTATCCTTTATCTTGTAATAAACGCTTTAGATTCTTTAGAACAATTTCTGAATATAGCCAACAACTACTGATGCGACTTTAAAATTAACTTTTATGCCAGAATTTATTCTTGGTCAGGAATCAAAAAATTAACATCATCAAACTCCCAACTTGTGAGCAATTCAAAAACTACTCCTGTTCAGATACCTGGTTAAAAAAAATTTCATCACCAACCGTGGCTCCCAATTGAACTAAATTTTGCTTCAAACATCAAAATAAGATAACTGAACTTCTGACATTTGAAGGTTTATTAAAATTTGGTTTAAAAACACGGCTCTGACTCTAATATCAATAAGCCGATTTTCCAATCCACAATGATATTCCTGACAGGCAAAGATGCCTTATTTTCATAACAAATTATTAACATACCATGTCCGTTTCCCATGAATCAAGTTTAACTAATTCATTCACATGTTTAGCATCATTTATTTTGCACAATGTGCTTCTCCATTCGTCTGAATCTGTACCCATATCAAATTGGAGTTGTATGTTGTGAGGATTTTTAGAACTCAAGTAAGTGACTGGATAGGGATCACCTGCAAAAATTTGAATATTTTATGGTGTCTGACCGTCTAAAATATTAGTCATATGCAAGTCGTAATTTTAGCAAGAAAACATATTTTGCTAACCATCATTTATTTGCTATCCTAACCCAAAACGTACCCTCAAATCATACAAAGTTTTTATTCAATTATGAGCAATGAGAATTATGCCTCATATCAGTGGATTGTACAAATATATGCAGTGGCGCAGACAGGAGGCGCAGGACAAGACCAGCCTTATGAAATTTTCAGAAGACCGAAAACGTCGCTAGTAGTGTGACTGTCTGTCACAGTAAGTTCGACTGTACACCTGTATGTACCCCAGGTATGCTTGTACATAACCATATACAAGATCAGAATACCTGATGACGAAGGAGTTCTTTAAGTATAATTCATTACTATCACCCAGTAGGAAATAGTACTACAGGCCACTTGATATAATTCCCTATTCGTGGAGCCAAAAATTTTCTTTTTTTTTACAGGAAGAAAATCAACTTACCAACTTCTAGTTGCATTTTAGGTAAACAACAGATGTAAAATCTTTGATTTGCATGAGGATACGAGCATTGGTCAACTGATGCTTTAATATCATTTTCTAGATCTTCTTCATCCTTAATCTCATCCAAAATATCCTTTTCTTCTGTTGAATTCTCATTTTTGTCGATGTCCTCTATGAAAATACAAATTAGCTATGATTATCAAATTTTTATATTCTTGTTGCCTGAATACTATACAAAAACAAAGCCTAATGGTGGATAGACTAAAACAAGGATGGGCTTTAAGCTCACAGGCCACATTCGCCTCAGCAAGCAGAGCATTTTGTGAGACAGGTTGTTTGAAAATTTCTCACAACTACATATAAATTTGAGTCAGTTGATGTTTTTAGTTTGCTATCTAATATATTTTATTGGAAATCTTTAATTTGGCATATTTTACATATGAAATTTCTGGACTAAGATCAGAATGTAAGGCAGAAAATGTTCAAGTATTTATAATTTCAATTTTGGAAGAACGATTTATAGATTTTAACATTATTTAATAACAGTCAAATCTTACACAGGTTATACAAGCATGTTATGTATAACCAATAAATAAGTGATATGACGCAGTGAAAAAATCTTATTATAAAAATAATCAAATGACTGGTAGCATTCACTGTTGAGTTCCAATATTTATATATTTTGCTTGTTATAATAACTTTCACTTTGCTGTATTTTTGACAGCATTATCTTGACGGGTCCAAATTTTCATGCCAGCGACATCTTGTATCAAACAATATCCCTGCATTAGGAATAAACGTATACATAGTTCTTAATGCATCATATTATGTTTCTTGTAACTCTACTAACGATTTTGTTGAACTCTGATTTAAGGCTTTGGGGTTGGGACATTGTTTTAAGCAAATTCCATAAAAAATAGGATATAATAGGCTCGGCGGTGTGGCGCATCGTGCTAAGCGTTAGGAATACGCTCGCCACCGCATCTCTGATTACCCTATGTAGGTTCGCATCCCATGCGGGGATGGTCGTGTGCAAGAGGATTGCTGGACTCCTCGCCACTGTAGGGTCGTTGCTCCCGAAAACCAATAACTGGCTAACTAATCCCATACCCACCCTGGTATCCGGACGTTAGGCCGTGGTTCGCCATGTAATTGAGCCGTCTTATCTGTTTCCTCTACCCCGATAAATATGTAAATCCTATCCTATCCTAAAATTTAATTAAGTTAAATGATGAGCAAAATCTTATCCATTTACCTTTCAAGAAATCATGATCTTCTATATTCGACCTAAAATCAGGATTGATAGGGACTTCCACATCAGATTTTGGTGAATCGGAATAACATTCTTCTTTCGTTATACCAGTTTCTTCTTGGTTAGCGGTTTGTTCTTGTTGCTTTTCAAAATGTTCTACCATTGACAGAACATAGGAGCCATTTTCAGGCATGAAACCAGTTTTGTCAGTGGCATTTTGCATCATATCTGCAAAAATTGAGATATTGAGTATGAGGAAATTTTAATACATTCAGCAAAGAAAAACTCAAGTCGATTTGATTAGTGAGTGGTTATATTCCTGAGTTAGCACACTGCGCTGAGCCGTTGACAAATCCCTGCCACTGCATGGCTGATTACCCTATGGCAGTCATAGGATTATGAGCCCATAGGTCGACTCACATAGATGCTAATTATATGCAGGATTGCAGCACTTCTCTTTCCACTGCAGGGCAGTTCACATAACTTATAGCTATAATCCTAGCTTTATTTGCCACCCACGCCCATGCCAAGTGAAACAATTAACTGTCCAACTCCCGATCATGATTATAAACTAAGTACCGGCCTCTATTTTACATGTTGAATCTGACCCATTGTATTTCCTCTCCCATAGTTGATTAAGAAACGCCCTTTTCGTTTTTAAGTGTCATCACTTTCGTAGTATCATAAATTTTATCTTCCACTTTTAATAATGTTACAATAATGAACGATTATAACATCTAATACAGTGGGTAGCTTACCTTGTTGAGGAGTCTTTGATTCAATTTGATCTGGGTTCGGCATCTCACATGATAGGTCATCTACTTCTTCTCTCTTATGTGCAAAATCCTCGTCATTAACTACATCAACTTCATTGATTGTATTTTCACCAGAACTTGGCAATTCAATTTTATCGGCATCCAGCTCTTCGACTGGATAAAGCTGTTGACCGGGTTCTTGAGAATTCATTTCAGCTACGCCTTCATTTGGATTAGGAATCTCACAAAGATCAACATCACCAATAACATTGTCAGTATCATCTTTAATTTCTTGGTCTTTTATTTTAGGCTTTAAAGGAACTGACACATTCTGCTCTTTATTACCAGTCTCTGAATCAAAATTGCTTTCTGGTTGATTATCTTGATGTGTAAAACTGTCTACAACGTCTATAGATTGTGACGGCATTTCAGTAAGAACAAGACTTTCCATTGCATGTATGATTTCTTCTTCTTGTTTGGCTTCAGCCAGCTCTTGAACATGGTATGGGCTAGGGTTACGAAGATTCTCTTTCTGCATTTTAGTAACTTCTTCTAGATCTGGTATTTCCGAAAAGGTATTTCCGATATCATCTTCTGTTTCAATTGTCTGAAAAACTTCTTCAACAACTTGACGAGCCACCTCTTTTAACTTCATTTCAAAAACATCTTGAGATTCAATATTTTGACCTGAAATTAGAACAGTCTTGAATACAAAAACTTTAAAATATTTATGATAACCCGTGGTGAAATAATATTTTTAAGATATTTGCAAATGAAGGGATAGAAGTATATAACATACTTATCAATAAAAAGCGCTTCATTTAACTATGTTGTCATCACAAGTTACAGATGTTAAAATTCAACCCCATGTTCACCATCCCATTTAGAATGTAATAAATTAATAGAGTGAGCAATACCCAACTAGAAAGATTGCAATCCTTTAAAATATTAGTTGCTTACATCAATGGCTTGTGCGAGGCTTTGTTCAGAGTGAAAATCATGAAAAAGCAATAATAATTTTTCATATAGTTATATTGTGAAAGCAGCGAGCTAAAATCTCCATGTGTTTCCCAGAAAATGTTTTCCTTATATTTTCATACTAGAGACTACCAGTACAATTATTCATTCACTCCAGTGCACAATTAACTTGAAAAAAAGTCAATAATATCATTCAAAGCAGTGCTTCCCAACCTATGGATTCTTTTAGGTCGCTTAGTTTTTTCAACATAAAGCTAAAAGTTAGTGATTTAAGTTTTATTGTTTATTTTCTATTTGGTATTGAAGTGTAGCACAATGGTAATTGTATACGTGAGAAGTATGACAGCATAGAAAATAGTATGCAGTCATTCATTTTGTTCAAGTAACACCATGCCAAGATTTCAAATAATCGCTGATACATACAAATAATAAGGTTGAAAAAAGGAATAAAAATGATCGTTTTTTGTTATTAGTAATTTTATTTTGCGGCCATAGAACCATTACAGTTGTTTAGTATTTGAGCATACCCTTGGGCTGCAAGATTTTACAAAATTTGGATCGCTTGAAAAAAGTTTGAAACAACTAATCCAAGCACTCAGAGGCTACTAAAAGAAAACTGAAATAACCTGTTTTTTTATTATCATTTTGTTCCGAAGATGTAGCAGTCGCTGGAGTGAGAAGGTTCAATAGTGACGACGAAACACTAGCTTCAGATATTTCTGTTCTTATGTTGGAAATCAAGATATTTTCTATCGAATCTGCAGCCAAAGTTGTCTCTCCTTCGCTGTTATTGATAAAAATGATGTAATTTATTATATCAAAATTTTTTAAGAGAGTTTTACTCATCATAAAAACTGCACTCACTCACAATACAATAGACTCATCTCAAATGCTAGGGAACTAAGGAAAATATATAGATTTATTGTGGTACAAACCTTCAATAAATTGTATCAAGAACCTTGATATTACAGTATAATTTTGTTTATTTAAACATAAATTCAAAAAGGAATTCTGAAACACGGCGTATCAAAATATCTATGTCTGAATAAATATCTTTTTAAAACATTGTGAATGAAATATGCTATACATGAATAGTATGGGAAGTCACTAAAAAAGTAAAACAGAAAATAACTTCTTTGCAACATTTTCAAATCAGTACAACGGCAAAATTTTGATGATCATGATTAGAAAAACACTTACTCTGCACTTTCAGATGATATAGTACTGCAGTAAATTTTGAAAGATGTCAAATGAGTTTGTTGTTTAACAATAGGTGGATGTTCTGTATATAAAATAATCAGTTTAAATTTCATCTATGAAAGTTGACTAGAACAAATTTGATACCAAAATTAAATTTCATATTCTATTGCCAATAGGATTGGAAAAGTTGATTTACTTGCATTTTAAACACTGACGGAGTTTCAAACTTGCATGCATTTTTGCAGCCCAAATAATTGTGCACTAGATACTGGTAAGAATATTAATCATCCTTAATATAGAGTTATATTATTATAGAATTTCTGATGTTGATAGAATTTGAATGCTATAAAGTTTTTTCAGGTATTTTTTTGGATTGCCCAGTCCTTTCTACCGGCTGTTACCTTAGAAGTGTTCACTTCATTCTATTCTCATTTTAAGTTTTGGGATTCACAACCTTACTTTGAGTAAAATTGAATGACAAATTAATTCATTATAGTGAACGCAATTTTCAAACTATTACTGTTCCATTCCAGAGTAAGGTAGTCGAAGCCGATTTTTACCCTTAATATAAATCAATTTGTGCACCTCATAACTCTAGTGTTAAAACAAATGTTTTAAATCACCTGCAGATCCAATAAAGGAATCTTCTACATCAGAAACAAATACACTGTCTGAGAGACTCTCAGAAGAATACCTTTCAATAGACGTTCTTATAACTCTCCATGGTACTGCGAGAAGATCAAAATTTGGCATAGAGTGACCCACAGAGTCGGATGAATTCGGAGTTCGCAGAATGGCAGATGGTTGCCTTTTTATACCCTTAGGCATAAGGATTGTAAATGGTCTTCTGGTCTCTCCTCTGTCTAGATCATCAGATTTTTTCAACCTGCAAACTTGGTTTTCTTTATCTACTCCTAATTTTAAATGTATTTTTTCCGCAACTTGAAGAGTGATGAGAGTTTCAGCAACTGATTTTTCATTCAAAAATACATCGACTTCATAAATATCTTGGCACAAATCAGGATTAAAAACAATCGATACAATATGTACTTCTATGCAATCAGACATGCTTAAGCTTCCCAACAAACTGTCAAGTTTCTTGATAGCAGTGTCAGACCATCCTTCACCGCTTGAATTACAGGGTTGAATTCCCGCAAGAGAGCAATGCATACAGAACGAAGGCCATGATTCCACTTTCTCTCCAATTGGAAAAACGTTTTCAGCTAAAGCGACAAACCTTATACCAGTGTCAATGTCTTTCACTGATATGTTTTCACCATCACAATCTTCAACGATAGCGCGAACCCAGTGATGTACAGGAAATGAGGAATCTGAACATTTGGCAATGCAAAGCATATCTGGCAGTAATTTTTTCAATCGATTTTTAACATCCTTGAATTTACTGGTTGGCTCTAATGTAACAGGTTCTGACATGACTAAAAATGGTCGAACATAGAATTGACCAGGATGCACGACACTTGAAATAATCGCTTCAAACTTATTCCCAACTGAAAACATTCCCGTTTCTGTTCCCCCAAATCCAGGATTATTCTTGTTCATATCGAGTTTTAATTTCTTTGCAGGCAAAGAATCATTCTCATTAATTTGCATTAATTCTCCACTGATTCTTTTCAGTCTGTCATTGATTGGACTTTCGTCCTGGGGTTTGATATCAAATCTGGCTTTTTCTTCCTCTGTCAAATGCAAAGCGATGGCATATTTTGATCTAAACATGGCAACATGTAAAGGAGCGAGTGCACTTGGACAGTCTAGGAATAATTCTTCTCCCAAACTGAAAAAGTTGACCAATTTTGAAAAGTGTTCGTTTATCCAGTTCCCAATATCGCTTTTATTCCCTGTTTTGCTTCTTGTTTCAGCAGATGACTTTCGTTCAGTATTTGTTATAAGAATACTCGGTGTTCCGTTTTGTAAAATTGGATCAACCTGAAGAGTGTTCTCATCTGTAGATTCTTCTACATTGTCCTTAAGAAATGAAGTTTTAACAATCCATCGACATGAAGCTTCATCCAGAGATAAAAGATGAATTGCAACAATTTTTCCCAAATCATTTTCCAGATGTAACTTAACAGCCATAGAAGATTTAGTTACACAATTTACAAACAGTTTATCAATGTCTTTTCTTATTTCTGGTGTTACATCAATAAACATGTTTTCACCACTGTCTAATTCAACATTTCTCTTGTTTGATATATCGAAAGCCTTAGCTTTACCATCACATCCTACCCTGATGATTCTAACACATTGCCAGTCACAACCTGCAAACGTTTTGTACATGCATACTGTCCCTGGGTGAAGATCTTCAAATCGAATAGATACATATCCACCATCATCTTTAATTGTTTTCACAAAATTTTTCAATTCCGTAACCAGTTTATGGGTAGAAATATTCAGCAGAAATCCTGTGAAATTTCCAGAGATGTCAATGTCAACCACCTTAGCACACAAAATACATCCAACTTGAAGCTGGTAAGTTTGAGAATTACCTTCCAAACTAGTCTCTGCTCTACAGCTTGAAACCAATTTGCCATCGTTTTCCTTCAAAAGTTTTTCACCGATATCAAGTCCTTCAAAATTCAATTTCACAAACCATATTCCAGTTTGAGTTTGCTTGATGAACTCAATCTTTAAGTCCTTGTCCAAAGTTAAATCCAAAAAGGAATCTGTTACAGAGTCCCATCCAGTTTGTACTGGTATTACACCATGCAATTTGCATTCTATTGCTTGTATAGGAAAACATTTTAATACGTCAGACATTGGTTTTAGGTTATTTGAATCAATAGTAGCAGTATTTCCATAATCAATGAATTGGACAATAAACTTTTCATCACGGATATCCACACATTTAGCACGATACCACTCATCATCATCAGGACTTTTAGCAATACAATATCTTCCAATTCCAACTTCTACAGATTCTTGTGAAGTATTCTGCGCGGTATTCATATAAATTTGATCAAGATCTGAAACGTGTTTGGCTAATTGTACATAAAAATGGCCAGGATCATTACAATGACTGATAAATCCATTTTCAATAGCTCCGGATTCCATAAACAAAGACTCTAAGTCAGAGACTATATTTGGTGTTTTAAGATAAGTTGATGTATCAAAGTCGATGCTTGCAGTTTGAGGAACAAGATTTTCCACAATGACATGATCACCCCTATCAGTGACAATATGGTTTTCCGAATCATGTAAACTAATCGTGTTCTTTGTATTAATTAAGCTATCACCCGCACCTTCCGACATCCTTGAAGCATCAGTTGTAAGATTAATAGTACGATCTTTCAAAGTTTCATTCCATTCTGTATTTAGTGATTTTCCACATGGATATATCAGGTCCACATCGTAAACATTTGACACAAATTTTCCACCGGTTTTTCCAGTTGCAAGATGAAATAATGCCGTTAGCTGAACATCACTGACACGATCAACAAAATCATCAGTGTCATTTGTTGTCCAATGTTCGAGTCCAATCATGTTGCGAAGTTTACAAAGGATTGCTTGCACAGGAAGCTTTATGAATTGTATATTCATAGGCTTCAAGTTGTCTAATCTTACTGCTTCTGTGTTGCCATAATCAACAAAATGTATAGTTGCAGATCCCAGAGTTTTATTGTAATCTTGAATCATTCCTCGGTACCAGCCATCGTCAGCAGAGTACTTAGCTAAGCATGGAGTACTAGTTTGAAATTCTGTTAGTTTGGTTGAATTAGTATTACAGAAAACGTCAATTTCACTCATAATTTTATCTAAATCCGGAGCATTAGATGAGAGTTGAATCCATATCCGCTGTGGGTCATCTATCTGAGCAACATAAACCTTTGTCTGTATGTTGGTTTTTACATCAATTTTCGTATACTGCAGTGATGCTTCAGCAGATGGTTCAGTTCTAGCAAAAAATTCCAAAAACTTAGTCCTCTTTTGATTTGTATCAACTATAGTGAGATCAACAAGAAAAGTCAATGATTCTATCTTGACACACTCAGCAGAAATGGAAGAATTTTCATCGCCAGCCAAACTTTCAAGTTTTGCTGTCAGCACCTCCTTGTCGATGCCAATTGGATGTTTGACATTGCATTTAATTGCTTGCTCTGGAAGAATTGTAAACTCTTTTGGTAAATGACAAAGGTCCTCTATTTTCACAAATCCTTCATTTCCATAATCAGTGTAAATCACATGAATTGAATCAGGTTTTTTAAGATCAGGAAGGGATAAAAGATTTGCACGATAGTATTGTTTATCCTCATTGAATTTTGCTGCATAGCTAATATCAAGGCGCAGTTGCCTGTTTGCCACATTTTTCATCACCAGAGATGAATCATTCAGTTTATTCATCAAGGTATTCAGAGCAGCTTCAGATTCAACAGGCTGAAGATATACTTGATTTATTGATTCTACATGACTTATATAAACTTTGCGAGCAGTACCCTGTGGCCATGAATTAATTTTCTTCGTTTTGACATATTCTGAACATCCACTTGCTTGGCTTGATGGGACTTTAACACATTTGGCGAAATTGTTCTCAACAAGCATATGGGCCACATTCTGGCCTTCAATCTTTATATCAATAGCCCAGGTTCGATCAGTAACATCATAAGTATTGAAGCGAATTCGGCAATTAACATATTGAACTGTACGCAAAAAGAACTCTGTACTTTCAGGGTCCCAGGACTTTCCTACTGGTAGCACATTGGCAAGTTGACATTTTATAGTCAATCTGGGCCAATGCAGCATACCAGGGACAAGTCTCTTGATGTTGTCTTCTATCGATACAAATTCCTGCTCTCCGATGTCAACAAACTCCACAAGAGCTTCATCAGGTTCCTTTGAAACACAGTCAATAACAATACCCCTACACCATCGCAAAGTCAAAGGATGTTTTGCACAAATTACATTTCCATTTTGAATATGCTGCACAGAATAATCTTGTCTTCGCACTGCAGTATAAAAGCCATCAACTTCCGACATACATTCTTTAAACTGCTCCTCATATTCAGCAAGTCGAACATGGAAATAGTTGGGATTTTTCACCTGTGATATATATACCGAATGAACAGTTTTAGGTTCGATTGCAGGTATATCTTTGAATTTTCCTTTCAGAGATGGTTCTCTTCTGAATTTCTCATCTTTTGCTGGTAAAGTGATCGGACTCACATTCCCAGTTATAATCATTTCATTGAGTCTCTGTTGATTCACAAAAAAGTCCAGATGTAATCTACCATTTGTACTTCCGGTAACAATCCCGGAAAGCTGCCTCCTTTCCAATTTTTCCTTCATTCTGATGAATATATCATTAGATATTGCCAAATCAGAGTTTGAAGTGATTATCTCAGATAAGCAGCATGCTAAGGCAAATATCGATACATCAGAGAGACCAGAATCTTTCTCACATAAGATAATATTTGACAAAGGAGTCACAAATATGTTACCATAGTCAACAAATATAACCTCAGCTACAGTGTCTTTGGGCGAATGTATTGAATTTGAATTATAATGAGCTCTGTACCATTTGCCATCTTCGTAAAGAACCAAACAAAGAGGAGAAAACTCCAAATCCTTGACAGTAACAATCTTTTTCTGTTTATACTTTGAACAGTAATTTTGAACTCTATCCATAAAGCCATCTATTTCCTCAAATTTACTCGAGAGTTGGCAATAAAATAGGTCAGATCTTTCAACATGCGTGACATAGAATTGATCTTCTTTTCCTATTCCTGCTCCGAGACTTGAATAAACAAATGACTTCAATGCAAAGGGAGGAGACATGTTTCCTATTGGATCTAACATTGTACAGTTTGCAGATTTTACAAGATCGGACGCAATATCTTGAAAAGGTGTTTGGAATTTAACCATGAAAAACTGAGAAACGCCGTCCGTTACACAACCATATATAGTACAAACAAGATCTCTCTTGTTTTCCTTGCAAAACTTGGAAAATAGCAAAAGAGCTTTACTCGACCAAAACTCATTTTCAGGTTCTAATATTCCATGTAATGTGCAACGTATTGCAACAGGTGGTATACATGTTATGTGTATAGGTGATATGGACTTGAGGCAATCAATCGGAACTTGTTTTTTCTCACCATAGTCAACCAAAAATACGACTGGATTTTGTGGATCATCATTTGACACCACAGCAGCCCTGAAGCAATCAGATCTCAAAACGCATACACAAGGCATTCCCACGTACATGTTGGTTTGAATAGATGAGTCTAATTGAGCATAAGGTCTCAATTCTCTTCTGAGTTTAGCATATGTTACTTTGACTTCTGAATTAGCTGGTAAAACAAAGAAATCATTTGGCACTGCTGGTTCACATACAATGACGGGGAACTGAGCGCCAATGAGAGAAATGCCTGGATGGCCGAAGAATACATGTGCAGATTGAGGTAGGACTTGGGGTGATGGAATTCTCAATGGTGTCTCACCTTCCAATTCCGCATTTGAATCGGCCCATGACGCCAGTCCTTTAGATACTAATCTGCTGCCCAGAAGAATATTCTCATCTTTGGTTGAAACAAGAATTGAAGCTGCATACACATTCATTTTCAGGTCTACAAATTTTGCACTGACCCCTGTTTTTGCCACAAACTCTTTTAGGTATCTCACACTTCCATTACACCACTTTCGACTGTTTGGTCTAAGATTATGGATGCAACAACAAACTGCTTGACAAGGTAGAGATAAAAAGTCAGGCATTAAGGTCTTTGCATCCGATAAATGAGCAGATTCCACATATCCAAAATCAAAAAACTTCACTTCTATCACATCATCATACATGAATGCTATTTCCCCTCTGCACCAATTCTTTGTCTTGGACGATTTCATGCAACATATCTGTCCTGGATATATATTCTCAAGAATTAGAGCGTGATTAGGAAGCTCATTGTAATAAGCATTAAGCCTTCCAGTTAGAACAATCAAATTAGCCTGGTAATCCAAAAGCTGAACCCATATGCACCCAGGGTTTTCCACAGAAGTTATTCGAATGGGAACTTCGACATTGAGGGGCACATTCAGGAGTTGAACTTTGACATCTGAACCAGTTGCTTTTGCTTTGAAATGGCCAGCTATATCATGAAGAGCAACGAAGAACAAATCTTTTTCAACATCATAATCAGTGAAAACACCAGCAAAAGATTTATTTTTACCTTGCTGCAATAACATCCGCCATTGATCTACAGGTAATGGGACTCCACTCATTGATAGTATAGAAGTGAGTGTAAATCTGAGTGCAAAAACAGGCAATTTCAGTAGACCCTCACTAATGATTTTGACACTGTTTTTCAAAACAATTTCTGTTCTTCCACAATCAACATAAAGTACTTTGCATTCGTTTGGACCAGTGATAGATAGTAGTTTAGACCGATACCACATACCATCCTTTGGATCTTGAGTTACACACGGACCACCATAATCTGATTGTGCAGGGTTCAAGTCGTACGTTCCTTCTATCACACTATTGTACATTTCGTTTATTTCATTTGTTAAATTTTGTAAATCTGCATGACTTTCTGTTAAAACACACCAAAGCGATTTGAGATTGTTTGTCTCTCTGAGAATGATATCCTTTTTTGCACCTATTGTTAGAGTATGATGTTTGTAAATGTTTGCATCCTTAGGCAATATTGTCATTGGATATAATTGCGTGGATCTTTCAAGATCTGGAGATGTAGTTCTTAGGCCAACAATGCTACCGTTGTGATAAAGGCAGACTGCATAAGGCTCGATATCTACATTGACAAACTCAACAACAACTTCCTGATCTCTGAGTACAGACAGTGCATGAATCAAATCATTATCGTCGAGATTTGATGACAACAAACAATGAATCCCTTGTATTGGCATTTTACGGAATTGATCGCTAAGTTCCAAAATAGAAGTAACGTCACAAGTTTGTGTGTTGCCATAGTCTATGAAGCGTACAGTTGCAATGTTATCAGACAACTTCAGTATGCATGCTCTGTACCAATTTCCATCTTCTGAGTATGGCGCACAGCACAAATTTCCAATAGAAGGGCATTTCAAGACTGGAACTGTTCCACTCGAACATTCTTTGTACAGAGAATTCAGCTGCTCACTCAGAAGATCATCACTTAAAACATTATAGCAGAAAAATGTACCATCTGGTTCCAACCAAGTCATAAGCATATTGGCTTTTTCCCCAACATGATAAGTTTTATGATTAGGTACATTTTGATTTACAATTTTTGATGATGAGAGACCATTTTCTATCAAATGTTCCGCAAAGTCTTTTCCAGTGGCATGGTCATGCATGTCCACGAGCAAGGTGTGAGCAGTCAAACATTGTTTCACTGTCACAGAAAAGATCTTATCCTCAGCAAAAGTGGTGATCGTTTCACAGATTTTATCCATTGCAATAGATGTTGAGAAGACAATTCCATCTAATCTGCAGTCTATTGCCTGATAAGGTAAACTGCATAGGTTGTCAGGTAATTTAAACAAATTATTGATGGATTTTTCTTCTACGCCACCATAGTCTATAAAATAAATAAAGCATTTGTCTCGATCAATCTTTCTAACCTGACCCCTATAGAACCCTCCATCACCACTATATACAGCACAAACTAAAGACCCAATAGAAATTGATTCTGGCTGTAGTACCATGTCAGTGAGTGTTGCAGATGTATAAAACATGGCAATATCGTCCATCAATGCATTCAAATCTTTTTCAGTTGCTTTTAGCTGAATTTGTATGTGTCCTTTTGCAGAGGAGTGAACTACATAGGCATCAAATTTACTTCCGACAGGGGATAAATTAAATGGATACTGCAGTTCGTCATCAATAAGCTTTTTATTTCTCAGAAATGCATCAATAGACTGGCATAATATAGAACCGTCGATGTCGACACTTTCTTCAATTTCAATTTCTGAATAAAGATATTCTTCCTGAATGACAGATGGAATATTCGGTGTCCACAATGCAGCAGATTTAACGGGTGTTCCAGCGATACAAAGCTTGAATACACAAGACTTCCGATCTATTTTTTGAAAGTGTTCAGGTAGTTGCCGTAGGTCTTCGATCTTTGTTCTTTGAATGTTTCCGTAATCAATGAATTCCACCAAATATGCGTCGCTCGCCTTAGAAATTATTTTTCCTCGATACAATTGTCCATCCTCAGCAAACAAAGCTAAACATGGGTTTCCTAAACAAATATAATGGTAAATATGCATATAATAAATAATGCTGTTTCTTTGTCAGTAGCAGCAAGTTTCAAATGAAAAGTAGTGAAAATTTTCAATCATGAAACATCTCTATTAAATTGATTAGGACAGCAGTTCCCAAACTTTTTGTTTGTGAGGCACCAAATTATCAGAGAAAATCTCACGGCACACCTAAACTAAAAAAAAAATGTTGCTTTCGAAACTCAATTTTACTATATTTTACTATATTTTTTTTATCTACTGAGTAAGTCTATATTTTACTATATTTTTTTATCTACTAAGTAAGTCTTGGGTGTAACTTTTGTGCAATTTTTTACATATTCAATAAAGCAACTGATTGGACAATGAAACAAAACATGTAGCTGAAAATGTGAAAATATATTGCATCCAACAACATGCAAAATTTCTGGAATTGTCCTGTAGTGTCACTTGGAATAGCCCATAAGTATTCTCATAAATGATAGGTTATATCATTTTATTCAATACTTATTTTGAAAAAAGCCATCCACGCTTACAGTTCGAGTCAGTCAGATTAAGTGGAATTATTGTGCGAAACTTTTCTCAAATTGTACCAGGAAATTATTATTTGACTAGTAGAATTACCATTATTGCCAACTTATTTAATCATATTTTGAACTTAAAATAGAATTCAGGATTTACGCAATGATTTTGCAGGGTTTTTATTCACTATTTAATACGAAAATAAAATCGTCGAAAATAATATCGTCTTCATAAATATCCGCATTCCGGCGTCAGAAATTATAATATTTTTAGCTTAAAATTGGGACAGGTAATTTACAACAAGTGACAAGAAAGATCAGAGCGGTTAAAAATCGGAATGAAATCCCGAATTCAACCCGATATTCGACAATTCGTCAAAATTATTCGATGAAAATATACTATTTTTTTCCTTTTGCGATCTGTAATCACGGCAGTAATCTGGCGAATCGTGTGGTAGTCCAAACACTGATGCAATGAAACATAAAACCTTCATAAGTTTAGTAAATTGCACTACTTCATGAAAGCGTTGTGGAATTGATTATTATTTCTTATCTCGAACACAAAAACGGTTATCTTTTTCGGGTAGTTTTGGCGGCCTGAAAAGTCAAATAAGTGTTTCGACTTAGTAAATGCTATGATCTTTGCCATCAAATTATGCTCGGGCCTTGCATGAAAATCATAACGTGAAAAGATATTTCCAGCGATGAAAATTGTTTATAACAACTTTAAACCTATTTAGTGTTTTAAGCGATAATAATTAATTGTTGTAATGAAATACAGTTTGTTCGTCACTTCCACTTCTCTCACAAGTGCCGACAATAACACTATTGAATGATTTTGGCAATGGGAGGAACATATTAAATTATAACAAAAATGAATTAGGTTGTGAAAAAGTCCGAATACATGTGATAATAATAAGAGCGTAACGTGGAAGCCCGTAATTGGCAGTGCGTTTGAAGACCACGTATCACCCTGGCCCCGAAGATGCTCTCGTTTACATTAATATAAGAAAGCAGTTGTAATATTGGTAGCTATTAAGCATTTTTTCGTGTTCGACTATCGCACTCTTTATGAGTAAAAAATGTTCGTGTTTTGTGATAGGTGTGCCGCCAATATTTAAAGAGCTAAATAGTGTGCCGCGATATAAAAAAGGTTGGGAACCACTGAATTAGATGTCTTGCATCCTTGAACAAATAATGAATGATCTGAGTCCAGTATATATAGCAAAGTTACAAATGCATACAATCAGTTTTCATATTCATTATTTGTTTATGATTTTTTATGATTTATAAAATTCTTACCAAGCTCTGCATTGGTGATGGGCTTGAATGAGGCAGTTTCAGATTTTATGCTTCCCATTAGGTTATTGATTTCATCTTCATCCTTCGAATATTGTCCGCAAATGAGAAGACTCCCATCTGTTTCAGAAAATAACGATTTGTATTTCCTCTGTGCATGTGGACATTGCTAGTATAACTCCCCGCTCTAGTCTAGTAATATTCAGAAAATGATTGATATGCACCACTCATCAGCGACCAAATCTAATTATGGACTTATCCCAGCTCAAAATTAATAATTTCAAAATAGTTTTTTATTGATAATCGAATGAATATTTATAGATATTTACAACATTACTGACAATAAAAGCGAATCCAGAACTTATTTAATACTGTATGTATGTCCTAAATCAATCTTGCCTGAGTAACTTCTTTACACATATGATTTTTGCACTTAACATTAATTAACAAAAATTTCCAAAGCGAGAACTCACCTTCAGATATTCTGGAATCAGTCAAAAATATTTTGCTTGATTTTACATTTCTACTCATCTTTATTTGTTTGTATATCTTTCAGAAATTAGCTCTTTTGTTCCTAAAACCCTGGTAAAGCAAAGTTCAGGATACAAAAGACTAGATTGAAACAAAATTACTGAATGATCTATTACGAATGCTTAAAGTTATATCTCTATTTTCAAATACCAAGCTATACAACCAATGTCAATCTGGAAATGTGTAGATTTTATAAATTTAGTAGGCCTATTACTTATATTTTTATAAATACAAATTCTTTGATTTATTAGTAATCTAACAGTTTTTGGGTCCTGATCCAGAATGTTCACAATGAATTAAATTTCTTGACACATACAAAATTTAGTTATTCAAATATTGGAATTGCTCGACTTTAGAAGGAATTTAGCACGACTTTATTTTGAAACATGTTATTTTGACACAAGTCTATGTGAAAAGATAACTTTTGATAAGTGTAGAAGATTGTTTGTTAACTATCTATCTATTATTGAGAACTTATAAATAAATCAGTAATCAAAGTTTTTTTCACCAAAATATAAAAATAATATATTGCCAAGTTTGTGGTTTAGACAGGAAAAAAATTAAATACATACGTGAGAAAAAAGCAGAAAAACCTATTTGTCTGCTATGTTGAGATGATTCACTCAGCATTCAATAGTCATTTTACAGTCTCCAATTGTAATACTAATGAAGTGCATGCACCATGAATAATATAATTACCATAGAGAACAAGAGACAAAAAACAAGAATATTAGGCCCAGAAAATATATCTAAATACTCACAATTCATCAAGCACTAACACCACAGCCAACTGAGCATATCAGGTGATAGTTAACTTGGGATGATAAGATCAATTCAGATATGGGTAAATTACTGTATAACATATTTGAAAAATATTAAAAATAAAAAAAGACTATATTATGATTTCTTTGAGTTTGAATATGTGGTGCTTTTAAGATTGTTACCCTTAGTTTGCTAACTTTAACCCAGGGATGGGCAATTACTTTTCTGTGTCAGTGCGGGCCAGTTACAGATAATAGACTTGGTTAATGGGCCGGAGGCTTGAACCTTAATATGAAAAATTATGAATAAAATACAGTCTATTCACAAGAGCTAGTCCAACAACGTTTATACAATAATAATCGGGGACATTATGGCATCATTTTCATCAATATTTCCAATGCAAATTTATATGCATAAAATATAGTCATAATTTCAGCTGACACAGGTGGGCCAGATGAAACACTTTGGGGGGCCAGATCCAACCTGCAGGCCGTAATAAATGGGTCCTGTTTTATTTCAGTATTTTGGGTCACACTGTATAAAAATTTCTGAATTCAGTAACTTCAATCTATAAAGGATTTTGTCAACTAAATATTGCAAGTCCAAATACCCCATAGTATAATTATTATTTAATGAATTGTTAAATAACTTTCTTAGTTACTGCAATCAATTATAAAATAAAAATTGGTAAATGAAAATTTATATTCATACAGAAATTATCATTCTTGATGATGACTTGTACAACTGTACAAAAGGAAAATATGATTAAAAATTGGATTTCAGGATTTAGATTCAAAATCATTAGGCAATAATACAATTTTACAGTTATTGAATATGCAAGTTTGCATAAAAATAAAAACTGAGTTCATGAAGTTAGTTCAGTATTTGGATATGATTACTGGGTCAACTTTTCCATATACCCCTCTGGCATTTTACCTCAACCAAATGTGAGAACCAAGAGCTAGTGTCTGATTTAGGGTGCGGATGGAAGCGGATTTAATATGTTGATAATAATTTACGGGATGAGGCTATACTACACGGCGATCGAAGGTGGCCCAATAATACCAGCACTAGTATATTCACATGGGGTTATTAAGATTGATCCTGCGACAATGATTCCTACAAGTCTGTAAGTGGTAGAGTAAAAATCATAATAAATAAAGATGACTGAGCCACTAACAGCAATTGTATTTGTAATACAGTAATGGGTCTATTTCTTTATAGATCAATGTGGGTAATATAAAACAACACAAAAAATAAGAGCAAAGTCAAGTACCAGTCAATTCAATACAGTAATAACTAATAACCCAACTTGAACTCCTTACTCCACTTGCAGACTTGGTCTTCGGTAAAATTGCTAAAAATCCAAATGAGGTTTATTCAGTTATATATAATCATACCACCCTGACATACTATATATCTTGTGTACTTACTGCACATGCCCACATCCCTAGTGTCACAGACTTGCTTGAAGTCGGACTGAAGAGCACCTTTCAGTGTCTTTGACTTGTCGAATATCGTATTCTGTGGTAGCCTACGTAACGGGGTGAGATACGGTGTCCTATTTTACGGTATTTACTTTTATGTGTAAAACCATTTCAAGTTTTGGCAACTATTTTTTAACTTTTGAAATTCCCGCATTTATTATTTAACATAATTTCACAACTACAAACCCACAAGAAACTAAGAGTGAGTTGGCGCGGTACCGTAATTCCAAACAGAAAACTGCTAATCGCGTGGCACGGTATGCACATGTAGCGTTGGCGCACTGAAAAGACTATGGCGCAAAAACTATATTCAGATATTTCCACTGAGGTGTATGGATATTTCCTTGTCAAGTGCGGAATCGAAGGAATGAACTGATTAGTTCAAGCCAGGCGTTGCGAACGAATCACTTTGCTGACGCGGCGTTAATTGCTGCTCTCCAATCAATCCTATATTTTGGTTCTCTGACATAAACAATAAATAAAGTAAACAGACAAAACAAAATGCAGAGATACCTGGGAGACGGGCATAACTTGAAAAAAGTTAAAAAGCGTACAATGTACGTGCCCGCCCACCATAAAAGAATAAAACAAACACAGATAAAACGCGATCTACAATCGGGCAGTACTTTGAAAGCAATTTAACATAAACAGCGAATTGAAGTGAATAATTGAATGCAATAAACTTCTACCTTTTAAATTAAAATGTGGGACGTGTATGTGTAACACAATAGTGCTTTTCCTACAAAAACATGGAACAAAAAAAAATCTCCCCTATGGGAATCCTATTCCCACGGACAAGCCTGCCTATGGGACTCACCTACCAAAGCGAGCATTCCAGCATCGCCGTGTTGCACATTGTCACCGAAGTCGGCTAGAAAAGTTCCCACAAACAGGTTAAACGTGGGTTTTCAATCCATGGCACAGCGGACGTGTCATCTTTAGCCCAATCTCACAAAACTTGAAGACAACTGCGTATCCAAAACAAAAAGCAAGAACGCACAATGTGAACAGCCAATTATGTGTCACGATTCACCAATGTAATTTTTAACCTGGTGGAATAACTTTTTCCATTTGCGCCTCACTTTAAAAACTTTGCCGAACACTGCTCTTAGCCAAAGCCCGAAAATATGAAATTCAGTCCCGAAATCCCTACTCTATCTTGTAATCAAGCAAAAATTACTTGGGAACTCCTGATCTAAGTCTATTACGGCGCGCACTGCAATAATAGATCTTTCGAGATAACGCCTTGTAAATTGTCATTAACGGCCTATTTTAGACCATCAAATTCTAATCGATGAAAGCCCAACAATATCCAACTCAGTGTGACTTTTTATCTTCTGCAATGATGATGTATGTATACTTTGCAAACGAACTGAATTCTAGATCGTCTTTAAACCAGCGGGAGCACAAGCAAACTGCTCATACATCATTTTGAACGACCCGAATTGTCTTCTATGTTTATTTCTTGAAGAAAAAGTCGCGTAAGCAATGATTTGACGATTTTAAGCTTTTCATTTTCTTTAGTCATTTTTCTCATCATCAAAGGAACCACAACCCACAAAAGTTTGGTGTTTGTACGAACATATCATGGTAAAATCAATAGTTAGGTAATGCTAAATTCGATGAAAAACGTTTCATCGTGTAGATACCAGCTGTGTGTAAAATATCAAAAATTTATTGCTTGTTGCCGAAGATCGTGCTGACACCGAGGTAAAAATTGTCCAGACATGAATAGCCGATAAGACAGCTTTACCACATTGATTATAAAAGTGAAAGCTGTGCCTCCCTACCGTTTTTCGAAACACCTATCAAGTCCAAATTTCGACCTGTGTGGCACATTCTGTTACGTTTAATACATAAGTGAAACATTCATGCTTAAGATTAATCTATTTAAAAATTGTAGTCGAATACAATATTAAACTTTAGGGACCCCAACTTTCCGGATTTGAACTTATTTTTCTCTATCCAATCGCACGATTAACTTTACTGGATTTAAAAAGGCAATTGTTTTAAACATTTTCTAGCCTGAATTTTATTTTTCCAAGTTTGTACACTATGCTGTTCACATTACTTACACATTGGAAAGGCGGTAATTATCTCGTACCACTTTATTCCTGACATATGTTCAATCATCGTAGGCGCCGCTAATTATCCTCCTTCAAACGGTTTCGATATATAATCTTGTTCTCCTTTAATTTGACCGCACGCGCACCTCATCTTTAACCTCCTCTTTGTGCTTATTCTAGGATTTTTCGAACCCGCTAAAGGTTTACTTTATTATATAGTTGTGACCCCAGCAGGCTGCGTGGGTTAAAAGACTTAGGGACGAAGCCATGAATCATGAAAGTTTGATAACCTCTAAATTAGGGAATACTCCCTTCTCCTTCACCAATTTTATGTCTAATTTCCAAATCGCTATTCTTAACCAGGTTATCTTAGGCTCCTCACTGGTGGATTTCACATTTTTAACCTGATTGATTCAAAACCCTTCAAAAATCAAGCTGATAAGCATCCTATGTTATTGGAACTTTGATAAATAAAAAATTCACAACCATTCAAGATATCATTTTCTCTACTATCAAAGTTTAACTGTGATGGAATTATTGCAATAAGGGCATTCGCCAAACAGTGTTTGAAAACTTTGCTTTGCTCCAGGAACACTTTGTATCCACTCAACGAGACAAACTTTGTGAAAGAGCTGTCCACATCTTGGTTCATTACACGCCTAAAATAAAAAAAAACATCAATAGGATAAGATTTTATATATTTATCCCAGGGGAGAGGAGAGGAAAGTCGATAAGAAGGCTCAATCATATGTTGAACCACAGCTTCTCATCTGGTTACCGGTCCATATAGGGTATGGGATCAGTTGGCCAGGTGTTTACCTCAGATGCATGGTCGTAAGCTGACCAGCAGTTACATGAACCACTGTCGTAATACAGCAATCCACTCGTACATATCATTACCAACAGTATTCGAACCTGCGGTGCGGTGGCATCGGCGAGCATATTATTATCGTGGTGCCCCACTCAACCAAGCCCAAGTCGGCAAGTCTGCCTATTTTTTGATCAGCAGTCAAGGTAAAATCCATTGACAATATATTAATTTTTAGACCTAATGGTGACAGTATGACTTTTTTAAATACTTTTCAACCAATTGGACTAAACATTTACAGTTCACATGGCATATTTTAAATGAAAAACTCACCTGATCAGGTAAAATCCATTGACAATATATTGATTTTTAGATATAATGGTGACAGTATGACTTTTTTAAATACTTTTCAACCAATTGGACTAAACATTTACAGTTCACATGGCATATTTTAAATGAAAAACTCACCTGATCAGGTAAAATCCATTGACAATATATTGATTTTTAGATATAATGGTGACAGTATGACTTTTTTAAATACTTTTCAACCAATTGGACTAAACATTTACAGTTCACGTGGAATATTTTAAATGAAAAACTCACCTGATCAGGAATATTGTTCACCAGTTTATACTCGTAACAAATTCCACACTGAAGAGTGACATCAAATGCTTGATTTTTGCTCTTTCGTGGGAAATCAATTTGAAGAATATTTTTCAAATTCTATGAAATGACATGTTATGTAGATAATTCTAAACCAATTATTAAAACTTTAACAAGTATATTAATAAGATGTCATAATTTCTTAATTTATTATTAACTTGTTATTTTATGATATACAAGTTACAGATGTCATTATCTATTTAGCAATATGTCTACTACAGCCTGTACTGCATAGTGCACATGAGATAATAAAAATGCATAAGCACTGACTTGGAGTATTGACAATGTTCCATTCCAATCTTGTATATTTTTCATAAATTTTTGTCTAATTGGCATAAAAGAAGCTTCTGCTCCCATGAATCGGCATTCTGGAATATTTTCTGGATGAACTGGATCAATGGTGATTAATATGGAACTGCTAGCACCTACGAGTAAATAAAGTATTTATGATCAATCTCAAAAAACATTTTTTGTTCAAAACATCCACAACAAAAGAAAATTAATAAATCAAATGAAAAGCCAAAAAAGGCATTAACAACAACTGGCATATTCCTTTTAAAATTTCGATTTTCAGTCAACTATTAAAATGAGGTCTCACTGCAATGGAAGACACAATAATTTTTTGGAATTGACCCATTGTTATCAAGTCTTTAACGGAAATAGGTGACATCTGATTGGGAAGGAAAAAAATTCACCTGTTGTAAATCGTATCTGTCATTAATAAGAAGAATGGTCAGAAACTTCATTCTTTTTATACACATTCACAACTTACCAAAATATATTCTATAATCTTTCACTCTATAGCTTGGTTTGTCTGGCTCAAGAATCCAACATTTTTGTTGTAATTCCTCAACTTCGTCCCAGAATCGTTGATAAATCAGCAATACTTCAATAAATTGTTGATAAATTGACTTTAAACTGGAGAATATTCCACCCCATTGAGGTCGGAAAGGGTATGGTAGGTCAGATGTTACTTCAGGACATTGTTTTGGAAAATCAGAAGGATGTAATACCAGTTCATGCTCTCTGCCAGCTACATCTCTAGCTGAGAGTGTGATACGAGTAAAATCATTATTTACATCTTTTATAGCTGACCAACCAACATCCTGAAAGAAATAGTGTTACAAAATTTATATTTATAATAGTATTGAAATTTTCCACAAACCAATGTTTTCTAAGTATTGTTGTTAAACTGAACATTTGGCAAGCTTTAGGATGTAATTTCTAATGAACACCTATTAAATTATTTATGAGCAAATAATTTACCATTCTTGCTTCAAGGCTAAGCAGGGTAGCATAACAGTGCAGGAAAACTGCTAATGTTGGATGCATTACAACACATTTGAAGATGGATAAAAATGAAATTGCGCTTATTACAAAATCACTGTTTTTTTAGCAGAACTTTCTTTGACACAAATACCAAACTATTGGCCAAATGCCAATTTGTAACAACCTTAAACTGAGAAAGAGAATAGAATTTCAATGGTATTCTTAAAAGATGTTTTTCAAAAAGTCAGATAAACACACCTACTGTAAATATGGTATATACCTCAATATGCTTGACAAGTGTGGTAGTGTATTCAACTGACAGAACTTCTTTTAATGGTTCTGTCACTCTACAGAGAAGATTTTGTAACAGCTTTGCAAATTCCTAAAAATAAAGATTGCAATTTTAGCTGGTCCATGTCATCATGTTGGTTGAACAGATATGAAATTTTGTTAATTAGTTTGAACTATTGGTGCATACCTGAGGGGTTTTAGATTTCTTCAAACTATTCTTGATATCATCAGAATAATCTTTCAGTCTTTGTTGCAACTTGTATTCACATTTGACCCTAAATTATGAAGACAAATAATATAGAAACAACTCATATTGGGAAGCGCTTCGTAGAATTTGAAATTGACCCAAGTCACAAACCAAAAGAATATCAAAGAGTATCTAATCATGCTTGCCACTGTCTCTATGCTTCCCATGCTCTCCCCTTTAAATAATGAAGTCTGTAATAACAGTGACCAATGATATTCGACAAGTTTGATTGCAACAAACAGGAATTGTGGTGGCTAAAACTGAATAATCTACATTATATTCTTTGAATTTATTCTGAATCGGCTCATGTACTACAAAAAGCACATAGCAATCAATGTACATTCATCGAGTTTGAACTTCGAAATTAAGAATAGGTAAAATAAACACTGATTTTATTGGTTTATTTTTCGGTTTATGGAAATCAAATGAAGGCCCTTTTGGTCATACTACAGCACTAGGAGTCTTCAATTGCTGATTTTTCTTGTGAAACTATAAAAAATTATTTCAAAGTCAAAAATTTAAAACAACTACATAATCAAATTTGTTTTGTACATCTTGGCCTTTAGTGGTATCATTGTGATACATAAATAAGGTTATAAAATCAATCAATAGTAAGCTGTACTCGTTATAATATACCACTCATATCTGCTACTTTTTATGCTATTCAGTACTGCATTGAAATAAAATTATTACCTCGCGTTCTGAAATGGCTTTGTAAACATAAGTTCAATGTAATATTCAACACCGTTAGCTTCAATAAATCCATGATAATGTGTTTCATTACAGTTGGATGGGAACAGCAATATATTAGTAAACTTGTTTTTCTTTGACTCAGAAAAATTCATCTTACACAAATCACTGTAGAAATTTATTTACAATCACAATATTAAACAAAAAAGAAATTCAGTTACACACTTGTGATCAAGTACGAAATAAAAAATACACCGTAAGAAAGTAATGGTGGAAACTTTTTGGGTAAACAAAATAACAAACAATACAATGATTAACGAAATAGAAAATATTTTGAAACTTGATTGAAATTTTATTGATGATGAAAGCATACTCAATCAGAAAATTTGATTATGTAAGATATTCAATTTTGCAGCAGCATAAATTGTCTAATCAATGAAAATAGATAAAGAAAATTACCATCACAAAATAAGTGTGTTAGCAAGCCAAATCAAAACCAGATTTAAGTTCTCTCATACCATTACTAAAATGTAATGGATGAAATGAATTCGATTATGATACTGGGATATTAAATCCTCAGTAATTTAATACATGATCATGATAAATAAGGATGCATCATTTTTTCATACTATGAATTTTAGGCTAGAGGGACGGCTAGGAACCAGCAAAAGAACAGCATCCAAAATTTGCATATCAATAACAAAAACGAGATTTAGGTTCATGCATCAATTATAAATTTTACACAATACCCTATTTGCCATAACTATTTGACTAATATTACACATACATTTAACCAAGAAAGATATCACCGTTTATTAACACATAAGAATTGGATTTCACACAAAGTGGTGAAATAATGGTGTTCCAATTATAGAATTATGCAAAATGTGGTCAAAATCATTTTTAAACACGAATTTAGGCACTAAGGTTGATTTTAAAACGAATAAAAGTCAATGCCAGCAATGACTCACCAAAATAGTATAAAACAGAGATAACACGGAAAAAAACGAAATTTACAATTTTTTATAGAACAAAACATTTTCAAAGAAATAAAGAATATTGTACATAAAGGCTTGTGTTCAATGTGTGAGATATACTTAGTTTCAAAGGTTTTCTTTACAAAATTTTGCTAGTATTTGTGCAATCTCATCATTACGTTCTTCTTGTCGGCACCTCTCCCTTTGCTCCTCAGTGGCCATGGCAGAAAGATTAAGGGCATCATTGATATGAGAGAGTATAGCATAATTTTCATTCCTTACTTTAAGAAAACGAAAGCTACTGCTTTCATTTTCAGTATCTGTTGACACACGTGGCCTTTTCTTTGGCAATGACACAATTGAAGATGCAGTAGATCTTTTATGACACTCTTCTTCTCTTTTATGACGTTCTTCTTCCCTTTTCCGATCTCTGCCTGGACACGAACAAATTTTTACTTTCACACAAGATCTCCCCAATGTGTTTCCATCCCTGTCTTCTAACGTAAAAATGGCCATCACAGGACGTCTGTTCATTCCTCCAACACAACTCAAAAGACACGTGAACTTGTAGAGTATAACATAATATTGCTCGCCAACAGCAAGTTCCCGAAATGGCACAGAAACACTGTATCTTCCATTCTTAAGATTGTAGTAAGAGTTATGAGATGAATAACCTAGTATGGCAGTTTGTAGTACATGCTCTGCATGATGATTCTTATCCATTCCGATATGATTGGCACAACGACAAACAGGAATACATGTTTGTTCTTCATTTGTAAATACAAGCATTGCATGTATACATGAACCTTCTGGTGGAGGATGCGTGCATCGGAATTTTACTGGACAGGGCACATTCATTTTAACAAACAATTTATCAAGCAGATGTGAATGTGTGTAGTTAGCACCTTTGGCAAAATGTTCGGTGATGTCAAAATGTATCTGGAATTCATGTTTACCAAGGGAATTTGCCATAGGCGGATTGAAAACAAGTCGCTGAGGCTCAATTTCATACATATCTGGGCAGTGCGGTGCAATAGATGGAGGCACGATAGTTCCAGCAGTTATATCACTACTGGTGGTCATCACTGACGACCCATAAGATGGTGGCTGAGTGTAGCCACTATCGGGAGATGTTGGTTGACTATCCACGTTTTCCTCCCTAATGGGAAAATTCTCAAGCAGACTCATATCTAGAACACTGCTATCCAAAGTTTGCAAACCATTGGCATCACAAATTTCTTGCACCACCTGTTGAAGATTGCCCAGAAACGATCCCTGTGAATCCTGTGACTGTGTTTCATCGCCTTCTGTCATTTTTATAATTAGTGAATTATGGAGTTGACTTTATATGACGTTGTTATACTTTATTGAATGCTGAGAGGAACGCAGTTGAACCAACATTCAAGTTAACTTGAACTAAATTAACTGTTATTCCACAATGTTATTATAAACAAAGTTTTGCCAAACTGACGCAGCCACACGCCGTCGTTGGTCAGTCGGGAACTGACCGTAACCTAAATTTTGTCAGTCGGAATGCCAAGAATCAAGAAAAAGGCAATTCTATCATAATAATAACAACGCTCCTTCGGGATTCCCCTGGTATCGAGACACCACGTGTTTTTTCGCGCCATATGGTGACGTCAAACAACGAGGTTTCATGAGAGAGTGTAACAAAAAAATATTCGGTCAAACCATGGACAAAATGAACGTTCAGGAGCCTAGATTATTCAACACATTCGGCGATCAAAATATATAAAAACACGTACTTATTCAACAATGAGAATATTGGGTCCTCCTGAAGTATGCGGGCCAAGATGTCGCACAACCTGAACCTCAACCTGATACACAACCCGAGTTCAGGTTGTGCGCCATCTTGGCGCGCATACTTCAGGAGTTCCGAATATTGGCCTGGTTTGTCGCCACGAAACACTTCCACATTCATGTTCACACATTCAATAAAAAGTGCTTTACCTTTTATGGGGTGTACACCCCCGCCCCCTCACCCCCAACTTCGGATTCTGTAAATGGTGTTCGCTATCGTAGGCTTCCCACACCATCCCAAGCGATGTATCGGAAAAGATAAGGTCGCCTGTTGTTTCTATCTGGATAGGTCACGATTCGCCGCTTGATTTTCGCATTCCCATGTCAAAGGAAGTTAGGAAATTTACAAGCACTATTTATTATTATTACTATTAATTAATAATAACAAAAATTACGCATAATCCGTGTTAAACAGCGTGGCAGGTTCCGTTTGATTTCGGTATTTCTTCGTGTGTTTGTTCCTATTTTAAACTTTACTGATGTGGCGTAATGCCTCGTTTCACCCCAATCGGGGCCTGAGCGTGCCAAGTAAGTACCGGTATGTGTTCGTAAAACAAACTTTTCTCCATCAGTGCAGTATAGGGAAGTCGTCGGAATGGTTTTGATTGAAATTATCAGGCGGCAGGACACAGCGGCCCGACTTGTGTAGGAATTCTTGCGTGAACACTGACATCTATCGATCAGCTTATCATATGAAGGTAGCTCTAAATATCATACATCTACTAACTTTATTAGCATAATATTGTGCAAATAGGCGTTTAGAGTAGAATGACCATACTCCCAAACCCCCAAATGGAGGACACATCTTTTGGTAGAACCACCTGTGCTTGAGATATACATTATATATATATATATATATACTAAATTCTATAAGATTAAATATAGAAGTGCAATGGACTAAGTGAAGACAATAATATAATTCCTTTTTGTCTTGTCAACATGCAACTGAGATCTAAGCTTGCCCTCATTTTCCACAGAAACGTACGTACCGAAGCTGCAAGAAATGCACTCCGCTCGCTATCAGTTCGACCTTTTCTAATACTTTTGCTTCAGTTCCTGGGTAAAAGGGGTTCTTCTTTTTTTTTCGAAATATTTGACTGGGTATACGGACGTAATTTTCCGCCAAAATCGAAACTTTACTAAATTGCAAAATACGAGATAAAATGACGTAAAACGTAATTGCAGAACAATACGATGTTACGTCACAAACGAGTATGTAGAACCCCATCGTATTGAATCTAGGAGCGCAACCAGAACTTTACAAAGGGGAAGCTAATTTTGTACAAGGTTGTAGGAAATGATCATTGTGGTGTAACCTTATAGCAACTAACCCCCAAATGTACCCCATTTCATGTTAAAAATATGAAAACAAAGTTAATTTTTCCCAAAATTCGAACAAAGACTTTCGTAGGAATCAAATTACACCAGTTTAAGAAACATAACATGTTCCACCCAGTCATTATCAAATTAAAATTTATATTCTCAAGACCTTTGGCACTGATTGAAATAATTATCTCTAAGTTCCCATCCGTACGATGTACCTAATTACCCTTATTGAGATAATAGGAGTTTCTGTTAAAACGTGAATCTCGAGCTCACGTTTACAGCATTTAATTGGATTTATGATCAACGTATAAATACGACTCCAATATCTTTCGATAAAAAAAAGACGATGTAAACCATTCTAAGCTAGTCTGGATAAATGTTATAAGATTTATATTCTGTGTGTTGTGGAAATTTACGAATAAAAACATATAGAGATTTTTAACGCATCTTCATTCACGTGGGCGTTGAAGCTGAAGGGTGAACGAGTAGCTTGCAAGTCAGAGACAATCTACAAGTTAGCAATATACGGTAACATTACATTCATTTACCAATAATATATGCTATAACCTTAGATACCAATACCCTGTGTATGGGAATATTCATTGTAGTGTCACGATGGTACCGGGAGCAATCGTTTTTTGATGTATAAAAATTTCATAGTAGAGATCCGGAAGATGATATGATACCTCAAAAATGTTGGTAGCTCAAGTCATTCGTTTCCCAAACATCAAACTGCATTCAAATGCAGATAAAAGCGTTTGTTCACGGATTTTTGCCGAAATAGACTTATCTTACCTTATGACTTAATCTTAATTTTGAGGTCGTCCAAAACGGATGGTAATTTAGCAAAGCTCTACAGTGAAATATTCTTTGCCACAAATGTATCGCTTAGTGAAATTAAACACGTCTTAATTTTTATTAATTTATATACACTTACTTCCTACATTCGACTTGTTCGAAAAACTGAGCTACAATTATTAGTAAATTAAGAGTAAAGGTGTTGCGCACGTAAAAATAAATTTTAAATATTCAATCCCGTGAAAAAAGGGGACATTTTGATTTTTTAAAGCGTCCTCGGAGGACGTAAAATTTTTAACGAAAAAGAAGGACGTATGGTCATCCTAGTTTAGAGTCTGCATCGATAACCAGTTTGGTCATTTCGAAAACTTCAGTTCTGCTATTTAATCTCAATATCAAGGATGTCCTTTTTTGGAAAGTTTCAAAATATCGCTTTCCCGGAAGGGATCGCTGCAAATGATTGCAAGCTTATTTACCTTTTCTGTTGGACTAAGTATTTAACCAGAGTCCCTACATAAACTATTGAGACCTCCAGAAGTATGTGCACCAAGATGGCGCACAACCCGAACATAGTGATTGTACCAGGTTAGGGTTCAGGTTGTGCGCCATACTTCGGGAGCGCCAAATATTGTTCATATTTCAAATCCTGTTCTAATTCTCAATTTACTTAAACAGATATCTATCTTGTAAACGGCCGATTCTAATTCCCAAAACAAGAATTAAGCTTAGACAATAGAATTTATTAGAGTAAAAATTGATGTAGTTCACGATTCAAGCCAAGGATTAAAATTCTTCGATAGCACATGCCTATGGTAACAGAAAAGATACAAAATTTGTTAAACCCTTTTGAAACACGAAAATTTTCACGAACTATTTCTAGCAGTAAGCTATGAAGCATTGCCTGAAATCGTCCGTACACATTTGCACTGCTGTTAGACAATGATTAACCCATTTCTAACAAATATGATTTTGTTCGCACATTACTAAAGTCAAAAACACGCAATTATTAGGGCAAATTAATTGTTGTAATTTAAAAGTATATATCTGAATCCCATAAAAATAACCTTGCTATTGAAATTATTTGCTATAAGTTACAATATAACATAGATTTGATCATCCATAACATGTACGTATTCATTTTTTTAAAATCGGTTTCAACAATAATTGAAAAATTTGAATATAGTTTATATTCAGCAAAAATGTTGTTATTAAGCATAGCACTAGCATGGAAGATAAAGGTAAAAAAAATTAATGTCTACAATTGGTCATTTTTGTATACGAAGTCTCCATTCAATAAACACATTAATTTGTCGAGATTAGCTATTCAAATTTACTTTTCTTACTTGTATTACCTACCTATTTCTACATGTAGATTGAAGGCATATGCAATATCCCTGTAGAAACATTTTCTGATGGGGATACTCCATACCCTATACCAGTGATACCCTTGGATACAAATGCAATAAATAGTTCAATAACAAGAAATGATAAAATAAAGAAGTGCATCAAGTACAATAGGTTCTACCAATAACAGGCTTATAACAAGTTTTATCAAAATCCTACAGAACCAGTCATCCTTAAAAATATATGGTGTTTGAATAAATCTAGATGATACTCCCTCCATAAGCCTCACTTGGTAAACAAACGTGTGTACCTGATGACTAAGACAAATTATTAAGAATGAATCAGATTATTAATAAAAGATTTGAATGTTTGCCTTTAAGGAAGAAGTAAATGAATGTTTTGTACGGTATTTTACAGATCATTATGCGCACTTGCAAACCTTTTTTTTTCGAAAATCGATTCTGCGCCTTATAAGCCAATACGCCTGATGTATGGATTTGCCTATTTATTGCCTACACCAATGGTTCTCAACTATTCTTCCTGCGGCCCTCAATATCTTTAAAAAATGAATAATTTTCAGTGAAAATTAATCAATGACTTGAAATTGGAAGACTGAAGTGCGGTAGTTGAATTGATGTCATTGTAGCTGTTCCCGATTTGAGTGCAAATTTTCATTATGATGTCATAGTGTTTTTCCACACTAGGTTTAGCCTACGTTTCAGGTATTTTTGAACAAATTATTCATCTGTTTGTTTGTCAAGACAAAATGTCAGCCAAATGGTCAAAAAATCTCGCACTTTTTATAAAAATAATCAGGCGTTTCAATTTGATTGAAAAGAGAAGTATTTTCAAATTGAAATATATAGAATTATGAAAATATGAAGCTAGGTTTTGTTTTATATATATATTGCTAGAGAATGCATCCATCACGATTGCACCTCGCTTTTTCAGAGTTCAAAATTAAAAGCCGATGTTACGTTTAGCATTAAATTGGTTTTTACCTTGAGTTTTGTTGATGTTGTTATTTTAAAATACAGACTTGAGTTTTGTTTTGTTGCTAGCTATTTTAATTTGTTTTTATGCGGCTCCTTACAACTTTACGGTTTGAAATTTGGCTCTGACAGTAAAAAAGATTGAGAACCACTGGCCTACACTCAAAAGCTGTATGGTTGTACAGTATTGCTTTAAAAACCGTCACACCTTATAGTTCGATTCACCTTATGTATAAATAAAAACCCAATCCAAGCAATTTATGGTCGATATCGGTATGGCCTGTAAAATACAGTAATATGAAAACCACCAACATTATGGTAATATCGGTTTTGTCAGCTAAAATATTAATTAGTAAGCATGAAACCATAAGTATTGAGCATAAAACAAAAATTGAATGATTTAAAAATTACATTCATGTCAACTACCAGAAGTAAAATCTTCAATTAAAAAATCCCATTCTATGTCTTTAAAAAATGGGTGATCCATGAGATCATCAAGTCCCTTTATACCATAACCAAGTCTTTGAGTTGGATAATATTCAAGCAATCCATTCAGTAATGATTTTGCTTCTGGTGATAAATGATCAGGTAATGACAGTACTGTATGACTGTTGATTCCAGACGGATGAGCAATATACAAAGGCTGAAAAATAAAAAGACTTATAGTTTTGAGTACATCACAATAATATTGTTCATTTGACTTCTAAGATGATGCATTGAGTTCAGGGCCGGAGTCTAGATTCAGATCCTGAAGCCAGATTTACATTTTCAAACTATATGGAGTGAAGACTGAAAATTCTCCAGCGTTGGAATTTCAGACTTTTTATAGCGTTAACCGAAGTCAAAATTTCAGACAGAAACTCAATTAGGATTGACATCATTTGACAATCTCAACAAACAATTAAAGGAAGCTTGCAAATCGCAAATTTTCATATCCAAGTTAACGGTTAAAGCCTTAGACCTAGTAACACCTCTCGGGTTCAAATCCCATGTCCTCCACTCCAACCATTATGAATCAAATTGAAGGAGTTCTTCACAATCATAAGGTATCACTGACTGCTTATATAAGGTCTTGTTCGGAATGAAAAGAGTGGAAAGGTGAAAAGCACAACCAAATAGGAAATAACATACAAGAACAGATGAAAAATATAATCTTTCAGAATTATAATAACTGTTAAAATACTCACAGTTCCAGTTAAAAGTTCATATATAATTGCACCAACACTCCACCAATCACAGGCTTCTGTTTTTCTCTCTCCCACTCTACTCATTTCAGGAGCTACATACATTTGTTTGACAGCGAGTTTATCACATGGTTTTCGTTCTACTTGTCTCCATTTTCCAAAATACGAGAGTCTGATGCGACCTGAAATATTCAACTTTGAGTAAAAAAAAAACGATTTTTGAGGTGGATTTTGAACACCAGGTAAAATAGTTTTAAAGCATTTGTTAAGCATTGTTAAAGTGAACAGATTGTCAACACACTAAGACTTGGAATTTCTTAGATTATCTCTAAAGTTAAGACCCTCGTAAAAATTTAAATTTCTGATACAAAGAATTAATACATTCATTGATGAAACTATTTTGATCTCTGATTATCATGTTTATCAACATTTACCATGATTTGAAACAGTGGACAATTGTCAACATGAGGTAAAGAGAGCGCAATAAAAATAAGGATAAGAAAACTTTTTTTCCGAGAAATAGAAAATATATTTGTTGGTTCCATTAAATTAGAGTCTCACTTCTCAGACAAAACAAGATATAATTTATAAAAAAAAAATGAATTTCATTTTTTCAGAATATTCTGCTCAAAAACAATTTGCTACACGCTTTGAACTCGAAAACAAAGTGTTGACTACAAATAAATATTAAATTTAATATTTACCATCAGCAGTGAGCAATATATTGTTGGGATTTAAATCTCGACATAAAATAGCAATAGAATGCAATGTACCAACAGCAATTATTATTTCCGCACTCCACCTGCAGACTGTTGATTCTGGGATCCTAAAGAAAATAACAAATATCTCAAAACTTTCGAGAGATCAAAACAATCTCAATCTGGATCAAGACGATGGCTGAAAAACTCGCATTTGGGCTGATGTTACATGGTGGCGGTTATAATCAAAATACTCCAATGGCTATGTAGCAGGGGCGATTGTGATTTTCAAAGAAACTTCGCCAGTCCTGCTCAAATCAAGTAAGGATCAAAAACCATAGCTAAATCATTTGGATATTTAGGAGATTTTTCAGTTAAATGGGTGCTATTACTGCAGATTGTTCACGGTTCATCCAAATCCAGGCCATTCAAATAACCAAAGTGTTACCATACGAAAACTTTGATTTCTAACCCTAGGCTAATAGCAAATTTAACTCTTTTTGTAGCTTTCAGCTCCAGCTCTGTAATAACAGAATGTCAGTCTGTTTCAGTTGATGATTATAATGGCAGAGGAGTGAAATTTTGGCTTACGTTTCGGATAAATTCAATTTCCGCTTAAGCTCTCAAGTAATTCACGGGTTTGACTCTAGCACAAACATTGAAATGTCAGAAGCTCAGAAATTAGTACAGTAAAGACATGAGTGAAAATCACCTGTATGACATGCTTTGTTTCTTTGCTATATCCATCTCTACAAATATTGAATGTATTTTATTGATATCATCATCATCATCAATTATATCACGTTCATCCTCTTCCAAAACAACACCTTGTTTATTATCTTCCTTATTTTCTACTAATTTACTTTCATTCGCTGACGCTGTGGATCTCGTTCGAGAATGCGTCCGGAACAAAGTTTTAGCATCTATCGAAGATACACCATTTTCATCTACAACTCTAGTTAAAACAGGGCCTTGGTTTCGCGAATCTTTTTCTTCTTCGCTTTTTCTTCTGTCTTCTTCGAAACTACTGTTCATAGAAAGACATGGTGAATTTTTTGAAATATCCAACACTCTGGATAATGTTAAGCTCGAACGTCTAGCTTCAGTATCCTGGTCGTCACTGAGATTTGAGGGAAGCGTTTTGTCACTGAAAAAAAAATAAAGCAATTCTTAATTGATGTGAAATGATACCTGTTTAAAAACTAACAAATCAACAAATAATCTATTCAAGTCATTGACACTTTCATACAGGAAAACAGCTATGAGGTGGCAGAGAATTCCACATCCATTACCCTAAGTCACTACTTCATAGCTGTTACCCTGATTGTATTGATATAAACTGTTTTAGGTCTCACATCAAACGGTATATCCTATCACACAATTCGTCGCTCCAGAAGTATGTTTACAAATATGGAGGGAACTAATTTTATTTGCCTACATCAAGTTGTGTAAAAGGACTGAAACCTATGGGTATGGAATATATTCACTTGGCTCGCAATAGAAGTAAAATAGAGGAAATTGGAATAAAATTATGGCCCAACCCTAACCTGGTACACAGTACACACACTATGAGAGTACCTACAATTCTATGATATAATTATTATGTGCATTCGCTGTAGTATTACTATATTCTTTAGACCTGTATTATTACTATAAAGCTTATTTACGCACAAATTATAAACTACTTAAACTCTACGAAAGCAGAAGTGCGACTCGCGAATAACACTAGCTAGTAATCATTAACGATTGAATAAATGAAATGTTTTAGGCATAGTAATGGAAGAATAATAGGTTTCAAAATAGGCGAGGGGAGTGAATTTAATGAAAAAAGTTGGGAACGAATCACTGCATCATAGTCTCAGTAGCATTTGGGCGGGTTGCCTGTAGCTTTTCTCGTAGATCAAACTCCTTGATATATGAGTGACTGTGCATTATCTTACTTTGAGGAAATTTTTCTAAAAAAATTTTTTATAACATCCGATGAATACTAGATAAAAAATGTTACACAAATACATTTGCATTAGCAGTGCAATTACTGGAATTCATAACACTGACTGACATTATTGCTAATATCTGGTTTGTGATGAATATTAAAAAACTATAAAAACAAGGGATTAAACAAGTTAGACTATATATCGACAGAGATGTAGCCAGGAGGGTAACTTTTGAAATGTAATAAAGGCATTTGAAAAACCAAGTTTTCTGGCCTCCGGCCGAACATGCTAGCTGTTTTTAACTTGGCAAATAGAAATTTCAGAACCCCCCCCTCCCTCTAAAAAAAATTACTGGCTAAGCCCCCACAAGTCAATACACAGAACTAGGAAATATTACTGTGGTATTACAAACCCAAGCAAAGACACAGCTGACAAATCTTGTTCACTCAATAACTCATGAAGAAAATTATTTTTGTCATCCAATTCTTCTGCAGAATCAGATCCGTCGTTAGAACGTGAATCATAGATATCATCTTCCAGAACATCAGGTGCTTCAATACCGTCATATTCATCCTGATCTATTGTGAATAGTTTTATATCTCCTTGAGAAGAAATCTTCTTAAAATTCGTTCCTCTGTGGCAAAATAGGAGAATTGACAATTAACCATATAATTTTTTACTACCAACATACTTTAATATGATCTGGTAGTTAGAGAGTCGAACCTAACTATATTATGATTGGTTGTTGTAAATCTAGAGTTCAAACCCACCCATTCTCTTGCTCAGGGTGTGACAAAATTGGGTAGATGATACAAATTAACAATTAACTATATGAATCTGACAAGCAAATAGGGGGGAAGTCACATAACTTATAATTATATTAGTGAGATACGATGGCTTAGCCCTAGTGAATAGAGAGTTGGGCTATGTCAGCATCACATTATATAGAAATTCAAATCCCATGGTCAGGCGATGCCAAGCGACAATTGTATAAACTTGACAGAATTTAGTGAAATTCACATAAGTTAGCACTATACTTCATTGTGGTGTGATAGTCTATGAGTCAGAGAGTTACCGTTAGGTTAAAAATATCAGGTTTAAATCCACGGCCACCATTTCACATAAGGTGTAATAAATAGGGTAGATAATATCGTACTGGAAAGATACCAGTCTTTCCAATAATACCAGCTCTTGACGTAATCAGTGGAACATTGTTTATGGTGGAGACGTGCAAAAGCAATACTACGGTATATATTGAAAAAAAAAAAGATGGAGATATTCTGAACACTTCCGCTAACTATATTATATTAAAGTCTGCAATATTTTACAACAATTTCGGAACATTCCTAAATATAATATTTAAGATTTCTGACACTCTTCAAATGCAGGATATTCCAAATAATGGCCTGCCCAGTAGTAAGAGTATTGAACCAACTATGTTTGTTGGTTCGAATATTGCAGATTCCATGCCCACCATTTTACTCATGATATAGTATTTTGTGGCTGCGTGTCTGTGAGGAATGCCTGATAAAAATATTTACCTATCGAATCGTAATTCTGTTTCTCCAAAATTTTCTTGCGACGAGTTTTCAAACACTGCTGGTGGTTCATTTTCATCGTTAGGGGGTGCAGTTGAGCCCTCGTCCCAACTTAAATACGACCACGTTCTTTGAACAGGTATTGGCTCAGATGAACTAGTGCTCTGAGTCGAGAGGGGTAGTCTGTCTGCAACTAAAGGAGACATACTTTAAAGAAAGCTCGTCTATAAAATAGTTCGAGCAATAGGAAAAAATTCGTGAAGTGAACAATGAAACACCGACTCTAAATGTAAGAAACTCAATGGCTGTAACACATATATTGACCTGTCTATGCAAGTATCAAGGATTCTTAGATTTTAGATTGACTGTTTAATACTCGAATGTACATGGCCAACACCTCACCTAAACTTTATTACGAAAGAGGTTATGCTTAACTAAATTGGTTCTGAACCTTCTTAGCCTTAGCCTTTTAGCTTCTATGTCAATGCTGATGAAGTATTAAATATTCAAAAAAAAGGAGACTACAATAGAAGGTAGTATTCTACATTTACACCAGGGAGAATAAAGTATAAGAATATATCTGAGAAATCTATTTATTTAGACCAGTTGGTTAGTAACCTGTTAAGCCTTCCAGATGCATGCATATAGTAGAGGAAATAGAATAATTGTTTTGTACATCACTGCAACCCAGTAATACAGGGTGTTCATAAAGTCCCGTTATAACTTCAGTTTTGTTACGAAGTCAGTTCTCAATATATCTTAACCTGGTTTGTCTTATTTTAATCAGTGATTATTTAGGTTGTTTTTCTGGTACTTCTGTAGTATGCGAACCAAGATGGCGAACCGCATAACGTAGTATGTGTACCAGGTAAAAGTTAGGCCATAATTTTAATCCGATTCTCTTTATTTTAGCTCTATTACGAATTCGGTAACTAGGCAAGTGCCTCCCATAGTATTTGTACCTGAAATTATGGCCTAACCCTAACCTGGTACACATACTACGTTCCGGTGTCCGCTATCTTGGTTCACATATTACGGGAGTACCGTTTTCCTGATTTAATACACCTGTGGTGGACATCAAACCATATATGGTATCAATGAATTCCCTTTGCAATTTAAAAATTTTTGAAACTGCATCACCAACCAGTTTCTCAATTTACCCCAAGGAATGAAAAAAATAAACAGAAAAAAACTTGACTTACATGAATCAGCATCAGGGGATTCAATAGCATCTGATATACTGCTTGGATGAGATTCATTAGTAATTTCATTTTCCTGTTTTCTTTTTTCCTCCATATTCTGTTGAGAAACCGTTATTTTACTGGGATCCTCGGTTTGATATTCCATAAATAAATCTAGGAACGATGATGAGCATTGTTCTTCCTCGCTTTCACCTTTGTCTGAAACCTGATTGTCAATTTGCTTTTTGATGAAAGATTTAGGTTCTGAATCTTTGTAACTGCCAACCTTTTTAGGTGTGGATGAAAGTTCCCTGAAAACGTTACAAATTTGAACAATGCAATAAAATAAAAGATTATTTTAAAATTATATCTCGCCGTTTTTGCGACAATCAGAGTGAGTATAAAAATAAAGAATATTATTTACATTCATTTACTGCCTTCTAAAATAAAAGTTTCGGTAATATTTCACATGTTTTTTCTGTTGATTTTGTTAAAATTGCTGATTATTTTTTGTCAGTGTGATTCTTCTGATGGCCGACAACGTAACCCAAAGCCCAAATAGCAAAGATACCTACACTTTCCAACAAAAACTTTCCATACGAATTTCGGGCAATCGATACCTTTTAAAATCCTTTAGTTGTTCAACTTTTGTTTGCGTATTTTCTGCTTTTGGTATTCCATTCTTCGTTCTTGCAAGTTCAAAATAAGGGGCAAGTTGATCCCAAAGTCGACCACCTGAAAAGAAGAAGATGTTAAAGTAGGCATACACTTACCATATTAATGAAGACAATCGCAAAATAAATTATTTGATGCTTAGAACAATAGGATGTTGGCATCGAAGATTCAAACACCATACCTGCGTGCTGTGTTGTAATAACTTGGGTAGGCATTAGTCAATGCTGAACCAAAAAAATGCCTTTCAAAAATAGGCTACTGAGTCTTATTCCGAGTGAAAGTGTGATAAAAATTATCGATTAGACTCTGATACCTGAAGCATGCTCTATCACCAAGCAAACCGCATGTTCTGTGCTGTAATATCGATGCAATCTGACCATGAATGGTACATTTGTTGGAATCACGCCTTTTCGTAATCGATTTTGACAAGATTTTGTAAGAATCTGCAATGAAATAAATATGCCTAAAAATAGCCTGATATTCTCTCCAATGATTCAGAACAACGACAGTCCAGTATTTTTATAACAAAATATTTTCAAATTGAGCCACTTTTCCAACCATCGGCCAAAACATGGCAATAGATCAGTTGGCCTTGAGATGGATATGCAGTAAACAGGTTTTGCAAAAGTTACAGTGACAATTGTATGTTATGGACCATAAGAAAGTACTGTCAATAAATTGCATGAAATGGGTTTTTATTCATACATAAGGCGCATCTGGCTATAAGATGCAATGGTTTTCAAAAGCAATACCGGTACTGGTTGAGTGTAGGCAATAAAGCATAAATCACTATCTGACCATACATTAGCCGCATTGGGTTATAAGGCGCACGATCGATTTTTGAGAAAAAAATGTAAAGTACGCCTATGGTCCGTAAAATAAGGTAATTTATTTAAGACAATATCCACACAAAGTCAACCTTTCATAGAGTTTGTGTAAAAAATAAATATCTCAATTCTCAACCCACTTTCATAGCATAAGATTCATTGTTTCTTGTATCCAACACAAGCAATACTTTCCCAACAGTTCCTAGAACTTTATAACATGACAAATCTTTTGAATTATGTCTCGGACTAGGTATGGACGGTACAGGTGATGACGTATCTCTTCTCCTTCTTTGTACATCGATGGGATATATGATACCAGGACGAGGTGATGATGAGTTTGGATCAGTCGCATCAGGCTGAAATGTTAAATTACTTTGAAAGGAAAAGCAGGATATATGGAGTGTTCATAAAGTCCTGTATTAAATTAGGTATAAGAAATTTGATGTTTCTCGTGTAACTAATGGTGGACATGGAAAGTGTATTAAATGAAGTAAAAAAAAACAATTAAATAAACACAGATTCAAATAAAATAAACCTGGTTAAGATATATTAAGAACCATCTTCTTAACAAAATTTTGATTGTAACAGGTACAGGACTTCATGAACACCATGAATATCTAACATGGATGCACCCAGGTAAACCAAGCAATCTACTATTCAAAATATATTTTTGGATTTGGATTTTGGAATATATTCTTTATTCGGCCATTTTAAAAAGAAACCCAATAGAAGTGAGTGAATAGTCAATGATTTTAGATGTGGAAAAGCAAAATGTTGACACAAACAATGATTTGATTGTTTCCTCAATTTTATATCTTTTAAATACCAAAAGACTTCAATACTGTCATGAGAAAGATTATATTTCAAATAAAACTATCCTAAATCATTCTTATTAAATCAAGAATAAAGATTGTCAGATATAACTAATACCAAATCCATTAGAATTTTCAATTCTTCTTGAACAGAAATGGGGGCACCCAACTTACGTAAGAAATGCACAAATTTAGAAAAAAAAAATTCCGACAGGTAACAGTGCTTTAAAGGTGGAACACCCAAAATTGAACACATAGAAACAATGTTGATTCTTGATTATACCCAAGTAATCTAGGACGCTTCGCACAAAAGTTAGGTTCTCTGTAAAATATGTTCCAAATGATTGGGGTTCTATTTTTGGGGCTGTTAGCCTGTTACCCTGTATTTCTCATAATATCACGATACTTACCTTCCATAGATCATTAGTATCAATGGTTGTTTTAAGATAGTTTGAATGTATATCTTCAGCACGTTTGAGATAACTTGCAGTTTTTCTACGAACAGCTTGAATTCGAGATTCATTGGTATCACCTGAAAGCATAAAAAAATGTTTGTCTTTTGTTTATGACAATTATCCACGACTTTTGCTCCTTACAAGGCCCTGTACAAGCATGTAATTTAAATATTTTGATCTTATTAATGTTTCCTTTACATTGAAAATTTTGAGTCATCTTTCTTTTTCTCAGTTTCTAATGGTTTAATATTGAATTTTCTATTATAGACATTCTATCTTTTAGAAAATCCTAGCCTATATATATAGCCTAAAAATATAAAACAAATTCAACCAATAACTTAATAAAAAAGACACCAAAGCTTAAATATGAGGACACAAAGATTAAGGACTAATTATGACGATTGCAATGTAAGAAAGATTTCAGTCAGACATTAAAGAATTGTATCATATGTCATAAATACAGCAAACCTAGGGTGAAAATTGGGTCTCATAAGAGAGATAAAATGAGCAGAAATTATCAAGTAAAATGAAAGTATAATTGTATTTAATAATTGAAAATAAAATTAATAACCTTATGAAGACTGTTACTATCTTCGAAAATGAATCATCTGAAAATCTGAAATTGATTTGTCCATTATAAAGAAAATCACTTATAATTAATTATTTAATTATTCACCTTGTACTCCTTGTAACAATGTATTAATTGCAGCTTTATAATGTCCGAATGATTCTTCGTAATTCAATTTAACCTCAGCAGCACGAGCAAATGAGATTTGTTGAGCGGCTTGTTGAAGATAAGCTCCTCTATAAATATGAATTGATTTTATCAATACTAATATATGGTTACCATTTATGTATCAAAATATATTAACGTTCATAAAGACCCGTAGCAAATTGCTGTGCTTTGTGAATTAATGGTGGGTATATAAAGCGAATTAAACCAAGTAAAAAAACTTATTAAAATAGGGCTTACCTATTTAAGATATATTGAGAACTGACTTCATGACAAAATTTTGATTGTAACAGGACTAATTAGTTTAACACCAGTTAATTTGAAATGGTGATTCAACTTGGATTTTAATAAATGAATAATAGTCATGCTTTCTCGCATTTCCAAAATATATTTGGAATTCCAGTTTTAAAAAAAATTTCTAGAATGTATTTGGAATACTTTGAATACTGGAATATTCGATCATGGTCATCCCAGGGTCCTTTATACTATGTTGCAATAATATTATATCGATGTCACCTGCTTTCATCATCACTGCCTTCTTCTTTAAACATTTTTGGAAGATCGAGCAAACTATTTCTTGTTGGTAATCCAAAGGCTGATTTATCAATAGGACTACCGGTAAGTCCATTTCTAGCTGGTTGGTTTAAAGCAGAGCTACTGTTTCTGTTTTCTGTAACATTCTGATTTCCAGTGCTCTGAGCAATACCGCTTTCAGACTCTGACGCAAGTCTGTTTCTTCTAATGACAGCTTCTAAATACGCACTTGCTTTCGATGACTTCCTGTCAAAATATTAGTTCAAAGGTCAAAGGAGCCAAAGTATATCTATAGCAACTGATAAATAATACCAGTTTCTAGACTCTGAATGTGAAACTCTTGTCCAACAAATAAAATATTTGCGCTAAGTAACTTTTGGCAACATTGCAAATATACTAGATTCACGAAGAAGTGAATGTGAATCCTCCACTCAAAATTACTTCTTATCTGACTACATTTTGAAATGGACATACGATAATTTAATCTGTTAAAATCTGCATCGAAAAAGAAGTGCAACTGGTTGTTCAGCTGTGTCATGATAGTTCACGTGAACAAAAACGAACACACATATACTGATGATTAAATGTGCACATATTACGAAACTTTTCCTTATTACGATTCGAAATATATTATGAAATCTTCTTTCTGTCACTTACTAGTTTGCATTAGAGAAAGTAAATGCATCCAAAACTTACAGAATTTCTACTTTTATTATTAAAATAACAAAATTTCAAAGAAAGCATTGACCATGTTGCATTTGCTAAAGTAACATCACTGAAACCTACAACAATAACAAATTACTATCATCTTATGACTAAAATTAATGAAAATTATGTTTTTTTGGCTAACAATCTTCGCACTTTTTGCTCAAACAAGGTCCTGTACAAGCATCCATCGATAACTAACTATATTATGCAAGAAGTTACTATAGGCCATCCTGCCCACTGTTCAAAACAATTTTCTCAGTAACAACATATAATAAAGGCAGGGGAGGAGGAATTACAGGCCTATGCAGCAGTTGATAGGCAAACCAACATTTAGCAATGAACTTGTATAGAATCAAAATATACCTGTGCTGTTCACGAGAATTCGTATTTGGATATAAACCTTCCAAATCCATCTTTGGTTGCATTGATGATGAATGCGGTCCAAGTTGATCATTACAAGTCAACTTTTTATCGTGAGTATTTTGGCTAAAATAAGAGTAAAATATGTTAAAATAAAAAAAGGAATGCCAAAAATTATTATACGAACAGGGGCTAGGGGCTAGTTGCTAGGTGCGAAAGACATGAAATAAGCACCGATAAAAAAGTTAGATACGTTGAACTTTAAATGGAATAGCGTAAGTTTAGTGAGTTCTTACAACTACATTACCTTTGGTGATGATAATTTTCCAATTCACCCTGAGAAACAGAAACTTTAAGAGCTTCAAGTAATTCTTCTGGATCCAACTCCCTACGTTTGTATGAAAGATCAGGTGAGTCAGGATTTGTATTACTTGATGATGGGAAAGCCTTCTTTATTTGTTCTATCCAATTCTGGTCTTGATCAGTTGAAGTACATTCAATAAACTCTAAAATATTTTGAAGATCATCAAAACAAGTACAGAAAGAATGGTCATTTCAAAAAGTACGCATTGTCAAACCACTTCCATGCATTCACAATAACTCCATTCATTTCCCTTACATATTTACGAGGGGAATGTACAGATTCAAATGGTTCATCATTCTGAAATTTTATATAATCTTACTGTTTTTTTTTGCAGTAAAATGATGAAAAATGGGTTCATATGTTTCGACCAAATTACTTTACATCTCCAACTGACAAAGGCAGAAAACTTCTTTTATTACAAAATTTTCAAATCCACAAGGAGTCACTTTTAAATGTCTCAAAATTTATTTTGCCTTTTGAAGAGGTTAAATGAGCCCTTAGCAATTTTACATAAAAAATTCACTTCATTCTAGCATTTTGACACAATTTTTTCAATGAATTAATAAAGCACAACAAAATATATCAAGCTATTATCTAAATAGAAGACCATCCCCATCAAATACCTTCCTAATATATTCTGCCCTGAAGCAAGAAAGCTCCATAAATCATTCGTGTATATCTACATATCCTACATGAAGCATATATTTAATTAGACTTCATGAAAATATTGCTTTAAACTGACATTTGACATTTCAAAATTGTTTGAAAATATTCATCTAGAATAGTTAGCGTAAGAGCCAAGAGCAAGAAAAACAAAAAATAGTCTCGATTGAATTTTATCTAGCAAACCTAAGTATAAAAATTTGCTGATTGTGATCTTCAACGTTCCATTAACTTTGTTATAATAACAACTCCTTTTATTTATGAAATTATCTGTAGAAACATAATAATACTACACAAGCTAACTAAATTTTCAAGCATTTTAGTGACTGGTGGGACATCAATACACAATGGATATTGGAAAATAAACAAGACTTTATAATACTTGAAATGAGAGAAGCGCAGCTGTTTTTCTAGCAAGTCCATTGAAATCTGCTTATAAATTAGATATAGAAATTAAAGAAATATCTGTGGACCAGGTTAAGGATGTCCAAGACGGTGACCGTACATTTGAACCCATGTACATTTGAACCCATGTGTATATCCGCGGGTTCAATCAATATGCGGGTGCTAAAACCCATGGGTTAGGGTTAGTAAGGGTACAAATACAAAAAATTCCATAGGTGCAATGGCATGCAGGTGCAATTGTCGTGGGTTCAAATGTACGTGGGTTCAAATGTAATGGAACCGTCCAAGACAAATCCAATATTTAATGATATTCAACATGACAAATATAAGTTTTTTGGGAAGAATTAAAAGACTATTTTTGATTTGAAAATTAGGTAATCATGATAAATATTAAAATTGACTTCATTTTTATTTCTGATACTGTAAAAAATATAAAACCAATCAAAACAATGATTAACTACTGATAGTTATTCTGCATTGGCAAATTAAATTTTAATAAATTTATAATTATTTTTGCAAATTTCCCTGTCCAATAAAACCCTATTTAGAGTATATTCAATATTTTATATTCTAAAAATAATTCATAATAATAATAATTTCAGAACAGACTTATAATAGCATTTAGAATTTGGTTTTGGCCATCCCTGATCAGTTATCAATATACAGGGAGACTGCAAAAAACAGAAACCAGGTCTTTTGGAACATATTCTAGATAGAAAATAACTATTGTGCAGAGCGTCAGATTACTGAACTTTTTGGTACAATCATACACAAGTTGAATAGTTAAATAAATTTTTCCCATTTTCGCAGTAGTAACTAGGGAATTTATGAGTTCTTTCTTTTTATGGCACCCTGTAGTTACATAAAGGCTGATGAGACACTAAATACCGTAATATGTGTGTCAGCCAAGCAGAAAATCACAATTAGTTAAGTAGATGTGATTACTTATAAAGCACTTGAGTATGGAAATGACTGTGTTGTTTACTAATTAACATTATTTCATAATTGTCAGTGTACAATCGTTATTTCACCCATGGGAATTCAGAGCATTTTGGAATGTATAGCAAAATGATGGCAAAATCCCACTAAACCATTTCTAAATAAAATTTTCAAATATGAAAATTGAAATATCGAATATATTCTAATGGGATAATTTTCAATGGGGAAATTATTACAAATCGAGATTGATTTTTATGATGCAGTAAAATTGAAACTGTTCCAACTGGTTTTCTACAGTAATCAGAATTCAGAAGGGAAATAAGTGTTATTGGTCTGAACATCTGATGTAAATTTCATAGAGTTGAATTTTCAAAATTTAAACATATTTTCTATTTTCAATATTTTAATGTTACCAGAGAAACTTATTATTTCAAGAATATGACTAAATATTTCCATGAAAAATGAGATATTTTATTAAATATTGAATAACATACAAATGCCATTTAACTTTATAGAATAGAGTCTCCATTTGCTTGCAAAATATACAGTTTTCTAACATTCGGAATATGGAAATAATAATTTTACCAAATGTTGGTCATTAACATTAATTAAACATAAACTCATTTGCATAGCAAAAGTTCAATTCCCAAAATAAAAATGATAGTTTGTATTATAATACAAACTCATGAGGCATGTAATACTGTTTCAAACCAATACTTAACAAGTTTTGTTTCAAATGAAATTTTTTGACATGATATGCTCTGTATACAAATACACAACAATTATTCTGATATTATTTTAACATGAATGAGAGTTCTAATACTACAATATAAAGTTTAATATCTGAAACTCTATCATTTCAAAAATTACCAAATTTCCTCAATCACAAACTTAGCATACATAGTATTCTCAAATTAGCTATTCAACTATTTCTAACCCATGCAACAACTACGACAACAAACAATGTCTGATATTGATTTCAGTCCTCTGTGCTAACAACAAACCAGTCTAAATTTCCACTGCTACTTACTCATCACTAAAATGGGACACACCACAAAGCACTTCTATCTATAAATCATCATTGATCTTTTATAATAGGAATGAAACAAATGTACCTCTTCAGATATTAACACTCATACAAGAGCTGGTGTGAAGACTATTAAAAGTACTCAAACTGTGTTTAGTTCATATCAAGTACCAAGCGTCAGGTCACTTATTTTTGATATAGAAATTTAATGATATTATACACAACAAAAATGCTATCCGACCTTATATCTGTCAGGTCAGATCCCTTCTAAACAATCATGCAGAAGTAGGCTATGCGACAAAAATACGGACAAAATGACGAAGAAAATAAGGTTTTATATTAGTGAAAGACATTAGAATAGAAATTACTCAAAATGTATTAAAACTTGTGCTGTGAGCATGTGATACAAAGCAATGGCATTTTTTATAGAACTGGAAACATATAAATAATAATAAAGACAAAAAATAATAAAATGCAAACTTTGACTCTATTGATTTGTTACAAATATATATGAGGAATAGAAACCTACCTTTGGTTGTAAGAAATGGATCAAATAATTCCAAATCTCTATGAGACAATTGTGATTTTGTTGTCTGATCTGACTGCAGCAAATCTAAAATGGTTATTGAATTAGTATGGCCTCACCAGTTGATCAAAATAGAGGGATTAAAAGCAAGCGATTATGCTGATTTCTAATATTGAAAAATCCATAGTATGGATTAATAGGAGAAATATAACAAGGGATTATTAATACATGCATGCAAATAAACAGCAAATGGGCAAATATTATTTAGCGCATATGTCTGTGACATATAAAAAACATATCTTAGAAATTTCGCTCGACTTCTGATAGTGTATGATTGTACCCGAATGTTTCAGTGATCTAAAAGGTTTGCACAAAAGTTATGTTCTCTGGTAGTTCCAAATGACCAGGATTTTATTTTTGTTGGTCACCATGTATATACCGGTAATACTTTCCATAATTTAAAATATTGAATACTGAATTAAAGTAAAACATTCATTGAAAATATGTATATACAGTTTTGAAAACACAAGTTAAGTGAAGAAAATTTTTTGTTCCATTTAAAATAACATTACTCTAGTTAGATGACCTAAGATGGCTAAATTATAACAAAAAATTGTTAAAAAAAAGCTGTGAATTATATTTGTTAGATATTATCATCTATCGCAATTCACATATAAAGTGATATCAGTATCAACTTTTATATTATAAATATATAGTATTATAATAATATTACGTGATATAATATATATATTATATGTAATATATACCGGCATATTATATATAATATATGAGTGGCCATAGGCCAAACAATTGTACATATTAATGACATAATAAAATAATATTGGACAATAACTATTGTCTGCTACAATTTAAAAGTTTCCAGCCCAAGGAAAATATCAAAATAACCTACGGTATACTTGAAGCATAAGACTTAGCATTAGAACGTTAAACTTGGGTTCAAATCCCATGCCCCCAGCTCATCCAATATGGTTGGCAATACTGAATCGGAAAGCTACTGGACTCCTCACATATTACTAGATATTAGTGCCTCATTCAGAGCAAACGACATAGAAAACTTCATATAAAAAAATTGTTAGTTATGAATAATTGGCCATCACAAAACACCGAGCACATACTTTAACAATGTAATCACCAACCTTGCAATTACTTAACATAAGTCAATAGACTGATAGTACCTCCACAGTAAGATACCTTTTAGCACATATTATGCATCTTCAGGATGGCGAGGCTTTTAACATAAAATAGACAACAATAGGAAAAGCATAAAGCAATAAAATTGTCATCATACTGTCACTGTCATCCAATTCTTTCTTTTCTTTACTTGGTTTCAATGGAGATTGTTTGAGATAACGAATTTCAGAAGTTGAGTCGATGGGCTGAAGGTACTACAAAAAAATGGTATTGTGTTTCATTTTTGAATACACAATTTGATAGGATTTTTTTATTTATCCCAGGGGAGAGGGAATCCAATAAGGCATCTTATTCATATGGCGAACCACTCGTCTGGTTACCAGTCCATGTCAAGTATGAAAATCATCAACCAGTTGATTTAGATGCATGAACCTGATGATTGAGAAGGCAATAGCCACCCACTGGTTATATGAACCACCCTACAACAATAAAGAGTCCAGCAATCCGCTCGCACTTCATCATCAATTGATTCTAACTTAGTGCATAGATACCTGAAAAAACTCTTTAAAAGCAACTGATCTGCATAAAGGTGGATGCTGGGTTGCAAAATTCAACACATCCTCTGCACTTTTCTGTCTTTCTCGGACAACACTCTCTTCAAAGCGACCTGTAGTTCAAATGTGTACAAACTTAAAATCTGGATTGCGACAATTACAATTAGTATAATAATTATAAGAATCTCAGGGATGAGTGCAAGTGGTACAGTTACAGTGCTACAGTACAGTTTAACCTAGTGTTTCCCAATCAATGAGTACCGATAATTCTTTTGTTTTGTGATTTTACCAACAACTGCTTATTCAGCATTTTGTATACTTTTTTAAACTATGTCAAGCCGGAGTGGGAGCTGCGAGTGACACCTTCAAAAAACAAACAAATGAGGAAAGACCCATAGTGAGGGAGAACTAAAGAGACCCAAAATAGGCAAAGGGGATTGGATTTTGAAAAAAATCGTCTCTCAAATGAACTATATTTATAAATGAATGCTAAACTCACCAAACAACTTCGGTTTTGCAAACTCTGGTGGTTTTCCATTAAGAAAAAGTTTTTTGTGCAATAAAACGAGACATTTATATAGATCTTTGAAGTCACTGTATCGTTTCCAAACAAAACTCTGAAAATTAGAAACAATTATTTCAATTTACATCACCAATGGAATTTCATTATATGACAAACTATAAAAAGGGGGTAATTTGCTCAAATTATATTTGCTAATAGAAACTCGACTTGATATTATAAACGAAACAATGCATTTGCAAACATCTATGCAAAAAGATCCTCAAATTATTTGTGTTGAAGTTGAAGCGTTTACTTTACTTTACCATTTTACTCAAGTTCAAATTTCATGCCCAGGGTGTAACAATTTGGGAGAAGATGCAAAACCCGAATTATTCTGGTTCTTCCTAACAAAAGTAGCTTCTTTTTAAGGGACTTATTTGGACTGAAGGGCATATGAATATGTCGTGTAAAAATCCCAAGTCTAAAAGCTGTTTTTTTAAAAAACGATTAAAAGTATTCAATCTAATTCTGACATCTTCACTTTTGATAGCAAAACCATAGTTTTAGAGCACCTTTAAGTTAAAACTATTTCTATAGAAGAATTTCTCATCACGAATTGCTTTCAACACTTTGCAGTCCCAAACTAGAACTCACACCTGGTGCCCAGATAGCACAACATAACGATGGGAAAAATGCATAAAGAAAACATACACACCTCTTTAAAACAGTCGAACGAAGTAGGATCAGGCACCTGCAAAATTGAACCTATATAAATCTCTGAAGCACAGGACATTGTCGCTGTTTACAATTTGACATAAAATGATAGGTCAGTTACAGGATACCATACAATAACAATCACATCAGTTTTCCATTGAGTGACAATACAAAGCTCACATAAACATGAAGTTTGATAAAGGATTTGTCGATGGGTCACCGGTTCAACAAAATTAATCCAAACATTGGTTTCCTATTGGTAAATGGGAAAAGTATAACATGAAGGCGGTGTAATGCCTATACACAAAGCATTCAAAAACTTTTGTGATCAAAATTTTTGAAACTGCTTCAAGTAAGATTGAGATTAGATTGTCTTGAGAGAATTTGCAATGATCTGCTCGCTATATGCAATTTGTGTGCTTGCTAATTCTATCGTGTGTATATATGACAGAGTCACAAGGTCTTTTTGTTTGATGAGTTAGTATTGAAGTAAACAAAAATAGCATGATCTTTATCAGAAAATTTCAAGTTTAGGTACCCAAAAACAGAACCTTGAAACTCCTGTTTATGTCTGTGCCGAAGAGTTTCAATAATACAGGACACTTTGCACAAGAGTTATGTTGTCTCTAGAATATGTCCCAAATGACAGAAGTATTGTTGTTTTGGGGGCCAATTTATGCATTCATGATCAATAAACCATATATTTTCGAACATAATTTACCAAATAGTGAATACTCATCGTCTACAATTCCTGAACAGGGTTCATGCTATTTTGTTCATTAAAATCTTACCCTACGAATGACTTTATAAACTGTGAAACCGTCTGGATGATGTCGAGCTTCTTTCACAAAATATTGTGGTATCACCTCCTTCTTTCTCTTATCAGAATAAATCCCACCACGACTTGCCATTCGCCACTGCTACAGGTGTCTTTCACACATATTGCTTCCCGTTATTTTATAATCCCAATACTACAGATTCATGTCATTATATTTACTAAAACCACTGACAATGAGTCTAAATGATGAAAATACACATATAAAATAACTTTGTGCCCAAAATATGGAAAAACGAAGGACAGAAAATAAGAATTACACGATGGAAAATATCCTCATACCCAATTTTTTAAGTTGGCAAAAAGAAAAAAAGACAAATATCAAGACTCATTTTTCGACAGATCTTATACGTTTTTTTATGCATACAAATGAGGCTTGGGATCTCAGTCAGTTTTCAGAATCCAAGCTACTATTCCACCTTGTAATTTTCATGTTCTATTCATTTCTTTTGGTATTTACCAATACTCATATTCAATGGCTTCAAATATATAACACATGGCATAACACTCATTGTTTGGACGAGTATGCAATTTCCCATTTTGTTGTAGTTGAATTATGTCTGACCTCGGTCCGACAAAACAGTACAAAAAATATATTTACTGTATGTTAGTGTGCAGCAACCAGCAAAGCTCTTGAATTACTTAGGAACCATTAAAAATTTAATTTTTCAAGTATAAAAATAAGACATGACTCAAACATGAAGTAGAACTAAAGCAATGTAAATTATACCTATTGACTAGCAGGTCAGAGTTAAACAATAAATTAGTAACCTTGAAGCAAAAATATTTTTAAACTAAAGCTCCTTTTGCCCACCAAAAATGAGTGAACTAATAAGCATTATACTAATGATACAAATAAAGCAAAACTTCAGTGCAATTCTGACTCTGCCCCCAGTGGGAATCATTGAAGCATGAATGACCAGAATTTTCTCAACCTGAAGTAAAAGTACAAATTCTGCTGTTTTCGCATTCCCTATTCTAGGGTTAGGTTAAGGTGGAATCATCAAGCTAAATAGACCACAAGACATCACGATTCTACAATTCTAAACTAATATAACACAACCGATAAAGTGAGTAGAATTAGCAAGAAATATACAGTAGTTATTTGAAAAATAAATGTACAATAATATTTAGAACTAAGTTGAAAATTTTATTGGAATTCCTGGCACATAAAAAAACTAGCAGTGCATTAACAATGTTAATATAAAATAATAAACTATAGTTAGGTTATACAGTGTTATTTAGCCAGACGTTTGATCGGTTGATGAAATTTCGCGTATTATCATGGTAAATAAGATTTCTTGCCATTTTAGGTTTCTGCTCCCTGATCCAAATCCACCGACTAGAATGTATATGATATGCCAAACTGGAATGATTTTAGTACATACAAACGCGATAGACCATTGTCTCTAAGTGGCTCCGCCTAAGTGAATATAAAACCATAGAAAGTCCGTATAATCATTATAAACAGCTCTATTTCCGTACAGAAAATCATAACATCAGTACATAACCCATGGTGGCAGTTTCATGTTTATTCCTGATATTATGTTACCACTTGTTCATTATTATTTAGGTTCAGAGCAATGCACGATTTGAACAATTTCCTGGCCCTGAAATTCACTTTTTACTATGTTTTAAAAACACAGCAGCTGACATGCTATCAGCCGGTAGTAATACAGACCAAATTAGAATGTGCAAATACAAACAATATGGAGACATGCTACAATCTGAATCTGTAGGGTTATTTGAAAAAATAAATAGGACATCACATTTTTATGTGAATTTTAAAAATTCCACTCCAAACAAGGTTCCACATAAGAAGAAACTGATTTACAGTTCGGCAATGCCTGCTACACGATATATTTCAACCACGGTGAGGTGAAGCCAAGTAACATCTTTTAATAATTACAATAGTATTCAGCTTTTTGGATCAGTGGGCAAATAGAATTTGATGAAATAGAGTGATAAATGACACCTAATAAATGACCAACACCATGGATGAATAATACCAGCATTTAATATGGTATGATAAGTACTACCTTTGATACATCAAGTGCAGAGTTAGAATAAGTCACACATGACACACACACACATATACATCCATTAGAGTCATTGCACATTTGCTTACATCACACAACTAGTTACTGAATAGTAGAATACATCACATAGTTAAAAATAGACGAGAATAAAAAATCAACCCTTTTTTATAATTAAAATAATTAGCATTATTGCCGTTATAATTGATAGTACGAAAATGACATAAAGTTTCTTGTTTTTCTTTTGGTATTTTTCGGCTTTTTGTAATTGTTTTACTCCTTCGTCCGTTTTCATAACAGAGTTTTCAACATTATAATCAATTCTGTCAAGAACAGTTCCTTGCTCCACTACAATGTTACTCAAATCTCTAAATATTTCCGCCAAATCTGAGATACTTTGAACGACCTTTTGAATTTCTTCTTCACGTTCTTCAATGATACGACTATTCGTTTCAACAAGAGCAGATTGCGTTGTAGAAAACCCTCGTTCAAATGTTTCATCATCGATATCCATTTCACTGTGTTCGACCATAATCGCATTATCAGAGTCAAAAAAATGTCTCGACCTATCTTCTCTTGCTTTTAACTTTTTTAAATAAGAAGATTGACTGTGTCGAAAATCATTTGATACATTTTGTAATGAAGAAGCCATAGCCGAAACAACATTTTTTGACATCAATTTCTCATGCTTAGAAGCTTTTTTTGAAAGGTTAGACAGAATTTTAACGCTCTGATTGCAGCTGTAAAATAAATGTGTTATTTCTTGAGTCAAGATTTCAATAGTTTGTTCTTCTTCAACATCATCATCTAACGTTGGACGATTAAGATGTTTGTGATGGTGAGCTGATAATTCTTCCATTTTCAATTTGATTTGGCTGATTCCTTCTTTGATTTCCTCGACTGTCGATAACCATCTTGGTGGAAGACTTTTCAACTGCATCGAATTTTGTCCTTTTCGATTGGATATTAAAGAGACTTCGTCATTTTCATCTGCATCGTACTCAACATCTTGTCGTTGCCAAAACATATGACGATTTTGTAGCGCATTATTGCGCATGAGTATAAATGCATCAGTGAGAGATCTTGTCAACATTATGATATGTAGACTACTAGGCTATTACGATATTAATATAAAAATATGATAAATTATGAGTAAAAATCGTTCAGACTGTTTGATGCTTTCACCAATTCATTCTTATGTTAGCTAATGGTCATCCAGATTATTCATATATTTCTCATTGCATTTTATAAATAGAACACTATTGCATCATTTGCATAAAGTAATATTGACCGTCCAGAATGCTACGCGCTGTGTATTTCGGTATTTACTGTTGGATTTGTATTGCGTAATATCAACATGAGCAAAGCCCATCCACCGGAATTTTGGAGAAGTTTATGGATGAAAGCTTGGATTTGGTGGACGATCTGTTACGGGTGTTTTGCAAGGTTACGATCTTTTCATGAATCTAGTTGTGGATGATAGAACAGAGCGCAGAAAAGACGGGACCACTGCACCTGTTGGAATGGTGGTGTTTTTTATTTCATATTTTTGTAAGAAAAGCACTGTTGTGATACACATACCACAGCCATGCATTCCATTCTATAAATGTCCTTTTGATCGTATTTTATTCAGTTACACTTTACAGCATAGCGCTTGGCTGGAGGTTATCATTCCATATATCATTCTCAAAAACAACCACACAAGGATGCAATCAGCAAGCCCTCAAATCTATGCATGTCACTTTCTAACATACAGTTCATTTTCTCGTAATTTACATTTGTTAGGTAATAAAATTTCACTGAACAATCAATTTTTTCTGTAATCCCCACAAGAGGACCGCAGCCACACTTTTTTTGTTCATTTTTTAATTCTAGTTTGTATAAAGTGTTTCCATGATCTCCTTTTGATCAGTGTCTCACATTTTAAAATTGATTCAAAAGGTATTGCCCGATTTTGCATGTGTCTTTATTTTATTGTGTTCTTTTGACTGTTTTTGGTGGACGGGCATACTTGTAGGCTTTTAACTTTTTTATTAAGTTATACCCGTCCTCCAGGTCCTCTGCATTTTGTTTGTGCGTTTGTTGTTGTTTCGTTTCTTTCAGAGTGACCAAAATGAGATTGATTGATATTAACATTCATACTTCTGTATTTAGTGTCGAGAAATTGAAATAAGCATATGAACATTTTTGTTGTGTAAATAAAAATACTCAGCATTGAAAATAAACAACAGAAATCATTTATTAAAGCCAACTTAAAATCTTCCCCATCAGACTGCTTCTGGTCTGTCGTACGACCGTACTGCATACTCTTGTTACCAATACCGGTACCACAACAACCTAACTTGAAAATCATAATAAAACAAATACCGAAATACCAATCCCTTTGCAATCAAATAGAAAATATTGTCAAGTCAGCTGCTTGTACTTAACAGGTCACAAGCGTAGGATGAACGGCGACGATTACCCCAAGTGGTGGCAGGAGTCTGAAAGCTGCTACATCTCCCACATCGCGCAATGAATAAGCACACATGGAAAACTAGAAATTGGCTAGATTGGGTGAGCGGGCAAAACGTCCATATACAGAGCACATAATGTTATAGTAATATATATTCAAAATTGGGTATTACATTCCTAAGTTCAAGATCGGCACACTCTCACCAGTGTTTATCTTTTGGATAAGGATCCTTATTTTATCTTGGCGGAGAAGAAAATCCCACGAGACGGCTTAATCAGAGACATTATGTGATGGATCTGGCTTACTCATAAGACGTACCACGGTCTCTCGCCCGGTTACAAGTCCACGTTGACCAGTTGTTTACAAATGCGCGGACTCATTTTATGCAAAGTGGATCGTTATGGAGCGTTCGTGGAGCAAAAGCTGTCTGTAGTTGCATGCCGCGTGATTTTTCATATTGCATACTAGTTTTTGACTTTGTCCGACCGCACTTGAAAAACGTTTCGTTTTATTGCTTTATCTGACTGATTTCTTATACACAGCATGGGTCAGGAGCCTCTATGACCAAACCGGTCTTGTTTACTGTCCCTCACAAATAATGATAACCAATTATTATTTTTTGTTTGTTGCTGCAAATGTTTTACAGCGTTGACATTATTTGCGAAATAAAATCTCTCTTAATGTTCTATATTAATCTATTTCCATAGTTTTTGATCATATACTTGTGTGCTTGAGAAGTCCAAAATCTTCAGCGATATACCTAGTTTCTTTTTACTGCAAATATAATCCGGTATGCTCTTTTCGTATCCTATTTCAACCAGAAAAACTTTCACGCTACGCTCAATGCTGCTTGTTAAATAATGCCCGATGTTGCTGTTTGTAAAATTGTCCTAGTTTCTCAATGACCCAAATCAACATCATCATTGTCTCAATGACTCAACTGTATAAAAAATCTTGCGTTGCTAATTAAACCAGGGAATTATTAAGCGTGCAAGATGACATTTCATTTAAGACTTCTTGAATCACCTGTGGTGGTTCACCTCATTTGGATTTCCATCCTTTGTGCGTGTATTATATTGATTTTGTACTATGGCGGAGTCAGCTATTGGTAATGACTAATGACCATCTATTTGAGAAATGCTTTTAATGAGAAAGTGTTAGTGGGTTATGGTCCTTATCGAAGAAAGAAATTCTATATAACAGATGCATATTATTTTACAACAATTTACAATTCTTAAATCAAAGCACCAAATCGAATCTGTGTCAATGTTTCCCAACATGTGTTTGAATGCAAAAATACGAAGAGACTATCAAAAAAGGCTTTGTCTCGATATGGCCCATAAAAAGTGAAAAAAAAAAATATGTGAATGTGAAAATGATAGCCACCCCAAGGAAATAACACAGAAGTTGAGATAACTCCCAATATCAACAAAAAGTGCCTAATTTGTGAGGCTGAAATAAAGAAAAAACAGAATGGCAATGATCATAAACAATAAACTTTTTAAGGGGTGATTTACCTAATAAAACTTTTTAAAACCGAAAATATAAGACGACTAGACGTTTTTCATCAAAATTTAGGATTTCGAAGAATAATCATCAAAACGTTCACAGAGTCTATGATGACTCAACAGCGTTAATTTCATTGTGTTAACAGACTTTTGGAAATCAGAATCTTTACTTATAAGAAAATTGTTGTCATTAACAAGCTGCAATGTAGCTGCAAATAGTCTACAAATGTACCATGAATTTGGCGATTCAATAGCATCTTCAAATAATTTAGTATCTTGTGGCTTTTCAAATTTTTTCAGCATCATTCCTCCATACTTATGGATGTCAAATTCCGGTCTTGAATTTTGTTCTGCAAGACGTGGAGTAATAGATTCATCCCATAACTTTACTCTTTGTGACAACGCAGTTTCTTCTTTGAATCGCCTAGCAGCAGAATAGAACATTTCAACATGGTGGCGAACGAGGTCTTCATAAGAAGTGGGACTGCTTACAGTTTCATGTGCAGTATGATTCCCCTTGCCTTGATTATCTACCACATCACCAATAAGGTCATCTAGGTCAGGTGAAAAATGATCCGAATGTATTGTCGAGTCATGATTCATTGGTTCAAGTTGTTCTTCTTCGCCAAACACCGCATCAGGGCCTACATCTTTTCCAGGCATTCCAAGTGAATGGTCAACATCACTTGTCATAGCTAATAGTTTTATACTTTTCCAAAGTAAAGCTCTTTCTTTAGTTTCTCCAGCTATGAATTTCTCAAGACATTTATCCTGATACTTGATGTCTCTCCTTTTCTTGTAACCTTTGTTCATTATGAAAAGTGATATTTCTTCAACTTTATCCACAGTCGGGCTGTTAATCTTTCTTTTTCTAGTGGTTTTAGATTGGCGAATGGAAGCTGGAATACAATAAGACCTGATTTTTTCATATTTTTTGACCGCAAAGCAAGGTATTCTACAATGCTCATGTGGATCAAGGATGGTGGGAAAAACTGGGGTTTCATGTATGGGTACAGGCTTGGCAAGAAACCTTTCTCTTAACTGCATTCTTTCTATAACAGTTTTTTCTTGTTCTATATTTTTAACGAATGGAGGAGCATCATCCACGTCATCAGCAGCAGCTCCTGCATCCATGGACTCGTCCATTCCACCAAAATTATCCATTTCTTCTCGGACAGAATTTGTTTCCACAGGTTCTTCAGACCGAGAAAAAATGTTCATCGGAGCAATTTCTAATTCTTCTAATGATGGAACAATAATTTCATCCAAAAACCCACCTGAATCTCTATCAAGAACACTCATTCTTTTTTCAAATGGGATAAAACGATTCTCCCAAAAATCATTTGTGTAACAAACGGAGTCATTCTTGTTTTCAGACAATATCAATCTTCCTCTTTCATCATTATCATTTTCAAGCATTGCTGTAGGGGTTATAGGAATAGGTGTAATTGGGTCATAATTCGAAGTGAATTCTCTTTTCGAAGTTATTGCAACATCATTCAGATTTAGCAATTTTTCTTCATCATCGTCAAAATTGGGATCAATAGTTTTATCACTAGAAGAATTGTTGGGATTTTCATCGGGAACCTCTTTCTGTCTGTTTGTGATCATTTCTAGCGTCTGTTTTACAAGAACATATAAGTATTCAACTTTTTTACTCCATACACAGGCTGTACCTTGAATGAGCAAGGATGCTTCCGCAAAATTAAGCACAGTTTTTCCATTGTCAAATTCAAAAGTCATTTTTTCTAATTCTTCCATATATTCTTCCAAAACATGTGTTAAATCTATTTCCCAATTCTTAGTAATATCCTTTATTGGCTGTAGCAAGAAGCCATACTTTTTCTGAAGATCTTCTGATAACACCATATTTACGTTTAGGTTCCTCTAATTATCTTATGAGGAAACAATGATTGCAACTTGATTAAACAGAAATATACCATGATAAAAAAATACAGTGAAAAAGAACCATCACTCAGCTGTGATTAGTAAAGGTTGCAGAAATTGCTGAATTACACTCATAAGACTCATTACAGCATTAGGGAAAGAATTTTATTTAACACCCGTCACTAGGCATTTTTCACATATCAGAATTTCAAAATACATTCTTTCCTTACTTTTCCATGAATTGTCAGATTGTATACATAAAAGGACAATATATCTGTATATAGTCTTTTACTGTGATGTACAATTATAGAAAATTGTAGTACAGTAGTAAAGCCCTTAATGTAGCAAAAAGTAAATCTAAAGTCCAACTTTTTTGTTTTGCTCAAGTTAGTAAGTGCTGAAGAGTGTAAAGCAACACCTGACAGTCTGAACGTATCATGGATTCAGAAGCAGAAAGAAGGGAACAGAAAAAAAGCAAGTTAGGTTACCGTATTCAATACCCGTAGGTCCTATGATTACGAAATGTATTGTACCGTACCGGGCACCATCTTTGTCAAACGACGTCCAGTTGTCTGGACGTGTACCGTAGTGCTGTGGTGTGTATCACAAACCAGTAACCAGCAAACTGATATATTCAGATATTCTAAGCCTTTCTTTAGCTTGGACACGCTTGGCTGCAATTACATAAATACTAAATACATAAATATCACAGTAACGTATTTGCTATGAAAAGATACAGGTATAGCAGTCTACTAGGACAGAATGACCGAAGCACAGGCGACACAGCAAAAGCATAACTACCGCAACGTCTGAAAGTCCGGACACCTGAAAGCACCGCTGTGAAGCTAGTAGAATTTGACCTTTGTGTGCGGCGAGGCGAAAAGGTTAAAATTCTTGACAGAATTGTAGGCGTGTCATTATTTACAACTGATAAAATGTAGACAGGTAAAATTAACATAACAAAAAAGGAAAGATATTTATTAAATAAAACTAAAATTACCATTTACAAAGCAAAAGCATTAATTGCTTGGTAAAATAGGCATAATAAAGAGTTAGCAACTAATTTTTTATAAACATCCCGTGTTGATTATGCCTTTATTCATCAAAATTACGTAAAGCGAAAACGGGTTAAATTTTGCAATTTCCAAATATTAATAGAAATATCTTCCGCTCAAGAGGCACGCGATTTTATAATTTCATATCAAAGTAGAATATATTAGGTTTATCACACACATTGAACCTAAAACTACTCGAACTTAGAAAAGGGAGTACTCCCTTGTTGAAGATACCCCTTTTCATCAAAATTACGTAAAGCGAAAACGGGTTAAATTTTGCAATTTTCAAATGTTAATAGAAATATGTTCCGCTCAAGAGGCACGCGATTTTATAATTTCATATCAAAGTAGAATATATTAAGTTTATCACACACATTGAACCTAAAACTACTCGAACTTAGAAAAGGGAGTACTCCCCTGTTGAAGATACCCCTTTTCATCAAAATTACGTAAAGCGAAAAAGGGTTAAATTTTGCAATTTTCAAATGTTAATAGAAATATGTTCCGCTCAAGAGGCACGCGATTTTATAATTTCATATCAAAGTAGAATATATTAAGTTTATCACACACATTGAACCTAAAACTACTCGAACTTAGAAAAGGGAGTACTCCCCTGTTCAAGATACCCCTTTTCATCAAAATTACGTAAAGCGAAAACGGGTTAAATTTTGCAATTTTCAAATGTTAATAGAAATATGTTCCGCTCAAGAGGCACGCGATTTTATAATTTCATATCAAAGTAGAATATATTAAGTTTATCACACACATTGAACCTAAAACTACTCGAACTTAGAAAAGGGAGTACTCCCCTGTTGAAGATACCCCTTTTCATCAAAATTACGTAAAGCGAAAAAGGGTTAAATTTTGCAATTTTCAAATGTTAATAGAAATATGTTCCGCTCAAGAGGCACGCGATTTTATAATTTCATATCAAAGTAGAATATATTAAGTTTATCACACACATTGAACCTAAAACTACTCGAACTTAGAAAAGGGAGTACTCCCCTGTTGAAGATACCCCTTTTCATCAAAATTACGTAAAGCGAAAAAGGGTTAAATTTTGCAATTTTCAAATGTTAATAGAAATATGTTCCGCTCAAGAGGCACGCGATTTTATAATTTCATATCAAAGTAGAATATATTAAGTTTATCACACACATTGAACCTAAAACTACTCGAACTTAGAAAAGGGAGTACTCCCCTGTTGAAGATACCCTTTTCATCAAAAGTACGTAAAGCGAAAAAGGGTTAAATTTCGCAATTTTCAAATGTTAATAGAAATATGTTCCGCTCAAGAGGCACGCGATTTTATAATTTCATATCAAAGTAGAATATATTAAGTTTATCACACACATTGAACCTAAAACTACTCAAACTTAGAAAAGGGAGTACTCCCCTGTTGAAGATACCCCTTTTCATCAAAATTACGTAAAGCGAAAAAGGGTTAAATTTTGCAATTTTCAAATGTTAATAGAAATATGTTCCGCTCAAGAGGCACGCGATTTTATAATTTCATATCAAAGTAGAATATATTAAGTTTATCACACACATTGAACCTAAAACTACTCGAACTTAGAAAAGGGAGTACTCCCCTGTTGAAGATACCCCTTTTCATCAAAATTACGTAAAGCGAAAAAGGGTTAAATTTTGCAATTTTCAAATGTTAATAGAAATATGTTCCGCTCAAGAGGCACGCGATTTTATAATTTCATATCAAAGTAGAATATATTAAGTTTATCACACACATTGAACCTAAAACTACTCGAACTTAGAAAGGGAGTACTCCCCTGTTGAAGATACCCCTTTTCATCAAAATTACGTAAAGCGAAAAAGGGTTAAATTTTGCAATTTTCAAATGTTAATAGAAATATGTTCCGCTCAAGAGGCACGCGATTTTATAATTTCATATCAAAGTAGAATATATTAAGTTTATCACACACATTGAACCTAAAACTACTCGAACTTAGAAAAGGGAGTACTCCCCTGTTGAAGATACCCCTTTTCATCAAAATTACGTAAAGCGAAAAAGGGTTAAATTTCGCAATTTTCAAATGTTAATAGAAATATGTTCCGCTCAAGAGGCACGCGATTTTATAATTTCATATCAAAGTAGAATATATTAAGTTTATCACACACATTGAACCTAAAACTACTCGAACTTAGAAAAGGGAGTACTCCCCTGTTGAAGATACCCCTTTTCATCAAAATTACGTAAAGCGAAAAAGGGTTAAATTTTGCAATTTTCAAATGTTAATAAGTAGAATATATTAAGTTTATCACACACATTGAACCTAAAACTACTCGAACTTAGAAAAGGGAGTACTCCCCTGTTGAAGATACCCCTTTTCATCAAAATTACGTAAAGCGAAAAAGGGTTAAATTTTGCAAATTTTCAAATGTTGATAGAAATATGTTCCGCTCAAGAGGCACGCGATTTTATAATTTCATATCAAAGTAGAATATATTAAGTTTATCACACACATTGAACCTAAAACTACTCGAACTTAGAAAAGGGAGTACTCCCCTGTTGAAGATACCCCTTTTCATCAAAATTACGTAAAGCGAAAAAGGGTTAAATTTTGCAATTTTCAAATGTTAATAGAAATATGTTCCGCTCAAGAGGCACGCGATTTTATAATTTCATATCAAAGTAGAATATATTAAGTTTATCACACACATTGAACCTAAAACTACTCGAACTTAGAAAAGGGAGTACTCCCCTGTTGATGATACCCCTTTTCATCAAAAGTACGTAAAGCGAAAAAGGGTTAAATTTCGCAATTTTCAAATGTTAATAGAAATATGTTCCGCTCAAGAGGCACGCGATTTTATAATTTCATATCAAAGTAGAATATATTAAGTTTATCAACACATTGAACCTAAAACTACTCGAACTTAGAAAAGGGAGTACTCCCCTGTTGAAGATACCCCTTTTCATCAAAATTACGTAAAGCGAAAAAGGGTTAAATTTTGCAATTTTCAATGTTAATAGAAATATGTTCCGCTCAAGAGGCACGCGATTTTATAATTTCATATCAAAGTAGAATATATTAAGTTTATCACACACATTGAACCTAAAACTACTCGAACTTAGAAAAGGGAGTACTCCCTGTTGAAGATACCCCTTTTCATCAAAATTACGTAAAGCGAAAAAGGGTTAAATTTTGCAATTTTCAAATGTTAATAGAAATATGTTCCGCTCAAGAGGCACGCGATTTTATAATTTCATATCAAAGTAGAATATATTAAGTTTATCACACACATTGAACCTAAAACTACTCGAACTTAGAAAAGGGAGTACTCCCCTGTTGAAGATACCCCTTTTCATCAAAATTACGTAAAGCGAAAAAAGGGTTAAATTTTGCAAATTTTCAAATGTTAATAGAAATATGTTCCGCTCAAAGAGGCACGCGATTTATAATTTCATATCAAAGTAGAATATATTAAGTTTATCACACACATTGAACCTAAAACTACTCGAACTTAGAAAGGGAGTACTCCCCTGTTGATGATACCCCTTTCAATCAAAGTACGTAAAGCGAAAAGGGTTAAATTTTCGCAATTTTCAAATGTTAATAGAAATATGTTCGCTCAAGAGGCACGCGATTTTATAATTTCATATCAAAGGTAGAATATATTAAGTTTATCACACACATTGAACCTAAAACTACTCGAACTTAGAAAAGGGAGTACTCCCTGTTGAAGATACCCCTTTCATCAAAATTACGTAAAGCGAAAAAGGGTTAAATTTTGCAATTTTCAAATGTTAATAGAAATATGTTCCGCTCAAGAGGCACGCGATTTTATAATTTCATATCAAAGTAGAATATATTAAGTTTATCACACACATTGAACCTAAAACTACTCGAACTTAGAAAAGGAGTACTCCCTGTTGAAGATACCCCTTTTCATCAAAATTACGTAAAGCGAAAAAGGGTTAAATTTTGCAATTTTCAAATGTTAATAGAAATATGTTCCGCTCAAGAGGCACGCGATTTTATAATTTCATATCAAAGTAGAATATATTAAGTTTATCACACACATTGAACCTAAAACTACTCGAACTTAGAAAAGGAGTACTCCCTGTTGAAGATACCCCTTTTCATCAAAATTACTACAGTGAAATGGCAAACTTAAATTGACTATAGCGAAAATAAAGATATAATTTCATTTTGGAATCGATGGAAATATATTTCCGTGCCGTGCCTATTTTGCTCATTTCACAGAATTGTTTTAAGTTAGCAAAGTAATGATCATGTCGATGTGAATATTGTTAAATTGATCCATCCAACGTCGATTATTGTGCAAGAAAAG